GAACTTTCAAAGGAACCAGAAGGCCAACTTTCGTAACCTGACAACAGTAAGTGCTGTTGGCAAAAAACATTATTGGTGGACACAGGCCCTAGCTGATGTTTGATTGTTTATAAGTCACATGATGAAGATGGAAAAGGTGTCAAAAAATCCCCTTCAAAATCTTTCATCTCAACAGGATAATGATCCCACGCAACTGAAACCATGCTGACTTGTTCACACCTTCACTGACGTGCACACATGATTGCTTTACTACCGTTCTGCAGCAGAAATAGGCTCACCACAAACTGCTTCATGTATTTCCTGTGTCTGACAGTGGGATGTTAACTGGTTCCTCTCTAACTGAGTGCATAGTACAGACATGTGACAAATGGCTTTTTTTTTTCATTAACTTCAAAGGTTATACTCTTTACCACTTCATTAATTACTTTAATAGCTGTCATTGATGAAACATGTAAGAGAGGATTAGGACAGCGATGAAACATGGCAAGCTTATCAGAGCATGTTATCATCCTTTCTGTGTGAGCACTGCCCGAGGACATAGTCAGATATGAATGACTGCCTTCTTTAGAGTTCAGTGTCATTATGGTGTTCTCTATGTTTCTGAGAAACACAGCGAACATTTTCATTTCAGTTATCCTGTAAGTTTAAAGTACTTTGGAGATGACTGCTGAGATACAGAGTTGTTATGGTTACAGCTTAGGCCTGCATACCATGAGAAGAGTTCCAGAGAAGATTTGTTGACCTAAATTGAGAAATGATACTAGTCTATCGTTGGTGTTATTTTCACATCCACCACATGATGCGAAGTGAGTGTGCTCAACATATTGAGTCACAAACAGTTTGATCCATAATTGTTCAGATTATTATCTTTTTTTTTTTTTTTACTTTTTTGGTGTTATATGTGTAAAAGGGTTGATATTTTTTTCAGTTAGATTATTACATCACTACATCATTGTTCCTCTATATTCACCTTGATTGGTTGGGTTTGTGCAGAGTGTAATGATCCACAACTTTGTATATCATCTGAAGAGGTCAGTTTGAGTGATGAAGTGATAAGAGGAGATACAGGTCACCCTTCAGATCCTACCTCACCTCCCCTGCAGAACACTCTAGATAGTTTACATGGTTTGCGTGGTTTGTTTTGTTAATTTTGCAGTCACTTTAAAAGTTAGTTTTCAAAGTGATATTCTTCTTGAAGGAAAATGAAGATTTTGTCTGTGTTACCTTTTCAAAAGATCGTCTTCTATTTCTTTTATTGTCTTGACTGTGGAGACAAATAACTCTTTTGAAAAATTGAAGGCACAGCAATTTATAAAATCTGAGTAAAACTTTAATATTTAGCTTTACCCATCAATTCATCTGCTCAGGACAGATTTATAGCATAGACACTATGGGCTCTATTTTTGTGTCCGCCAGTGAGGCGGCGGAGGGTGGCGGACCCCGCATAGTGGTATTTTCATCTGGCAGAGCCCAGCGTACAGCCAGTTTGGTATTTTTGTGGACTGAGGCGCACCGAGGTCCGCCAAGCTGGGCGTGGTGGCGTGGCAGAGGGAGGTGTCGACAGAACCAGCTGCCGCAGTGACATTTTCGTGCTCGCCGCCAGCATGTAAAGTGCGCTGAAAGCTCGCCCATTCAAACCTGGTCAGCTTTCAGTGCAGGCGGAGCTCAGCTGGTCTAGTGGTCACCAATGCCTTACCGGCAGGTTTCCACAGTGTCAGGCACATTACAGGGCAATAAATAATCATCAACAACCAATATTCTGAGTCAGCACAAACATTTAGATCTATATAGATATATTCTGATCTATATCTGATCTGATGAGTGCGTTTGGCACGCGTTTGGACACACAACCTGACCGAAATAGACACACATGATGAAAAAAACAAGACATGTAACTCGTCTCCCTCCTTTTCTTTCTTCCTCTTCCTTTTATTTCTCACGCACCTCGACCTGGACATGTCTCCGTGTCCTCTCCCCATTCTGCTGCAGCTGCTGCTGAACAAATGATTTGTTTCAGTGCTCAAATGAGTTATTTACTTTAAGCCTACATACAAATATTTTAAGATTCAGTTTTGTGAGCCAAATAAATTTTATAACCCAACATCAATGAAAGAAAGAGCCAGGCCACGGAGCGCAATGCGTCATTTACGCACAGATGGTTCCGATTTTAATGCCATTATTGGAATTTATGATGTGATCTCTGAGCACAAGCCACCTTTGTCACGTGAGGTTTGAATATGTGCAACTTTATGTGAGTGTCTTTATTTATAGAAAGGGTGTTTGTCTTACTAGTGGGTCCAACATTACACACACCAAAACCATCTGTGCTCATATGAGAGAGTGTGGAGGACGCCCTCTGCAGCATTTACAGCGACACAGCATTACTGTCTTCAGACGTCTCTTGATCTCTTTGACTACTTCACGAAAATAGTAATACGCCTCGCCAGTGGCGGATTTAAAAGCGACGAGAGGAGCTGATGTTATTGGTTAATACAGGTCTCGGCTGTGTTAAACCCACTCCACGCCCTCTCTCCTCCCTCGCTACGACTTACGCCGCTGGGAGGAGCTGAGTTGGGGGGGGTACTTACGCCGGGCTGTGCCGCTCACCAAAATACCAAATTGTGCTTGGGAACGCCTTGTCGGCGTGGCAGATCTGACTTACGTGACGCCTGCCCCACGTCTCCGGCGAAGCACGAAAATAGAGCCCTATGGGTGAGTTCTAATACGAATTTGGAAAGGCATGAAAACATGAATGGACATGGTTCTTTTTAAAAGCTTCTAAACAGGCTCATTTATTATTTAGAAGTTTTTAAAAGAAAGTGAACTTTTATGCACTTCATTGACAGAGGATGTACTGCCAAAAGACCTGCAGCTCCAGTCATCTTCAAGTCACCTTCCTCTTTCCCCTTCCACTGGATTAATTTAATTCAGTCAAATCTCTGCAGCATGCATCTGAATGAAGTTGGAAAAAAACATTGTTTTAGTAGGTTGTGTAAATTTTTTCCAGTCAAACGTTATTTGATTTGGTCCAAGTTATTGAACTCATGTCTTTACGTGCAGGCAGTAGGCTGCGCAACGCAGCACACCTGCCTCTCATAAGGACACTTTAAACCTTTGGCAGTGAAAGTCTTGTGTCTGGGAGGTTATTCATGTAAAACTCCAGCACACTATATGTCATAACTAAGCTCGAAACCTGTGGTTTCTCAATGTATGTGTTAATTTTCACACTTTAACCCTCTGGAATCTATGCTATCAGATTCAACATAAAGATTTTGAGTGTATGCTATCAGCTCTAAAAACTTCATATTCACATCTAACCTTTGTCTTTCTCTCTCAGGGAAACTCAGTCTCACGTTTAAGAAGAAAGGGGCAAAGGAAAGGAGGAGCTTTTGTCTGCAGACACTGGCAGAGGAAATCCTGTGTGTTATACCATCTGTCTTTGCCAGTTTTCAGAAGAAGCTATTATGTGTTTCCTGTCATTTTGACTTAGTATCCAGATAGTTGGTAGCAGATTCTGTAGCTGAGCCTCTTGCATATCTTTTTGACCTTATAGTGCCAACTAAAGAATCCCAACAGGATATAGAAATCTGCTTTTGTCCTTCCAAAACTGAAAGGGGGTGACCCCAATTGTTTAAATTACTACAGAACCATATCTAATTTTTCCATTTTAAACCTTACAATTGTTACCATTACATCCCTAATTGTAAGTATCCATGAAGGTGTGCCACAGAGCTCTGTTGCAGGCCCTCTTCGGTTTCTATTTATGTAAATCAAAATGTGGTCAAAATGTATACACTGTACTGTTGTGCAGCAGTTTTGGAAAGGCCATTAAATACTTGCAGAATGCATTTGACACGTTAGAATTTATAGCTTGAGCTTAATGCTAATGCAGAGCATCAACAGTTGCTTTTTAGTTGTTCACCAACTCAAAAGTGTTCCTGTGGTGGTCACTGCTGGTGGAGTAAAGTTAGAGGTAATAAACAGTTACAAATACCTGAGAATTCTGATTGATGACTCATTGAACTTTAGACATCATGAGTTGTATCTGCTGAGAAAAAATACGACATATGATATACTTGGCCCTGTGTGATGTGATTGATACTGCTTACTATGCACCTTTGGGGTTCATAACAAACTATAAAGCTCTTCCTCAGCACTCTGAGTTATATTCATGGGTTGGTTTGCCATCCCTAGTAACCTGAAGACTAACGCATCGGTACCGCCTCATTCATGAGGCCATTCTTGGCTTGCTTCCACGCTTCCTTTGTGTTTTTATCAACAGAAAAGTGCTGGACAGTATTCATTGCACTCTTCTGTCTTTTTTTTCTCTTCTCTGTCCCCAAAGCTCTCACAGAAATTAGTAAAAGGGTTTGGGGCTTTCCCTTCAGTCTGGAATTTATTCTTAATGCTCAAAGACTGTACTGTGGTTCTCTGTGTGTCTGTATCCACAATTAAGCATATTTTTGCTGCTATTTCAGCTGGGTGTCCTTTGTAAAAGAGCTTTTTGATCTCAATGGGACTAACATGGTTAAATAAAATATATAAATAGATCATAAAACCTGAGCCTTCAAAGAACTTGAGATAAAAATCGTAAGCCAGAGAAAGAAACACAGGTAACAATGATCTATTTGCTTATAGGAAATAAGTTTTTTGCCGCAATGTCATTATCGTGTGGGACCTCATAGTTATAGTAAAGCTGGAGTGAAAACACGCTTTCAAAGCTTTCACAGAATGGAAACAGGTGAACAAAAGGCATCAAGTTTTTCAGTCTAAATATCATGATCTGCTGAATCAAATTTTGGTTTTAAAATTTGACTAAAAATAATGGCTAGAGGCTAATTTCTAGTTGACTGAGCCCTTGATAATGCCAGTAAAACTCACCTAGATATGTCGACAGACATAATGTCAAGACTGCAAGTTTGCAAAAATAGGTGCCTGTTGATTAACAACCTGGAGACTACAGACATGACGTGAAAACCTTCAATCTGTAAGTCAAAAAGTTCAGTCAAGTCTGAAAAAAGGTCTGTATGTATGACAAATTAATGAAGTATATCTTTAAATTTCATCCAACACAAACCAAAGTGACAGTATTTGCTGGTTCCTCTTATTTTTCTCAATATTCCTTTTTAGACTTTTTTGAAGCTCTGCTTTATCCCAGAGAAGATCGCAGAGAAGAGATTTATAAGGAGGCACAAGGAGCAGGGAATCATGCACCTCGAGGGGCATGTGGTCAAAACTAAATACCTTCTACTAGTACTCTGCTTTATGAAAGATGCACAAGTGAGCTAATGTGGTTTCCAGAAGATGTTTAACAGCGAAGAGTGAGAAAGCAAAATGAGAGAAATGCAAGGCTGCTGAAGGTTGGCATTATCAAAATCTTAAAACAAATGCACATCTCAATCATAGAGCTGCGGGGTTCTACCTCAGGCTTGGGTGATTCTTCTTAATGGTGCAGCATGTAGGTGAACATCATTACAGTCTTTAGGCATCACTTTTTGTCCAGGGAGACTATTGTCAAACTCTGAGCTCTTCCCAGAGTAGACCAGCTCTTTAATATCAGAACTACTCCCCCTACCTATTGCTTTGTGTGAGGATGGATTTAAACAGAGCTTCTCTGCATGTATCCAGTAACATACGCATACATCCTAGATGCACATCAAATGATCTTAAGTTCCCTAAACTGCTGGAGAGATCCAACTTTGTTTTAAGGGTCAGGTAAGTTTTCTTTGTTGAAAGACAAACTGTTTAGTTGGAGGTCTTTTTTTTTGTTTGCTGCTTCACCAGAATACTCTGTTCAGAGCATGGGTGATGATAGAGAGTAATAAAAGAGGGCTTGGTAGATTTCATTTTTAGATTTGAACTTCGACCTTTGACCAACAAAGAATTAATCTCCAGGGTACCACTTTCTGAGGAGTATCCCTTTATGTGAAAAGTTTGAACTCATCCATATAAGTTAATTATCCCCCTATTCATCTGCTATATTATGCCAACAACATCTGGGTCACCACTTTGTTATAGGGGGTGATAAACCTCCTTCTGCAATATGAGATAGACAGTTTCTTCAGAGCTAGGAATGGAGAAGAAAAAGCACCAAAACACAATGGCTGCAAGACTAGTATGTGTGATCTGTAGCTTTAATAAAAGTGTATAAGGTAAGTTTATTTTAAATAGAAATCCCTTGTTGCCCTAAAAGGACCTTTAAACTGATTAATCATACCACAGACTGTTAGGAAACGAACAAAGGCCAGGATCCAAAAATGCAGAGGCAGATGCCCAAATTTATTAAAAATAAACAATAGAACAAAGTGAACAACAGAAAATCGCAGTTTCCAGGAAAAGGCACAGTCAGCTCGGACTGACACTAAAAAACACAAAACCAGAGTTAGATGGGAATCACTGCAGCAGGGCAAATAGCTGGTGAAAAAACAAAGTTCAAATGATAGTGCCACGTGGGGCAAGTAACAACTAAGGAGGTAAAAGACAAAGTACAACAGAAATAGTACACCAAAAAATCTTCTCAACTAGAGGAAAATACATGAACACAAAATCACCTTTGCTCGAGGGAAAAATTCTCTGGAAAGTAACAAAAGAACTCACTAACAAACACTGAGAGATACACGGGCGGGAGCTCAGGGACCTCGGTGTGGCAAGACACGTGTTGCAAGACTGAGAAATCATCCGGCACTGAGTCGACAGAGGAGCTGGCATATAAAGACAGGTAATTGACAACAACGAGAATCAGGTGTGTGAGCCCCGCCTCTCGCCGTGCCTCCAGCACTGCAGAGAGAGAGAGAGAGAGAGAGAGAGAGAGAGAGAGAGAGGGACAACACACAGAGGAGAGGAACACAGGAAACCTAACTGCTGCATAAACTCAAAACCTCTGTGAATCGTGTAAATGAGTGGTATTTACTCGCTTCATTCACGCGCCAACGGTATTACCTGCCAATTCAAGAGATAGACAAAGTTTTTTTTTACAATTTACAAGATTATCCGACCTCCTCACTCACTTGCCTCCAGGTGAGCTCCTTTTTATTCTGGTTTTGGTAATTGAAAGAAAAGGTATCATTTAATTTGGGGCACTCACACATCGACATGATCAGTTTGTCCTCCAATTTAAATACCACTGAACAACCATCTGTTTTCATGCAATGTTCATGCAACATCCATGCTGATTAGTTACCCAAAACGAATATCTGCTCAAGTTGAGACATTTTCAGCTCCTGCCCAATTTGCGTTATTTGCGCCACCAAAGTAGTAGGAGCATCTAATCGTGTCTTTGCATTGACTTAACATGTAATTTATTCGTGTGAATGATTTTACTCGTGCTTGGTGTGTGGGGACAATAAGGCCACATTTCTGACAAGGAGCCACGGTTGAAACAGAATAAAAAGTCACTTAAATGTCTTTTTGTGGAGGTGTTCACCTCACTGTCTGACATTAGGAAGACCGGTAACAAGTTGGAGACACAACATTTCCTTAGAATCACATGAGATCCACAACTGCAGTCTGTTCATTTTTACCATCACTTCTGAACACCAGGGTCTTCAAATTGAGATATAATTTATGTGGGTTCAAGAGACAGTGGCGTAAGAACCTTTAGAAAGACTTCTGCAAATGTAAATAGTTTCACAAGACTTGAGATTTTTAGAAATGGGAAGTTCCCTTTTTGGTCAGGGACGGTTACTATAGTATCTAGTTATTCTTTTTCTATTTGACTTGGCACTTCCACATTTCCTAGCCAGATTTCTCTAAATCTTTAGGGTGTGTGTTGCCGTCACTTACTAGACATGTTGTCTCTTCATTAGCATGCTGTGTACTTGATGCCATCATATTGCCACTACTAGCCAAGAACCTTTTACTTAGATCAGCAAAAGACATTTGATGAGTACTTAAAGGATAGGAAATGCAAGATTTAGAGTTTTAAAACTTAATCCATACTGAAAACTTTCTCTGCTTTGGTTTTAAACAGTCTTTTTCTTCCCTGTGTCTCCAGAGTGCAGTGGTGAGAAAGCTACTTTGAAAGCATAGCTTAACAAGTTATCAATTACTCCTCACAAGAAGGATTTAAAGTACAGCAAAGTCAACCCAGAGATAACTTGAGTTAAGACAACTTCAAGGAGTTCAGAGGACTTTGTAACAACTGGAGCTACATAAAGAATGAAATTGCTACAAATACATTTACTGTAGGCCAACTATAAAGTAACAGGACTGCAAAAAATACCAATAAGTTAAAGGAAGTGCAGAAATATCCACTTGTTCTCAAAGTTGTGTATCTAGTATTTAACTTGAATAGATGGTCCGTTGACTTATGTTACAGAGAACATTTATTTCTGTATAACTGAGTTCAGAAATAACATTTTGACTTTGACATTTTGTTCATCAATTCAACTTCTTCAGAGTGATCCCAGTTTTCCACTTAACCTGCCTTTTTGCATGTTACAGTTTTAACCTACATTTGCAAACGCAGTGATGAACTATGTCCACAAACACAGATTATTTGAGGTTCATACAGTGGTTTCCACTACAGAGTTATGTCGTTTTTTAAATGCAGTGTTGTCTGAGGGCCATAAATGACAGCCATCTCCTAACAGTTATGGCTTTGTCTCTTATACAGTTTCTCTGAATGTTTTATTGATATTATCTGGGTTATAAAAATCACCAGTCTTGTTTTGTTGTCCTTGTCCCATTTTTTCAAACATGTTGCAGGCATTGAATTAAAATGATCATGTACTTTCCATAAAACGTCACAAAATTTCTAACATTAACATTTGATGTGTTGTCTTTGCACTATTTTCAGTTAAACAAAGGTTTTAGATATATTTTACGAACCACTGAAATCTGTTTATTTTGTGCAGCTTTTTTGGATTTGTGTTTAAAAAGAAACAGACCTGGTCAGCAGGATGTTGTAGGAACAAAGGTGGTTTTTGATCTGGTTAGTTTCAAAGAATGATATAGTTAAAAGAATGCAAAATGCAAATAAATTTTTATTGTATCAAAGTAGTTAAAGAGGAATTTGAGTTGTACTTCTCTAGAAGAAAAAGACAATGACTAAAAATAAGGGTTGGCAAATTTGGGTTATTACTTAAATGCTCTTAAACTAAACTAATGTACAATGAATGATATTATGTTTCGATTTGTGATTTTTTACTATCACATGCATGAAGATCCCGCATTAAAAAAGCAACTCGTAACTAAGAGATGGGTGAAAGTTGATTAGAGCCCGGGATCTGTCCCAGCGGCTCGTTTTTTGTCTAAATTCTCGGTCGTTTCTGTGAAATTTCATTTATTTCATTGGCTGGTGTGACTCGTTGTTCGGTTGTTATTCGCTCTTCTCGCTGTCTGTCAACCGCCGTTGTTCTCGCGCTGGAGCGTCTTCAACGGTCAGGATGCTCATTTGTGATTGGTCGCCTTGACTGTCAGTCGAGTGTCCCCAGCCGTTGGATTGGTTCTCCCTGGAGTGGTATCCTTCTTGGCTGTACCTGTCTTGCTGTGAGAGGCTGATGGCTCTTCCTGCTCCACAATCAGTTCCCGCCTCCCCCTTCAGCTCCAAGGAAGGAAGGAGGAACTGTTAGAGCCGCATGTGTCACTTCCAGTATGCTGCAAACCTGTGCTGCTATGTGACTACCTGGGACTATTTAACTGGTTTTGCGGTTGGTGGGAAGTAAGGTTTGGAAGTTTGGAATCACAGCTGGTGTTTTGGGGGGTTGTGGGGTACGTTGGGAAGGTGGTGCAAGTGGTTTCGGAAGTGGAGCGTGGCAGCGCAAAGAGAGAGGGGGTTTCTTTCCTGTGTGATAAAAGAGCTCGCTTCGCTTTCCACGACAGGACTGACGGAGAATATGGCGGAGCATCACCCGGTTTCAGACAACAGGCACAAATCCTCACTGAACTCCGGAGCGTCGTACTCGGGGAACGGGCGCAGCAGCACGGTGGCGGCGGAGAGAGGCAGCAACGCCGGGGCAGGAGGCGGCGGAGGAGGAGGTCTGTCCGGAGGCCTGTCGCAGCCGGCCGGATGGCAGTCCTTGCTGTCTTTTACCATCCTGTTCCTGGCTTGGCTGGCCGGGTTCAGCTCCAGACTCTTCGCTGTCATCCGTTTCGAGAGCATCATTCACGAGTTTGACCCCTGGTGAGTTTGTTTCCCCTCACACTGAGGTGGTCTGACGTGTATATCAAGATAGGCTGAGACACACAAACAGAGAGCTGCACAGTAAGCAAGTTTCTTTACACACATGTCACCGGGCTGGATCATACACTGTCAGTGAAGCTGCCTCACCTGGTGGTTTGTCACAGAGACATGCAGAGCAGGTAGATTGGACTAAAGGTTCAGTGCAGCTTAGTAAGACTTGAGGATTCAGACACTTCCTTTAGACACATATCTCATTTTTTCACGAATCAAAATCGGGTTTGTTGGCACAAAAAAGGGATTTGAATCTGATTTTACATGAATGCTAGTCCAGATAAACTGACGAACTTTAAACAAGGGTAATTCACTCAAATGTTGTCCAAACTCTACAAAAAATGTTGAGGCTGTCATCGCAAATATGAATCAAAAAGTTGTAACATACACCAACCAGCTTTTACATTGGTAACACCTGAACAATCTGACAAAATGCAACACAACAGCCTTCAATTGTGCTTTGTATTTAATGTGATAGACATGGGTCACATTAAAAAATGGTCCTTGTATCCCCTGGCTACTATACTAAAGCCTCTGTAAGGAATTTTCTGTCTGTGTTGACTTCGGTGCCCCCCTGTGGACAAAGTTTGCCAATTTGTGGTGTTAATTGCCCTAAAATCTCCTCCTGAAGTAAAATTAATCCCTCACCATGAATGTTTCATTTCATTTCGAAAATCCTCACAGGAGCTTTAACAAACCAGAGAGGAGCAAAGTATCAGGAACACCCTTAAATATAATACACTGTTGAATTGGGTTAAATTAAATGGCTCAGGAGCTCATCATGTTATGGCTGGTCAGTTTATGTTATTTCAAAAAGAACACAACGACACATGCAGGGAGCAGAAAAAGTGCTATGATAAACAGTGTCATGGATCAGGTTGCAGGATGTATCAGCGATAGATGCTTGCAGTATTTACAGATTTTGTGGACTGGCCTTCAATATAGTGATAAATTATACATGTAAAAGGCTGAATCTGAACAATGACAATGACAAGCAAATGAAATATTTATTCACCGTGCTGTGATGCATTGAAGCTTGTGTATCCACTGCGATCCATCCAAAGAGCAATATAATGACAGCCAGTGAGGCAAGAGGAGCAGGAGGAGGAGGGTGTCAGGCTCGAGTAAATGAGGACAATGGTGACAGCTTCATTTGAGGAGGATTGAACCCGGAAATGGCGCAGGCACGAGGTGACTGGCTGGAGTTGCTCTGACACAGATTTCTCCTCTGTTTACCTGCAGATCACCTCTGCTCTGATTTGTTGCCTGCAGCAGTACATGCAGTGATTACAGGGTCTAGTATAGTGTGTGTGTCAATACACATACTTTAGTGAGCATGGGTGACTCTGCAGTGATCACTCTGTTCTTGTCCTTCATGCTCTTAAAAGCTCTGCTGTTTTGTGCAGTCTGGTGTCTATAAAACCAATGTTTGTGGTTATGGAGTAACTTAATCCTGACTTCAGCATGGAAAACTACATCATTCACAAACATAGAAAGTGTAAAAAGTTTGATTCAACCCATATTAACGATTTTTTTAAATCAGTCAAGCCTAATGACCTTTGGCAGCATAGTTGTATATGCTGCTGGTTTACTTGGATGTGAGTTTCCTCACACTTTGGAGTTACAAGTGATCCTGTTGATATGATTTTTTTGATTGTCCCCATGACCCCAGATATCAGCTGAGGTCAGTTATTTTTAAATGTTGTTATTGCCTCCAATTACCTGACTGATTAAGTGGTCTATCTCTGTTTACAATACCAGTCAAAAAGTAGTTGCTCAATACTCTATTTCAGTATTTTTATGTGTATCAGTCATTGTAAAGCTGTGTTGAACTGCTTTCAAAAGTCTGCTGGCAGGGACTTAAAAAAACAGAGATTGGTTGAAATTGCTTTGTGTGTCTTTATTAGGTGCTAAGGACTTGACAAAGCATATTACCAGCAAACCCGTGAATGAGGAGGTGTAGCTTTAGAGGCTGTAGTGGTGAGTGCCATGCAGCAGGCAGGAGGTAACATCAGCTGAGAGCAAACCAAATCTAGCACCTTCTTGCAAATTTTTGTGGAGGTGTGAACGTGTTCTCAGCTCTTTAGAATCTAACCCTGGGAAAGAACCAGAAACTAGATTTTTCACTTTTGTGGTGTTGTTTATTTGATCTCTCTCTCGTTTCCACTTTCTTTATGTCAGTCGACCACAGCTGCATGCTCTCTCACTTTCATTCTTTTTCAGTAGCTTGTGGTTTGAATTATAAATGTGTAGATGTATTAATGATAGTTATCAATGCTTTTCAGTACTATCAAATATAAAACATTGAGTATTTCAATTTTGAAGCGTGGGGTTTTGTCCACTGCACTGCAAGACAAGTATCCAAAACATCCAGATTTTACACTTTCACACATTCTTCTTCCAGTGAGAGCCTGACACATATAGATAATAGAGGACCTGTTTTTTAACAGCCATTGTCGATATTGATCATGAGTGAGCAGTTTGGCTGGTGGCTGATGTATAAAGCAGATACCACCTTGTTGTTTTTTAAATATGATAACACAAATAAATGAGAGACAATATTGCTGAACTTAGGGGAATGTTTTATTGAATAAATATTTACAAAAATATCTGGGGCTCAGTTAAATGTTGCCATAAGGGACTTTTTGATGTCTACCTAGATATCTGAAACTAGAAAGAAAGAAATATGCAAGGTAGTGATAAATATTGCCATCAAACTGCATTATCCTATACATCCTAATCATCATCATTTATATCAAAAACGAGGCTGTCTTAGATTTGATATGCTGCCAAATGTTCTCTCATTCAAAAAGATAATGATAGGTCTTGCTAGGGCAGATGACGTGATTGTATCAAAATGCAAACAATTTGCCCAATGGGCTCTATACACCAATCCACTACTTCCTGAATCCAAGGTTGCACCTTCATTTTCTGTCTTATATGATTGAACAAACTGATTAATCCAGGTGTGTCTGAGTAGTCACAGTGATCAATCAGTTTGTCCAATTATGTGAGACATGATAAAAAGAAGCTGCCTTAAGTTCAGGAAGTAGTGGAGCTGTGCACAGGGCCCATCAATTGGTCTATCTCTAATAGATAGAGCTGAGAAATGAATCTGATTTTAATTTCTATCACCATATTGGCCCCCCTTATGATCATTAAAATATGATAATTGAGATTGAACAACATTGTGCTGCCTCCTGAAGATTAATAATAACAATAGTGTAATTCGATGAAAAAATCATGAGGATTACTGTACAACAGTGGGACAAACTAGACAGCTACAAGTAGAGAGAGGAGAACAGGGAGAAGAGTAGGAGGAGACAGCATAGAAATAATTATGATTATGATTTTTGCCATAATTCAGCAGTCCTAGGCAGGGCTGTTGGCTGGCTAGTCGCCACTCGCCAGATGTTCAGAGAGCCCTATATGGGAGAGCACGTAAAACATATGAGGACTTTAACACTAATATTACTGGGCTAAATAAGTTCAGTGCATATCATAGCTATTTTTTATTACCATTTTTATTGTTAAAACCAAAAAGTGTGCAGCTTCACTTATACTTATTTGGATGAGCAATCTAATTAGAAATACTCTCATGATGCGCTCATATCCACATCATCATGTAAACCTCATGTAAAACATCACGATAGGCTCAGGCTGTTTGTCTCAAAACTATCCATGTGAACACAGCATGCGTACACTACAGGTGGGCTAAAGTTGCTAATGTAGCTTTTGTAGTTGGTTTGATCTTTGAGGCCAAGCTCTGCTCTTAACACACAGCATCAACATTTATTCAAATGCAATGATTTCTGGTTAGAATATTGGATTAATCAGATTAAAGTTTATTTTAAATAATACCTTGGCCTCTTTTCTAATTATATATTGCAATATGATCCTGTTATCTCAATAAAAAGTACTTAAACAGATTTATATTTAACAACAAAAAAGCATTTGTTATTTGGCCGGTAAAAAATGTATTTGGCTGGTAGATTTTTTTCATTTACTGGTCCCCTTGGTAGTTGAGCCAAAAAGTTAGTCAACATCCCTGGTCCCAGGTATAAATGAAAAATAAATCTCAGAACAAGATAACTCATCTTAAAAAAATAAAAGTATATATTCATATCGTAATATGGGTTTACATCTGACAGGTCATTGCTTGTGTCTTATACTTCTTTACATGACTCATACATCTGTTTTTATTACTTACCACAGAGACAGTGAGGCTCCTTAGTGTAAAAAGGCCAGCATGTTGCCCAATCAGAACGTCTCTCTTTTTCGCTGTAGCTATGATGCCATCAAATGTTTAGTCTTTCAGTTTAAAACCTTGGCCTCTGCCAGAAATGTCCAAGCTTTTTATTTGTACTCTGAGATGCTGTTGCCTGGTCCAAGCCTGCATTGCATCACAGAAAGCATTTAATGATTATTCAGAGACCAGCAGTGTGGATTAAACTGCCAGCTTCATGTCTGTGGGCTGACTAAAAAAAGAGTTCTCCAGAGCTTGGCTGGGCAAGAGTCCTTCAGTTTCTGTGTGCCACTGTCTCAAAGTCTAATATGGCATGACATGGAGTGAAATTTATTCATACACTGCTTCATTGTTCTATCATTCACCCTTTGCTATCAGGCTGGCAGCATTATGTAAACTAGGTGCTTGGTTGGCAGAGGAGGTGAGTAAAGTGACTCCCTCGTTCTTTGTAACTGTTCAACAGACTGGAGTTTGAACCCGTTTTTTTCAGTCTGTTTGGGACTAACATATTTGAAAGAAGTCTGTTTCTTTTTGGAGGTTACACTAAATAAACTTCAAGGCTGTTAAGTGTGAGGGCAGACAAAGCAACAGTGTTTTACTGCCTTTTCTGATCACTGTTTGATGAAAGTTCCCGCTTGTAAAAACCTATGACATCACCGCAAGGGTGCTGTCATTCTGTGGCTATCTTTTTAGGGATTGCTAACACTTGTATTAACCTGCTGCTACCCTGTTTGTTCTCTCTCTTTCTCTCTCCCTCACATGCTCTCTGATGTGTCCTTTTGATGTGGCTAGTTAACCAGCCTTTTCCTTCAGAAGTACTAGATCGTGCTATTAGATCTGACAGCAAAGTGTGTCAGGACTGGTATTAGGAAGCTGGCCTCTTGATGGTTAGTTATGCTCGGAGGTTGGGTTGTGTGTTAATCAGGCAAGGAACAGTGTCAGAAAACCCCCCCCAAAAAATAGCACCCGTGGTACTTGCGTCTCTGTCTGATGCCGTAAAGGTCGCCTGCCAGTGAGCAAGACCTCCCTTAGAGCCAGGTCTGGCAAGGAGACGCCATCTGATCCACCTGTCATCTAAGGCTCAAAGCTCCAGCCCTATGAATAATAGCTGGTGGGGAAATGGAGTGCAATTAGTGTCACTTGCTGTCCTGATCTATTATGAAGACTGACACTTTAGATGTGAACGCAGACATTGAGACCATTATACCATTCAAACAGAGTGCCGTCCAGTCAAAACAAAACCAGTGTTCTTTTTGTCAGCACTGCCATCAGTGTGGTGATATTATCTAGATGTTAAGCTTGAATCTATTTTTCGACCTATTTTTGATCCTTACCAATAGGAAAAGTTTAAGTTCTTTGGGTAGTTCCTGGCACGAGAATTCACAGAGCTGATGCATGTTTTGTAATTCATCTAACATGATGTTATTCATCCACACACAGGGGAAAGTTAGAGGGCTGACAGCTGGAGGAGACAGGAGGATGAGATGAGAGCGTCAGTGATTTGTTATACAACTTCAACTGATTGTTGTAGTCATTAAAAAAAAAAGCAAAACCTTTGCTGGTTCCAGCTCTTAAGTACGAGGTTCTTGCTGTTTTTTCTTTGTCATACATAAATGTAAAAGAAATCTTTTGGCTTTTGATTGTTTGTTGGATGAAAGAGGCTTATTTAATGTCACCGAGACACAGCCTTCTCTCCTGTTCTCATCAAAAGTAATGGTAATATACTGATCTAAATGGTAAATGGACTATGTTTATATCTCGTTCTCTAGTCCTCTGACCAGTGCTTTCACCCATTTACACCACAGTTAAACACTGATAAATGAGACTGCTATGTATAGAGCCCATCAGTTTTGGACTAGTCCCATTCTCACACACTGCAGATTAAAGACGAAGAGAAACAGTGAGAGGAGCTACATCACACAAAAATAAGACAAGTCAAGCAACACCTGAGCCAGAGTTACAATGATGCCTTTCTCAACAGTAATGAATGCAAGTTGAGATATTGAACAACTCTCAACAGCCAAAAAAAATATGGATCCAGCAGGCCAGACTTACGAAGGTGGCAAGTAGGGCTGAGTGATTTGAGAAAATAATCTCACTCCCTTTTTTCTTCCAGTGTTCCTGTTAGTTTTTAAAACTGTGATTAAATATGACTGAATATCTGAATATCTAACCCTAACCCTCTTGATAATCTTTCTCACACACACTTAAACTCACTCTCACTCAAACACACACACACACACACACACACACACCAGACACTAACTCCGCAATGGAAAAAATGGATTCTGGTCTATTCGTTAAGCTGTGCTGCGGTGACCATGAGTGATAAGTATTGGCTGTAGCACTATTTCTCATCTTGAGGTTATGCTTTTGAACATTTTCAGTCAGTGATCTCTGAGTGTTTCTCGGAGTGCTTTTTAATCCTGCAGCCATTATATATGGCTTTGTGGTGTTTCAGCGCGAATGCAGCTTTGCAGTTTTTAGCAATGGTATTAAGTAGTTATGCACGATACGAAAAATATTAACCAATATATTAACCGAAACGGATAACCGATAATTTTCTGCTTCTCATGGTCGATACCGATAACTGATAAATTCATATTTTTATATTTATTATAATCTTCATATAATCTGCAGTTTGTGCAGGGTGCAGCGATTTAAAACTGATATTTTTGTTGCTCTGGCCTATGGAATGACATCAGCTGCAGTGGCTGTAGCTGAGCTTATGTCTTTTGTCAGCTGTTCACAGGGGTCAAGAATAGTGAGCATGTTTTCAATTAAAATCCACTGAGATGGGGTCAGGAAAGCAGGTAAGTCAAATTCCACTGTATATGCTGCCAGGGCTCTCTTCTGCACCAACAAACTTCTCAACATGTAGAATGTGCTGTTCCATCTAGTGGGCACGTCTTGTTGAAGTCTTGCCTCTTTCATGCCTAGTTGTTTCTGAAGACAGGAAGTGGCGAGTTGGGAATGTCTGAAGTGTCCTACTATCTTCCTGCTGATCAAAACACAGTCTGTGATGCTTCTTTGGCTCAGTACAGCGTCATTTACAGCGAGCTGTAACGTGTGCCATGCAGCCCAAGCTTGCAAGCCCACACTCCTCTAAAGCCTTGGTCATGTTACGGGCATTATCCCTGAGCACAACATGCACTTGCTCTTTTTTGATTCTCCACTGTGCGAACATCGTTTCAAAAGCTTGGCATATCATTTTCGCTGTATGAGACCCGGGGCACTCCTGTGCATGTAGCATTGCTAGGCCTGTCGCGATAATCAATAAATCGCCTTATCGCTCGGTAAATAAAAACGAGGTCGGTCATTTTGCGAGCCTCGATAATTGACGTGCGTTTGTTTTCCTCCTCTCTCGTTACCAAACACGCTGGATGAGAGAAGAGGTCTCACTCTGCGCATTTTTCTCGGCACCTGGGGGCTCCAAGTAACCTGGCTCCAAGTGTGCTAATAACTCACGAAAATCCAGGTTCTCAACAACAGAAAAAGGCTGGTCGTTGAGCGCTATGACACTATCACTTTGTCGTTAATGGCTTTAGCCTTTTCGCTGTCTCTTGAAAAGCTTTTGCAGTTTTCAAACGCCTGCTGAATGGGGACATTGATCCTCCGTAGTGTTGTCTTAGCTTTAGCACCGCTAGCAGCTTCAGCGCTGTCTAATATTCTTTTAATACCGCTCCGCCACGATGGCGACTTTTCAGATGAGCTATCAGATTCGTTGTGTTGAAACGTGACGTCTTCTTTCCTCCTCTCAGAATCCTCGCTGAACAGGTTTTGCAAATAGCAATGCTGTTGTCATCCTCTGCCAAAAAAAAAAACGACCATGCTGGTGAAGACATTTTATTATCAGTCGGGCAGTGACGGGGACAGGCTTGGGACCTGCAAGTAAGGCGCGATAGATGATGTGACCAGCGCGTCCCGGACGGGTGGCCACTCCGCCTGCAAACATTACTCAAAATTTCATTAATATCAGATCTTTATATCGGAAAAATGCACCTATCAGATCGATAAAAAATGACGTAATTTCCCCAAAAATCGTCCAATATTTTATCAGTCCGATAAATATCGTGCATCCCTAGTATTAAGATGCTGCACCTTACCCGTCGCTGAATTTTTAAAGCCAAAAAAGTTGCATGTGACCAATACGCTCCTCTTTGACAATAAGGTTTTTGCGGGTTTTGTTAAGCCTGGGGTCCTTTATATGACAGTTGTTGCTTCTTCTAGTCAACTGCTTTTCCCCTAACCTTTGGGGGTTTGAAATCTTTTTGTTGTTGTTTTGTTGTGATATTACCACAAATGCAATTATTATAGTTATGATTATTTTTTCAGACCTTGTAGTGGCCACAAAAAGCTTGACTGAAAATGCAGGTGCGAGTGACTGTGTCTGAAAAACAGACCGGTCATCCATACCGATAATCTGCAGATTACTGAACATGAATGAACTTTGAATAGAGGTACCATAAATGCCTGATAAACATCAATGGTTTTATTTCACTTTTACTAGTTTTATTCAAAAAATAAAAAAATAAAAATGTGATTTTATTTGTAAGGTTTTAAAAACAGTAACCTACCTCTCTCTTTTCAGTAAACAAGATTTGGTCTACAAAAGTCTTTCTAAAAGCCAGTGTTGAAAAGTGGGGGGTCATCTCATAATCCAGGATCCTGTATTTAGGCCTGTAAATGTCTCTGTATTTTAGTGTCATTGACTGGTGCAGCTGATTAAAAATGTGGGCAGCTATAACTCACGAGGTAGCCTTGGTCATCATGTGTTTCAAATACAGGTGGTTTAATCCTCAGCCTCATTAGTCTGCATGTCAAAGAGTCCTCCTGCAAGCTATCCAACCTGAAACTGCTGCTGTGTGTGTGAGTGTGTGTGTATGAGTAAGTGAATGAATGTGAGTGTGAGTGTGTGTGTATGAGTAAGTGAATGAATGTGTGTGTGAATAGCATAAAGCTTGTAGGATTGTCAGTGGCTGGGAGACTTGAAGTGCCATCATATGTGCAGTCCATTTATGGAGCTGAATTAAAATGAAAGCGATGCATTCAGAGGTTCAGAACTTTTCTGTTACTCCATCTCTTCTAAATCTTATTCAAAACACCTGCAGAATAGCAATGATGCCATTCAAACAGAACTCCAAGACTGACTGACGTGTGATTTGCATGGTTTTTGAAAACTGACTCTGTACCTGCAGAAGTTCGTGCCCAGAGTCTGCCGTTGACATAGGTAAAGAGGGTTGGAGACTTTTTGAACGCACTTGTAGACCTCACTTGAGCTTGTCAAGTATTGTTGTCTATGTTGGAGACTAATTAGTAGGGATGCACCAAAATGAAAATTGTTGTCTGAAACTGAAAACCGAAAATGAGGAAACCAAGGCCTAAAACCGAAACGTCAAAATAAGTTATAAATAAGTTATGACACCCATTAGTAGTACCATTGCATTCATGGCTATGACTGTGTACTAACCTCACAAAAATCAAGACATTACAATTGCATATACTAAATTCATATTTATAAATAATCTATATTAAATTAATATTAATCAGCTTGTGTGTTTGGTTGTGCTATCCGCCACAGACACAGTGGGCCTGCTTGGAGGGATTTTCCTGCTCTGTGCTGTGTTCCTCTCATATTCAGAATGGCGATCGGGATGTTTGGGTTTCAGGTGATAAATTAAACTTGACTTGAAGAGACTGTTTGCAGATGCACCTCCTCATGAAATTTTAGCATTACATGCAAGGCAAGTCGCTATCCATGGTTCTGAGATAAGTTGTAGACATAATAGCTTTTATCCCGACAGGCGCATGCTGGCTGCGTTTTTCTGCTTGCATCATCACAACATCCTGTTTTGGCCATGTTGTTTCAGTGAGAAAAGTCTTTTGGCCAAAAAACAAAAAATGCACTTTTGGGCCACTTTCAGCAGAAAATTTTCCGGTGGCCAAACTGTCAGTGCATCCCTTCTGATCAGTCCGATATTAACATCCATGTTTGATGTCTGCTTACTAAACCAAAAAGAGCTTGTGATCTTTGCAGGGAAAAAGAATCAAGTGCTGTCACGGTGCATCCTCTCTGGTGTGAGGTTATTATTTCTTTGTCCTCACATGCGCAAATGGGAGATAATGGGAAATAGCCCGGTGTTTATGAGGATGGAATTGATGATGTGTGCCGTTATTGCAGCCATTCTGCAGAATGTGTTATCAGTTTTGCCACATTACAAGGCACTCAGAGAATGAGAGCAAGAGGTTTTGTGTTCTGTAATGAACAGGTAATAGAGCCAGGCTGTGTAAGTGATGTACGCCTGTCGAAAAGGTCCAGCTTTCTCTCTGTGTCTACTTGAGAGGGAAAAGGTGCATTTGAAGGTTTTAAGTGAAAAGCGATGCAGGCTGAGGAGGAGTAATGAAAAGTGGCTGCTTAAAACAGAATAAAAGAGCAATCCTACATTAAGCCCCGCTGGCTTCATTAATTCCTGCTCCGTCTTCAGATCTCATTCATTTCTCACTTGTTTTCAAATTTAATGTCTCGTTTTCTGACTGCTGTAGAGGTCAGCTACAAAGTGAGTTTGATTCCTTTGTTTTCCCTTCTTTGGGTGACGAGAGAAAGCTGTTGTCTTTGCCTCACAAACACTGAGTAAAAATTGAGTTGAAGTCAGCAGTGCTCTGCAGGGCTTGGTCTGAGTTTTGGCTGATGATTGATCAGAGCAAGTACAGTTGTTGCCATCTTCTGTTAGATACCCTCAGCTGTACCCTGTACTCGCTCTTTGGGGTCATGACAGTTCGTGCCTCTGACTCGCTCTGAGCTGGTCCACCTGTAACCTGAATCTTTAGTCGCAGCGACTCAAGCCAACAGTGGTGATTTCACTGTGTTGGAGCAACTTCTCTGGCCTGCTGCTGGTTACTACTAACAGGCAGGAGGATGAAGAACCAGAAAAGCTGTGTGGCTGACGCACCATCAGACCTGCGGGGTGACAGTGACCTTGTGCAAAGCGCAGTGAGTGCAGATATTTCATATACTCCCAAGTTAACACTTTTAGTCCAATTTCTGGCTATCGCTGAAGTTAATTTGAGTTATATCTGGACACACATTGTCCAGAAGTTAAAAAAACTGTACTTTTTATTGATTGTGCACATTGTGTAAGCTGTCAGACCAGCTTGTTTTTTTTTTCACTCTTTCAGCTTAGTGTAAGATTTGTGCATCTTATGTCCAAGTGTTAAAAACCAAGGGGAACAAAAAGCTAAACCTTGCATTTGTATTTTAAAATTGCAGCCATTAAAAAAGACATGCAGATAAATCAGTCTCTGCCCTGACCTTGTTCTTTAACCTATACTGTAGAGCGTAATGGTAGAATAATTCTTATATTGATTAGGGGACAGCTTGAGTAGTCTAAAACAAAACTTGAGGTCCCTTTTTGTCTATATAGTTTAATAGTCAAGTATTTTCAATATTGCACAGGCCTGTGATGAATCCTTGGTTTACTAGAGGTATCCATAAGGCTCCTCATGTTCACATGTTGACCTTGATACTGGGCATGTTGTTGAATTTCACGAGAAACATGATACCTACCACAAAGAAGAGCTCATTACTGTTCTCAAATTCATTGCTGCCAGTAAATGGTGCCCTCAGTCTGTAAGGGTTAATGGGAACTGTATGCACCATATCCATGAGGAAGACTTAATGAGGTTGTTTATCAATATTTTCACAATTATGGTAGAAGAGCATCAATATATTAGACGTCAGTACCTCTTCCTGGATTTGCTGTCACACTGTGATTATGGGAGAAATCTGAGTCTCAGCTGTCATTATGTCAGGAGAGGAATGACTCGAATCTACGCAGCAGCGGTTAGTGAGAATGTGTTGAATGGGGGTGTTGTTGTACTGTGGGATGTTTCCACTTTGAATGGATAATAATACAGCTCACATGCAGCCATGAGATAAAAACATCCAAATGGCCAGGTCTGCTTTTATCAGCAGCGTATCTGTGTCTGTAACAATCCTCCTCTTCACTGAATCACCTGGGGCTTATTTCAGGAAGTGCCTGCTACACCTGAAGTCTGTTGACTGTAAACTGTTGTAAAGATTGTCTCATGCAAGAGGATAAAGGACAACTTTTTGAAGATGATGAGATATTTCTGTGGTTTAATTTGGTGAAAAGGGGCTTCTTTATGCTGTCCTTTTGAAATTCATCAATCTTCATCAAGGACTTGAGATTACATTTCAGTGCAGATGGATTTCTCTTTTTCCTTGATTGGCTGACGTTCCACAAAAACCCTAGTCAGCTATTAATATTATGACCACATGCCAAGTATTGTGCTAGCCTCCCTCTCATCAGGTCAGGGCCAAAACAGTCCTGAACTGATGAGACCTAGACTCTAGTAGGCCCCTGGAGGTGTGCCGTCACCAAGGTGGTAGCAGCAGACCCTTTGAGTCCTGCAAGCTGCAAAGTCGGGGCTCCGTGGATGTGACTTAACATTTGCATCAAAAACAAAAAACACAATAAATGGGAATAAATGTTCAGCCTACCTTTGTTTGTTCACTGTCTCTCGGTTTCTGTCAGTCTACTTCTATGATACAACCTTTTCTTGTTGTACAAGTCAGATGCACTGCTCTGCTACTAAAGAGGGACATTCTTTCTTCGTTTCACTTTAAGCAGCTTTGAACTAAATACCAGGTTTCTCCAGTAGGTAAGTATCTAAACTGCATCATAAAAAAGCAGGATTGGAACTTTTAGAGTTGTGAACTTGTTAGAGCTCGTGCATGCTTGTGATTGCTGCGGATCCTACAGGTGTGTGATTCAGTTGGGGTCTGGGTAGTTAGTGGTTTGAGTCAAAGCTGTTGTGATCCTCCAGGTCACCTTCTTGCACTGCTTCATGATACAATTCTGATGCTCTTGTGTCCTGCCTAGGTGCTTTGAGCAGTGAACAGGAGTCAGCATGGTCACCCTGACTCTATTGAACCTCCAGAGCCAATCTTTGCTTCCCATGCACATCAGTGAGCCTTAGTGACCCATAACCTTGTCACCTGTGTTTATAGTTGATAGGAAATGACCTCTGCTGACTAGGACTGCCCAGTAGAAGCAGCTGGTGATGCTCTATTGGTCTAGCTATTACAGTTTGACCCAATCAAAATCACTCACACAAGGGCTGGAGCGATTTTCCTGGCAGAAATTGTGATCTGTTGTGTTGACACACAACAGATCCTGAGTCAGTCAGGAGCGCAAAAAAAGAAAAAAATGGGGCTTTGGTGATCACATGATTGGACTGTCTGAAATCGCAATTTTGATCAGAAAGCAATGAACCATTCAGCCCTTACTCACACCCTAGTACTTGCCTGTTCTTCCTGTTTTCATCACAGATTTAGAAACACAATGTTTACTTGCTAACTCAGGACTACCATGTAACAGGATTATTCAAATATTCCCCTTACCTGTCAGTGCTCACACTAGTCAACTGCTTCCTTTAATGTTACCTTGAATACTAGATATTTGATATATTTGTATATATAAAATACATATTGAATATTTGTTTCCCTGTTTTGCCTTTTCATGTGTGTGATTTTTTTTTTCCTTTTCCTCAAGTGTGAATTAGTAAAACTGATCTCGGAGACTGAAGCTCTAGCTACTGTATATCTTTGCTACATCCACTCTACATTTGTTGCACAGTTTCCCCTGAGATAGGTAACAAACACTGTGAAAAAGAATGATGTGCCTGTTTGCAGAAATAAACATTTAAAACTATAATATCAAAGTCAGAGTTCATTCTTACCTCTAGGAAGTCCACAGCTTTATTCCTCTTAGCTTGGTCATGTCATGTTGCATATTGAAACAGCTTTGTCAGTATGTCCCCATTTGACTGAACCAGGGGGCATTGATCAATACAAACTGTGGTTGACAGCATTTTCGGGTTTGCCCAATTCTGTCACAATAACTTGTCTCTCACCAGAAAGCCTTTCTCTGTGTCTTTGTGTAGGGTCCCCTCTATTCAGTTTATATATTTCAAATTCTGGTGTTTCATTGTGCAACGTGCTCCGTTAGAATAAGTCATTTTGAGCTCCTATTCAGATGGGAGGGTCCAAAAACTGTCACTGGGATAACAGTTGTGACTGCTATATGTGGAAAATGACAGGATGTGCTATGGTATATCACAGTGTACTTGATTTTTTGCATTTAAACTGCATAAAGAGGAAGTATAGGCCATTATCGCGGTTAATCTGTGTGTGTGTGTGTGTGTGTGTGTGTGTGTGTGTGTGTGTGTGTGTGTGTGTGTGTGTGTGTGTGTGTGTGTGTGTGTGTGTGTGTGTGTGTGTGTGTGTGTGTGTGTGTGTGTTTGAACGTTGGACTGTTTGCATAGTGGTGTGGCTGCTGCAGGAGCCGTGCACTGACAGTTCCTCTTCCACTACAGTTTCTGATCTATGACACTCATTATGGCTTCTTTATTCTCTCTTTGTGTGTCTGCAAGTGTGCAGCACGTACACACATGAACATGCTGCATACCTGGTTGTTATCTGTTTAGGAACCTCTGTGGAGGATATGAACCCTGGAGCGAGATTTCTTTGTCCGAAATACCAGCTCTGTAAAAGCAAACTGACAGTTTATGATGATGAAACTGCTCTGCAATAAACCCTGGTGTTCTTGTCAGACATCGCCCAGTCCTGTCTTTGTGTTCATTTTTTTTTTTTGTCCGATTGTTTTAATGTGATCTTGGCCTACTTTTGTTTGATCCTGTCTTTGCTGTAGTTTGCCATTGCTTCAAGTATAAGACCTAGGCTTAAAGTGTTCAACTCTCTGAGCTAAAAGTAATGGTTCAATTTTAAGATAATACTATATACAAACTTTTGAGACATACTTTGATTTTAGATTTGCAATAGTAGAGCAGTAAGGTTTTGCTAATAATTATTTTTCTCATCATCGTAATTCCTAAACTTTGCTGTCATTTTTAATTAGTCTATAAATTGCAAGATAAGCTTTGGTTTGTTTTGAAGACAAGTTACCCAGAACCCAAGTGTGCAAGGGTGGAAGTGAATGACAGAGTACACTTAGAAATCCTCGCAGCTTTGAGCTGTATGTTGTAAATATGACTCGATTAATGGTATAATGGTTAATCTTCAAGAGTTGCCAGTATGGTTTTCATTATTTGTGCTATCAATTCATACATTTATTGTTGTTGCAGTACAAATCACACCTGTATCAAGTAAGGAAGAAGTGAGGTCATGGAGGTGGCCTCAACTATGTTTCATAATCTTTTATGTTAATATTTGGCTATGTTCAAGGACTTTTTCTAGCTCAATGATGAACATTTTCTGTACCTGACTTTGATGTTCACTTTCATGCAAAAAAGGAGAACAATAATTTTTTCCTTTTTTTTTATCAGCTGCAAAATCCACTGTGACATCCTACCCCATGTAGTGAGACAACTTACCCGATGGTGGGGCAACATGTCACATGTTCACACTCTGTATTTGATTCCTTATAACTCTGCACTGACACAAGATATGAAAATGACATGGATACGAAATATAAACATGAGACTTTGGCCTTTCATCTGGTACACATTTTGTTTGCATATGATGTATTGATTCCAAGAAATATATACGAGTGTAAAAAGTGTGACAACAAGCCCCGGTCTCCCCTACCAGTAACTGCAGAGAGTGTTTTGATCAGAGAGGACTTTTTTACACTGTGTTCCCAAACTTCAGCATAGTCACTTTCTCACACAGTTGGTTGATGGTTGACCTTCACTTTTGTAACTCTGAAATGTGTACTCAAGCTTTGTGACACACACTTCCACGCATATGCCGCTGAATCTCACTTAGCTGGTTTTCCATTCACCCCACCACCTTTACCTCTCACAGCCTCCTCTTCTCCTCCTGCCCTGCTGTGTTTTCCCCTGTCAGCAGCTAATTGGCTTTCCTTCACGTCTCTGGGGGAGTTGTTTCAGTGTGAGGTGCTGTGTTGGTCTGACCCTGCAGGCATCAAAGTGAATAAGACAGCAGCCTCTTCTTGATGAACTATACTCTCCGAGTTGAGGCCACCTCCATGACCTTATATGAACAAGTGATGGTTTTCAACACACTTGGGTCAGTAAGGTCCTACGTGTTTATTTTAAGTATAATATAACACAAAAACTGGGACTTGTGATATGCTGCTCAGAGCTGAAATATTTCTTCATTTTTCACATAATAAACCGTAGTGAAGGTTTCTCGGACCATAAGCTTTATGTCTGTGTCTTTCAGCTCATGTTGTCATGCTCGTTGCATCCTCATGTTTTTTTAGCAGCTGTCTACTTGCTATCAGCCATATGGATCCAGCTGACATGACAACATGTCTTCCTGCAATGGAGATTTGGCACAAGACCCAAAATAGATCTCAATCAAGGCATTAAATAGGGGGTTATGCATTTTTTCAAATTCTATGTTTCCTACTGTATATATATGAATCTATATGTATGAATGTATGTGTATATGTATAGCTGTGGTGTATAGCCTTCAAAGAAGTCCAAACCAGGTTAAAGTCTCAGTAACATTTTTTAAGTTTGCTTATCTGGGAGCTTTCATGGTGGCAGCAAGACAGTTTGGCTGATATGACTCAAGATTTGAGCAGCAAGCGTTATTGGTATAAACTGAAGCTCCTCTTAGATTTTATGTTATACTGCTCTACTTTTACACATAAGGCAAGCAAGCAGACATGAGCTGAAGCACATCAATGCTCGTTCTAGTATTATCCATAACCCCCACAAGGCTGCAGCTGTGGTGCAGCTAATGAGTACTCTCTATACCAGTTCATTTTTAATTGTCCAAATAATTAATTGCCTTTTGATTTCCTAAATAATTAATCATTGAGTTGTGTAAAGTGCTTGTCACATTTTCACAGAACTTAAATCGTCAAGGGATAGATGTGTGCTCCAAGGGTAACACAGTAAGTGCAACAGTATGCTGAAACAGCTAATATCTCTGTTATTTCTGCATTCATGTTTTAGTTTGATGGTGGGGTTAAACCTCTTTTGCAGTCATTGAATAAGTAAATTTTGGATTTCAACTAGGGCTGCACCTAACGATTATTATTTTATCGATTAATCTAACTATTATTTTTTCAATTAGTTGACTAATCAATCAACTAATTTATTGATTATTCTGACGACTATTTTTTTCTTAACCAATTAATATAACAATGAATTTAAAATGAAAATTAAAAACTTGTCCTATTAGTATTCAATTCAGTGATTTATTCAATAATCTCTTGAAATCAAACAGAACAAAAAACAGTGCATTTTTATCAATGCTTTTATACATTCACAAAGCACTTAACATTGCTTTTTAGCTTATCTAATATCAACTGTAAGCAACACTCAGCCAAAAGCTTGCACTTAGTGCTGGGCGACATACTATGAACCGCAGTATATCATTTTCGGGTAACCAACCTGTGGGTGCACCAGTCTGATGCATTTCATTGTGGGCCGCAGTTGGCATTATGCTGGCAACAGTGTTTACCTTGCTGAGTAAGACACAGTGCCAGATAACAGGGCTTCCCCTATATGCAGTCAATCGTGGCGCACTGCCACGGTTGAATAAAAGCCTCCACACCTTAAAAATGAGTTTTTTTCTTACGTGGCTCTACCTAGGACTTGTGTATTAGTATACATATGTGTGGCGGAGCTTGCGTGCGCCGAGTATTTGCGAGTTATCATCAGCGATCACATAGCTAATTAATTAGCGAGTTGGGGAAAAATTAAAGCACAAAACTGATGCTTCAACCCTGAGCTAACTGCTTAAAGTGAATGAAATAGATATGGGATGCAAGGCGTATGATGCAGCGTTCACGGTGGCATTTGCTGCACCAGCTGTGTGTTATATGATTGACAGGTCACCGCATGTGTACTTAAAAGCAGCGTGATCTTGGAAATGTGAACGAGGAAGCCAGGAAGAACACATGCATTGGTTGGGAAGAGCTGTTTATAGATCATGCTAAAGTAGGTTTAAAATCAACCCCATTAGGTGGAGTTCATTTCCGTCCATGCTTCCACTGTTACCTTAAGTAGCCATTGTCTACGTCATTGTGCAACGCATCGATGCATGTTTTTTGCGTCGACGAATTTTTGTTGTTGAATACGTCGGCCACATCAATAAATTGTCTACCATTGTCTGGCTGCCAGCATTTGTTGCTCTAAAACCATAAATGTAACGTATATTGTTAAGCAGTAATGACTCCCAGGATATGTAAGCTACTCGTGTGATCACAAACAATGGATTTTGGATGTGATTTTAAGCTTGTGGTGATTCCCACTGCAGAGTCTTGTCTGTTTTTAATGCAGTGCTGACTGAGGAGCAGAAGATTGCAGCCATCATTATTGGATTTTAGGCCTTTTTTTATTTGCACAGATATTTTTCTACAAATGATGTTTTTTATGATGATCTGTACCGTAAATCAAACTGGGGTTGCCTCGTCAGAAGAACGCAGCCCCACATTGTATAGTTTAATAGATCATTATTCATGTGATCAGTCCTTTTGGTAAATATATTTGATGTTGTTTGAACGTATCTAAGGCTTGTACTGATCTTATTTGGTGCATCAGCTCACCCTCTGAGCATAAATGTCCTTCTGTTGAAACAAACTTTCAGAGGAGATGCTGAAAAGGGCATGGAAATATGTTCATGAAAGTGTGACTGTTGTGAGCGTAGAAAAAAAAAGGGGGGGTTACTGCAAGTGGTACCCTGCTGAATCAGCACCATAGTATCACTGTAGTTTGCAGATGCTAATTGGCTTAGTTTGAAAGCCCCCCATTAAGGTGGTCAGTTGAAATACTCTAACAGAAAATTACAAATCTATTTTGCCTAGTGTTTCCTGGCGTCTTCCTATAGAAGATCCTGTCTCACTGCTCAGTGCCCTCAAACATCTACCCATGAATCATCATCATTGTCTGCCTCTTGTTTATCAGGGAAGAGAAACTGATTGGCTCAGTAACAAATCTGCTCAGGCAGGCAGGCAGGAAACGCTCTGTCTGATCAGCTCCAAGTATTTCCAGCTCCATCATTTTATTATAAATGATGAGCTACTCTTGCAGATTGTCCCATTACACTGAAGAAAGTCATCTGTAACCATTTCAGGACGTTTGCTATTTGTCTGGGATCAAATGAGTTTTGCTGGCCATTGTGTGTATAAGTAGTGGGGATTGTCGAAGTTCATTTGATGAATAAACAGAAGCACTCTAGCTGCTCCCCTGCCCTTGCTCACTATCTCTTTTTCTGTGCTCTTGAAAGAGTCACTCCCTACAGTAATTACCTGAATAAGACAAAAAAAAGTCCTGATACTCACTTGGTTATTTGTGCAAGGAAGGTAGTTTGAGTCATAAAGATGGACCAATATTAGGCTTTTCTCATTCGGCAATAAAGTTTGGGCTGCAAACACACACTTTTAGAGCATGGTTTAATTGGCAATAGCTGTTAACCAGAGCTCCAGCTGAAACTAATATATGACTGGTGTTTCAAGCCAACAGTATAAAAACACTAAGAACTTGTTTAACCAACGATGCCAGCTAGTGAGGGTGACAGCATTTCATAGTTAATTTCCAAGTCTGGAAGTCATGATGCGGGAAAATCCCACAACTAACCCCTAGACACACATCAAATTTCTGTAAATGACTGCGTACAGGACAGACTGATGAAGAATTAGCCTGGATTTCTCACCCTTAAGCTAACTCTCTCTACCTTGTACACTCCTGCACATCTAGGCAGGTGCGGCACATAGGTCCACTTAGGGCTGCACAATGTTGACCAAAAACAAAATCCTAATTATCTTTTCTCTGAAAACTCACTTTTTGATTTTGTTTTTTTGTTTTTTCAGTGACAACTTCACCAAACTTCACTTTCAAAATAAAAAGTTTTTGTATCATCACTCAAAACGAAACCACTGAAAACGATGTAGTGCATATGACAAGCCAGTAAGTGGTGCTGTAACACTGCACGAAGAGTATGGAGCATGCGTAGAAAGGTTGTTTTGGCTGGACACGCTCAGGCGCCATAAAAGAATTACGCTGTGTGTGACATAATCTTTTTGAGAGATGCAGATAGACAGTACATCCACATGGAGATGAAATGATAGTTGTTTATGGATTAATGCACACTTAAAAAAGTACACAATCACCTGAAACGCCATTTCATTGTGGATGAAACGCAGATATGATTAAAAAAAACTTTTGCGTTTACTCCTGAATTCATTTCCATGGGGACCGGTTGATACTGCCTTCAGACAAACTTTGCAGCGGGGAGTGGTTTGCTTTTTGTCTGAAACTGTGAAGCTGTACCAATTCCACACGACTGACTTGCTCTTGCCCTGTTTAGCCTTGAAATTATCGCCTTCTTTTGCAAACACCATGTATGTATACACTGGTGTGTGTGGGAACTGGGGAGCGCTCCCGCAGGAAGGGGGAGCCTACGGTGGCCTGGAGGCTCGAGACATGATAGAGAAAAATTGATTTGACGATTTTTATTTTATCAACATCGTCATTATCAAAGAATCTGTTTACAATTTAAAATCGATCAATCATGCAGCCCTAGGTCCACTGTATAATCAGCGGACATACGACTGTCTCTTAAACTTTGAATGACTGTTACGTTCAGTGAAAAGAACAGCAAGGCATCACATAATAAATCAAACCTCCAAGCATGTGTGCCCAGCTGAGACCTGTGGTCTTGTCGTCCGAGTTTAAGAGAATACTGCTATCTGTCAAATGATCTGCACCTCCACAGCTGCTTGGTGACTTTATTGAGCCAAAGCTAATGTACTCCTGTGATTGAAGGGCCGACGGTGTGAGCTAACGCTTCAAAAACGCAAAGGTTCTTGGGAGGTTGTGTTCAACCAACTGTTCAGGGAAGTTAATTTCCTGGTGGTCTTATTTGCTACGTTGTATGGATGCATCAGCATTAATTTTACTCTGTTTCAAAACCTGTTTAAAGTCATCACAGTATGTTGAAGTTCCCTAGTAATTAAACCAGAAATAAAAAGATCATTTAAATGTCTCTAACAATTTAAACAGTTCAAATAAAAAACATGCCACCGATGTGAGTATTTTCGGAGCCCTTCATGTAAACCAGCTGATTTGGAATTGAAGAGGAGACTTGCTGTCTGCCTCAGTTTGACTCGATGTTGAGTCCAGTTCTTTTGCAAGCAAACATAACAATCCTGGGTCATGATTTCTTCATTTCTTCCACTGCCCTTGCTCTCATTCACTGTGATATTTTCCATGGCTAAAGTTTTGCCAATACATGCAAATGAAGCCAATTAGAAATCTGGTGAAGCGTATGCATAGCCAAGAACTCTGCTCACTCTGGGGAAATCCAGACAAGAAAATCGTATTTCTTTCTCCAAAGCCTTAAGGATTATGGAAAGTGAGTTTTTGGATAAGTTTTTTGACAAAGCAGAAATCTGCTTTCTGCAGAAAGCCAGCAGGAATCTGGTGACTTAAGTGCAAGTCAAAGCACTGATTGGAAGTTCAGCTCAGTAGGAGGTTTTACTGTAGAGGAATGTCCATGCACAGAAATAGCAGGATAACAAATATCAAACCTGGAACACATTGCAGCAGGTCTATTGTGTAGCAATTTGTGCACACACACACAGAGTTACCAGTATGTGTTAGCAGTTAAACTGAGTCTTTGTGCTGTGGTTTGGGAAAATCCAGGCTGGTTTGTTTACTTAACTATATCCTGTGATTACTGTGTTGTTAAATGTGCACTGCTTGTATGCTAGAGATCACAACAGCCAGTTTTCTCAACATGGGCTATGTGGGGATTTTCAGAGTGATGATAAAATGTTTGACTAAACAGGTTAAGTCAGCTTTAAACAAACCCTCACAACAAGGTACAGACAGGTGAGAAAGCCTGTCAGTGCTGCAGTGAAGAACTGCTCCAGATATCCTCCTCTACAGCTCTGCTAGGCTCTCTTGATATTCCTCCACACTGCTCCTCTCCCAAGATCCACATGAAAAGCGCATTAAAAGGAAATGACTTCACAGCTTATTCTCCATCAAAGAAAAGTTGTTACCCTCATTAAATGTACAAACAAAGCAAGAATTATCATAATGGCCTTGCTTTCTTTTCACAGCTGATTAATCTTTTAATGTGACAACAAACAGTCTCAGTGGCTGTCACTGATAAATATTTATAAGGATTACACGTGCTTTGTCCCAGTTTGATAGCTGACAAAAAAAGATAAAGCTTGTTTGCCTTTTGTTGGATAAAGTTACAATTCACTGCCGAAGCCTGTAATGAACCGGAAGATTATAATTGAAGAACGCCTCTTAGTCACTCCACTTACCTTCAGGCTCATCCATCCTTCCATCCCACTCCTTTTTCCGGTCCTTTGTATCTTTATTTGGTCTGTACTGTGTCTCTGTGCCTTCCCTCTGCTGGTTTCCAGTTAAACTCATTACCCCAAAGAGTTGTTGTGGCACAGCATCCCTCTTTGCTGCTCTCTGAGCTCTCTTTTACCCGCTTGTTGCGGCTCTTTTTGTATCAAGGCCTACAAATTTCTTCATGCACCGTCTCTTTCTCTCTGTGCACCTGTACACCCTCTCGAGGTTGAAGGATCAACACAGAGTAAACATATGGGGATGATAGTGAAGGCAATCGCTGTTGTTACCACTGGTAAAGAGATTAGATGGGTCTGGATAAGGAGATTGATCTAGATACTCCTGAGATCTGGCTGCTGACCTCTGTGACTCCAGGTTAGTGACCTGTAATACCTCAGGTCAGATAGTCAGTCTGTGTCTAGTGCAGATATTTCACTTCCTTTATTAAGTCTGTGTAATGAAACCTTAAAGTCTATTGAGGTGGGACATCCTAGTAATAGGCTCACCATAGGTGGAAACTTGATTTAATCTGGATGACTGAAGGAGTGATTTAATTTTTTCAACTGAAAAATCTGAACTATGAAACCGTCCCCTCCGGTATATTGCCATTGCTCTTTTTATTCATTGTGATAATTTTGACATCCCAGTCCAAGAGCATTTAACCAAAATTTAAAGACTCAAATAAAAAAAAGTTTTGTTGAGCCCCAGTTGTGAGCGCAGCTTTGTCAAGAGCTGCCTGTGAATTTCTCTTTCAGCCTGAGAGTCAAATGACAAATAGGACAGTCTTGCACCAGAAGCCAGACTCATGGAAACATATTGGCTCTTTCATCATGTGGGCAGCCTCACACCAAAGATAGTCTGCTGACCTCTAATTTAAGAAACAAAGCTTCGGGCCTCACAGTGACAAAGTGAAATGGCTCCAGTTATTCTGAATCTATTTGCATCATCTATCCACAGTGCAGTGGTGCAGACTTGCATGTTATATTGGGAGAATGGTTTGACTTTAATGGTTTGTTTGGCATGTTTAGCCTCCAGCAGCCTTAAACCAGAGGACAATCAGAAACGGCTGTTAAAAACCTCACCACTATTTTTATTTGTTTTTACTTAATCCTGTGTCAGCGCCTAATTTTGTGTGAAATGGTCTTAGTTTGATGAGGTCAAGACTCCGTGGCTGCAAGTGAAGGTTATGGGAAGATCATTGTTACTGCAAAAAACAACCACAGGCTACACAGTCCTTTTCTAGGGTGATAGAGAAATGCCTTTGTTGTGATAGTCAGTGACCTTGCTTAGGCTGGAACAAATCCCTCATTCAAAACCATTACCATCCTGGTGAAATGGTGAATTTTTAAAGAGTCCGAAAAAGAAAGGAGCAGTACTTTCTGTTTCTGTCTGTTTTTGATCTTTTGAAATCTTCACTTTGGTTTAAATGGCTGCTTAGAGTTTTTGTATAGGCTGAGACAAAGAGAGTGGATAAGTAGGCAGCTTTAACTGCAAGATTTTTATGGTCTAAGCAGAGGTTGAAGAGAGAGAACATTTTTCTCTGAGGAATCATCGGTGTCATCAGATACACTAAACAGGCAAACCAAGGCCAGCCAGACGCCCCCTCCATCTATCATCTGGAGCCTATAGGGTGAGCAGTGCATCCTCATAGATGATGAGTCTGCCTCCATATTCCTCTGAGCTTGATTTCATGGTCTGCATTAGACAGCCTACAGCACAGATAAACACAAACACACACTCACAGACACAGCCCTGCTGTATTGTCTGTGCTGTGATGGTCAAACAGTGGCCCCAAGGGTGGCCTGCTCCCATATGACAGGAAATGGACTCATCACTCTGCCGAAAACACGGGAGCCTTTCTGCAGTTATGATGACAAACTTTGTCATATTAATCAGGAAAGTGCTACAAATCTTGTGGATCACACAATTGTCTGTATGAAGTTGAAAACCAAATTCTACTTAGAGCGCTAATATGTTGTTGCCATTAATAGGAAACCATTGTCAGTGTCCTGTCATGAGAAATTGTGGAGATGTCTGGAAAGAGAATTTGGACAACCTTTGACAGTCCTGTACTGCAAACCTCCAGGTGCTGATCCTTTCCTCTCACACTGCTGGAGTCTTGTAACCCAGGATGTGATTAAACCCCTGCAGGCTGCACCACAGCACCAGCAGTAATGCAGTAACATTAAGCTGAGTGACTGAAGTAAGTCAGAGTGAAGATGGATGTTATTAACACACAGATCCACCGGATTTCTCAATAATCAACTCTTAAGGGGAGGAGGTGGAGATGTTTGTTATAATTACATCAGGGTATTCAAGAAAAGACAGGACAGATCCCCCCAGAGAAGGAGCATGACAAACAACAGAGTAGTCATTTCTGATTTTCACCTCCCATTAAACCTGAAACAGAAAAAAAAAAAAAACTGAAAAATTCCATTATCACATCCTTTACTTCTTCAACTCTCCCCATCACCTCATTGTAGGGCTGGGCGATAACCCGAAAGTGTTACGACAATAACCAACGTCATTTTGCCCATATCAGTATATTCGGTGTCAACAAAATAAATAAATCAAAGTTGGTTTTAAATGTGTGTAGGTAGGCTATGGTCTCATGTCCCTTTAAGACACTGTCCTACGTCAGAGACGTGACTCCACCCCATCCAATCCGTAACAAAGAGGGAAAGACGGGTGAGGAGATGGAGGACGGTTCAAAAGTTGTAGCGGCTGGAGCGGCAGCTGAAGTAGACAAAGTTGTTGTGGAAGGGGTTGAGCAGCTTGTGGAGTAGTTATCGTCCATTTATCATTATCAAGGTGAACTGCTCAATATATTGTGATATTGATTTGAGGCTATATTGCCCAGCCCTACCTCAGCGCAGGATTGACAAAAAGAAAAAAATGGCACGCTGTCTTCTTCACTCTTCCTCACCTCATAAATTCAGATATTTAGGACTGATTTCTTTTTCTTGTACACTCATCTCTACTACCAAGACTGTCTTCACAAAGGAAGTAACAAAACGTGTTTTCAGTTGACGCAGGAGAAATGTTGAATTAGTCCTTTTTGAAGAAAAAGGACACTCTACTGTATATGGCTATAAAGGTTTTTTCTCAAAGATTCTCATTGACACATTTTTTTTGTTGCTGGAATAATAGATGTATTGGCCCACCCCTAGAATTGAACCTTGAAATGAGTTTACTGGTTTTATGTTCATTATGTTTTGGTCAGGTCACTAACTTGCCGTATTCCCAGGATGCTCTCTGGCACCTTTATAGGGTGAGTGCTTGTAGTCAGACAGTTTCTGTATTTCACCCCAAATTCCTTCAAACATTATTTTCTTGAAGGAATATTACTGTTGTAAGACTCGAGCTTATATCCATATATTTTCCTGTGGAGACGTTTCAGCCGTATCCATGCTGGGTACTAAGCACTTAATAACTAGCTCTGACACTCACGGTGAGTAATGGGACCAGGCTGCCAGCTAAATGGAGGTCAATTTTTGTCTCAGCTGGTCAGTTTGTCTCAACTGTCAGCCACAACGGCAACAAATCAGCCTTTTTATTCAGCCCAAAGAATCTACTCAGACTCTGTCAAAAACTCTGAGAAGTGCCAAATACTGTGGGCAGTAAGGAGAAGTCAGCTCTCTGTCCAGACACCACAAAACTAACAAAACAGAGAACTTTAAAGGGCTGCTGCTGGAGGTGGATTCATGCTGATTGAAGTCGGATGGCTTTACACTTTTCTATTTTAGCGCAATGTGTTAAATACATGGTGAGAGAGTGAGAGTGAGAGAGCGAGGAAGACTAGTGGCAAAGGGGCCACATTTTGGAAGCAAACCCAGTCCAGTCCAGTCACTCGAGGCATGATCTTTTAGACCACTGGGCCAGCAGCGCCCCATCTTTTTCTTAAACTTTTGCTTGATTGGTCAGAACCATGGCACCCTCAAAGGTTACTATACTCATCTATCCACCGTCCTGTCCTCTACAAACAAAGACGAAGAGCTGAAAAATAACTCTTTAATGAAACAACAGGGAACCTGATTCTCATCAGGACACATTCACCTTTGACATGGTGCACCTGTCGATTTATATTGAGCTTTACCTTAAGATGAAATGGTTGAAGTTCCTGTGAGAAGCTGTCAGCAGATTATTTAATTGATACTGGTGTCTCATTATGACCTTTGAAAGACTGACAGCTACAAGATTAAGGGGTTAGTGTTGGACCATTTACTTGACAGCACACTACAGAGACGTGCTTTTGTATGTTTTCCAGAGCAAATATTCATGGATTGATTCAATTCACACTTAAACTAATCCGGATTTCACTTTGTCCACTGTGGGCACTGAAATCAGCGCAGACACAAAGCTCCTCCTCACAGAAGCTCCAGCAGAATCAGAAAGATTCAATTCTCTCTTGCGAATTGTAAACTCAAATCTGTGCAGATAAAGGAGGTGACTTGTCAGTATGTTGTTTAGGTGACTTGAAAGAAGGCTTTACACCACCAGGATTTTTGGGGCCCATCACCAGTTACTGAGTTTAAATAAACTGATAACTGAACACATGAGGGAACAATATGTCTGATGAAAATAACTTGTTCATTTACTGTACACACTCGTGTACTGTTTACTGAGTTTAAAACAGTATTCTCAAGCGTTTTTTGCCCATGTTTTTTTGGTTTTTTTTTTACCCCAAATTGACTGAGAATAGAAGGTTAAACATCAGTGACCTCTAGAGGCCATCCATGGCTCTTGATGCGGGAATACACATCCCAGTGTGGCTCAGTTAGACCAGTGTCACCACAGTATGTGTGTCCTGAGAGGGGAAAGCGCGGAGTACGCCAGCTAGTGTTTGAATATGGGGTTCTCAACAAAGCTAAATGGCAGGTCGGCCAGCACAATAAGGTCCCTTAGCTTTCTTGTACCCCCGCACCTTCTGTACGACCAGACACAGCCCAAAGTCACTTGCTGCAGCCATATCCATGTCTCTTTTTTGCCTTTTCTGTACTGTTTTTTTTTTTCCTTTTTTTACTCAGGGTGCTCCTCTTTGAGTTCTTTGTCCAAGTGCTTAGTTAAATCCATTGTGTCCAACCACTTTGTCAATGTAGCGCCCCGTGGTTCTGAAGCATTGCAGAGGTTGCATACAAGCTTTTGTTTTATCTCTCTGGTTCACGTTGAAGAATTTCCGCACAGCTGATGTGTTTGTGTGTATCCAACATATTCAATATTGAAAAATCTTTATTGTTCATCACATAGTGACAAGGTCAAAATATAAAGGCCACAGACACATTAGAGAAACACATTTAAACTAAAGAGACATGCCTATTTTGTTTTATTTGCTGAGTGTTGGTTTGTCAGAGGCATCAGTTTCAGTCTCAGTTTCCTTAAACTTAACAGCAGGGTCTGCCATCAGCCCAGTGCTACCATAGTGTCCTTTTTGTACATCATCGAATCCAAAAGAAAGCACTTCATAGATAAGTCAGGTTTGATCGCTGATGGCCTACAGCTGCACTTTTGAGACTGTCACAGAAGTAACAGAGAAATAACACAAACAAGTTGAAATGGAAAATCCTTTTACTGCCCTGTAGTCACCCCACTTTGTCTTCTAGTCACAGTAAAGTCACAAAGACTGCCAGCCTCTCGTTTAAAAAAGACAGTTCTCCTGGTAAGCTGTTCAGTCTTCTGAAAATCATTGTATGGGGTCATAATGTTTATGGGCAGTCTGGTAGGCTGGTTAAAAATGCACAGTGCTAACCATAAACAGCTCAAAGTATACTGAACCCATAAACTTGGTGCTCCGTATACACCTGTCTAATTAAGGCTTCTCAAACCTAAACCACCTGAGCGAACTCGCCGAACAGTCTCTGCTGTCTCCCATGTCTGTGGCCTGCTCTCTGTGATTGACGTGCTTTATATCTCAGTTATTGTTCAAAACATACTTTCAGGTCAGATTGACTCAGGCTGCCAGATTCACTCTTGGCTGGGCACTGCTGGTATAAACTGTCCCTCTGGCTGATTTTCTCATTATTACATACATAATTTTAATGCACGCTGTCTCGCAGAAATAAGCTGAATAATCAAGACTTTTAACATCGTCAATTCAGAATTATGGTGGCACATCTGTGTGAATAGATATCCCCACGAGGCTTAATGGTTGAAAAGAGTTTAAAGATGCTTTAAATCTTACTTTATATGTTAAACTGTCCTTCTGAAATGTAGGCATACAGTGAGTGTTCATATAGAAGAAACATGAATCTAACAATTCCTTTGGCTTGTCCTAAGGCAGTCACTTTGAGGACTGTTGCTTCACAGTTACTGTAAGCTGCTTTGAAAGCCCTGCAGGCTGCTGGAGAGGCTGCACCAGCCCCTCTCTGGTCGGAGTAAGCCAGTCTGGCTGCTGTAAGCTAAGGATTAGTCAACAAATCTTACAGGGCACAATATCTTGCAATGTTAATATACTCCGCGTTATTTTCTTCTGTTATTTGTTTACACAGTAAATGTTAAAGGGGCCCATGCTGTCTTACAAATATGAGTCATAGCCTGAGGTGAGCTTGTGGACCTGCACTGTTTTGGTGTGGTCAATAGGTTTTTATTGTTTTTCCAGGGGCTATGCGAGTGGCCCACCCTTCCTCAGTGTGCAGTCTGTTTGCAGTAAGTGATAGTTCACAGAGCTGGGCTGTCTCATCTCCTCTGATCTGCTACAGAGGCACTTAGATGTGTTGAGCAGCTGGTTGAAGAAGCAAAGCAACTCCTCATTAAATAATCATCATGACTGCAATGGGCTGAGACAGTGTTGTTGTTGGGCTGTTAGTGCTTCTTCCTACTGACCAACCTGCACCAGAAACACCCTCAAACTCTACCCTGTGAGCTCTGCCCTCATCCAAACATAGTCATTATGTAGACTTTGAGAGTTTTCGGGTCAGTAACTGAATTCTGGGTAAAGGATTTCCCGCCACAGTTAGAGTGAAGTAGCCCAGCATTCTGTACTCTCATGCCAAAAGTAATCTCCAAAACCGTCCAGAACCAGTACATCACCGAACTCTCAGCTGCTCCTCTTTGTCTCATCACACACACTGCTGTGTAGTCTTGAAGCAGAGTGCTGCTTCAGGGCCTTTTTTTTTTATCTAAACAGACACATTTCCTTAATACATATTTGATAGTGTGTGCTGTCCATGGGATGGGCTTCTTCACTGTGTTGCCTTGTGTCAGGTCTCCAAGTCAGCAAGGTAAGCACCTCTGGGAGGCTAATGTATTCCCTCCCCTTCTTGCTAAAGTATCTTATGGTCCAAAAATATACTCAGTTAATGTGAATGTTGCTGAAAAAGAAACTTGATGGGTAATAGCATTTAGCTGAAGTCATCCCTTAGGTCCCTGTGCTGCACGGTAAAGGCCAACAGTTTGGATGATCAGTCAGTCCGATCATAGTGGACTCACCTGTTTTCACTCTGATCGCTGCTCTTTAGCGCAGAGATGCCTGACAGGCTGTAACCTTTCAAAGTATCTAATGAGCCTTGTCTTAAATGTTGGTCAGGATCAAGGTTTGCCCATTCTTTTATCTTAGCTCTGATATAAGGCCAGTGTAACACTGAATAAAGTGAAGTCATGTCTGTGTAGGGATGTAACGATATAAAAATTTCACATCACGATGATTGTGAACAAAATTATCACAGTTATCAATATTATCACGGTATAGTTGAAATATGTTCAAAAAGTACTTATACACGCCCTGAAATCATTTAACAAAGTTTTATTTAAAAAAACAATCAAAATGACACGCAGAATGAACTTTTCCTTAACCTTAATTAACAGATGAATGATAAGCTTAAAAAATTAAAGATGGGGCCTTCAAAGAGCCAGAGGTAATCAACACTAGCACTAGTAATGACAAAGTACAAACTAATGTGCCAGTGGCATAAATATTAACATAATGTCAAAGAAAAAAATTTAAAAAATGACATTCCTTATTGTGCAAATAATAAGAATCTTCAGTGCTCAAAAAGATCTACTCTTACAAATATAAAACAGAGCAACACTATTATATGAAAACAATACAACCATATGTGAACAAATGTGTAGTGCACATGTTTAAAATAACATAAAAATATGTTAAATCAAATGAACAACACCAAAGATGTCAGCATATTTACTTTCCTGGTTTGAGTAGTGAAGATTATATCCGCAATAGCCGTGAAACTAACAGTTGCTCTGTTACTTTCACGTTACATTACGTTACCCGCGACACTTGCTATAGACTGAGTATAAGCTTGAATGCTACCTTTCACGTTGATGGGAGAGGGTCTGACGGAATTTGACGCGATCGTCGATGACTCAAAACAAGTAGGAAATAACGCTGTGTGTTGTGCTCACACAGTGTGAGCAGAAATTATTAGTGGCGCATCGATATTAATGATCATAAATAATCATTAATAATCATGTACATTCAATCAGCAGCGGCGGTGTGCAAAGTGTCTCTATATGCGCTACTTTGCTATAGATACATGCCAATTCTATTTTCAATGGAGCAGGCACACAGCATTCTTTTCTCATCTCTTCTACACAGGAAAGATCAATCTAGACAGGATGGCGTGCACAGAAGTGGTGCATATCATCCAGTAAATTTTAAAAACACCATATGTGGACTCCTGACTGTAGATCAGTTTGTGTAGATGAGAAATACTTCCTGGTTATGGATTTATTGGTAACACAGAGAAACCCCATGATCAATCCCTGATCCATGTGGACTCCAACAGGACTTTTAACTTCCAGCTCTGTCTTAAGGTAACAGCACAGCATAAAGGAACATAGTTTACTTTACTAAACACCAGTAAACCTGCAAAAATGCAAACTTCAAAATCACGTTACTTGTTAACATACAGTAGAAGCTCAACAGTCACAGAAAAAAATCTACATTAGCAAGGAATTCACCACAGAAAGGCAAACTGCTGTGAGTATGTTCTCCTTTGCATACTGAGTCCAGCTCTGACCCATATTTTTTAAGGGGGCGCTCTCATCCCCTGTGAGCGCGCAGAGGAAAGGAAAAGTTAATGCAAATAAAAAGTAAAATGTGTCTCCTACACTGACGGAGACAAAAGCTGTTTTCATTTCCAGCAGATGGTTGGGACTTCAATGAAACTGATAACACAAGACTTAAAGATTTGATGAGCCTCGTGAGAGCAATTCAGGACTTTGTAAATGTACTTCAGTTTTCAAAAAGAAAAATAAATACTTGAGGCTTCACATCAAGTAGCCTGATATGTGTTGACTAGCAAATCCTAGTTTGGGTACAGCCTCTGCTTTTAACAGAGTTTATTTTTCTAATCTTTTTATCTTGAGCTTGTTGATCTCGCAGAAGTATTCTCCTCGGATCTGTCTGTGCAGAGCAACAAAATCTCTGTTAAGCAGTGAGGCAGTGAATTCACATGGTGCAGAGAAAAGTGAAAAATGGAAGCCCCACACCATTGGATCTCACTGTTCCACGGGGCGATTTATCAGACCCAGTCTTTGCTGCGTAATAAAAGTTTTTACTCAGGTGGGAAGAGTTTAGGATACTTTACTACCAGAGAGAAAGAGCACCTGCTTAAGTCATGAAGCAGCTCTGCTCGGTTACATACTTTCTTCTTCAACCTTTTGCAATTGTGTTTTAGTAAATGTTTTACATTTTTACTAAAGGATAATCTGTTTCACCATTTAAAAAAAATATATTACTGAACATAAGCCAGACTAATGTGGAAAGGGAAATTCATGTCATATATATAGACAGCTGATTCAAATAACTGAGAATATCAGTCACTCCAACAGTTGTTTTCTGTTAGCCTCCGACTGCCAGAAGTACTCTGGAGTTCCAGGTCACAGAGCAATGTCATGCTTTGCATGGTCTGCACTTTGATTGTCATCACATGTACATTTTAAGCCAGGCTTAAGACAGCTTTTTAAATCGTATCCCTGCTTTTCTTCCTCTCCTAGTAAAGGTGATTTGAATGAATGAGGGTCAACACCTCCTGTTGTAATTGTCTCCATTATGCCTGTGAGGTGCAAACCGAGCACAGAGTTTTGAGGTCAGTTTATTTTGGAGATTGTTTGATGTGATTCATATGGTTTTGGTTTGCACCTTTACTCACCTGGAGGTAGTGCTGGGCGATATGGAAAAAAATTTATATCACGATATGGATCATTTTATGTCACGATAACGATATATATCACGATATAGTTATGGTATGCTTTCAGTTCTATGAAAAATTAAAGTGTATACAGCTGCCCTAGTACAGTGCCAGTACAAGACCAGCACTTAAAACTAGAAAAATGAATAAATAAATATGTGGCTGAAGTGTGTTCAGGTCTGTGCTCACCCAAAGTTATGCAACACTCACAGAAAATGCCGATAGTGTGAGCCAAAGCACTCCATAATAATAATAATAATAAATTTAATTTGTAATGCACTTTACATTTACAAAAAATCTCAAAGTGCTACAGTACACAGTAAAAAAAGAGCAGCAACAATAAAAAAGCAATAGAATGACAGTCACAGATTGGCATAAAAAACGCAAAAAAGAATAAAAAAATAAAGAATATAGAGTTGCAATGTAAGAGGCAAGGTAGTAAAAGCATAGAGGAAAGCTAACCAAAGGCTTTATTAAAAAGGTAGGTCTTTAGGGCTCTTTTGAAGAGGTTGTTCACACTGCTGGATGTTTCTCCTCCAAAGCTGCTCTCTGCCTCCATCATTGTTTACTTTACTCTTGAAGCACGTAGCAAGACCCGAGCATGAATCCGAGCGCTTTACTCGCCTATCAGGGGCAGACAGGTAAGGTGATTTGATTCGCCACGACTCCAGAAATGATTGAAAAACTACAGAATGTCACAAAATTACGTTTCCTCGCTCCTGACTTGAAGGGTACAAATGCGCGGCCGCGCTCCCAGCTGACAGGAAGTCAAACCACTGTTGTAGTTCTTTTGTGTTGCTAGCGCGGTCAAGAGTGTTGGCTCTCACTGAGAGATGACTACAAAAATGGACGCACCTGTTCATCTGGTTGTTAAACACGGCTGAAAATGATCATCTGTGAATGTTGTTCCCGCTCCTGCCCACTCCCGTTGCTTTTTTTTCCCATCCCGTCCCGATCAAGGGGTTATTTAAAAATGACTCCCATCCCGTGGGATTCCCGCGGGAATCACGTGACCCACGGGAATTCCCGAAAAATGTCATCCTCTACAGGGAAGGTCCCGGAGCAGATGAAACAGATGCCGGAGCGGCTGAAATAGGTCCCGGATCCGATCAAAAGAGGTCCCGGATCGCGCTCCGACTTGCTCCAGCACAAATTAAGCACTGCTTACATGATCCCCTCACGTATGTAACTCAGGTAACCCGCAACGGCGGGAGACGCTGGACACAAAGAGGGCACGTAAAGCGGCGTCATGTCGCAAAATCGAAAGAGAAATGCGAACCCACATGTCAACGCATCCTTTTCTTTGTAAGAAAATATTGTTTTCTTTCCGTTTGACACCAAATACACTTACTGAATGTGCAATTATTGTTGTTGTTACTATGAATCATCTGATGGCACAGGCCCTATGGATAAAATACAGCCTATCGCCCGAAACGATAAAAATAAAAATGACACGATAGACATTTTCTATCATGCCCACGATATCTATCGTCCTATCGCCCAACACTACCTGGAGGTGGTTTTTTTTTTTTTTTTTTTTTTTTTTTAATTTGCCAGCTCTACTGAGGTGCAGTCATTCTCAGTGCATCCCACTGCCTTCCTGCTTACTGCAGTATAGGATTTGTGTGAATTTGATAAGACATTATCAGAGTTTAATAAGTGCTTTTTGTGAAGTCCTCCACCTCATCTGGGCTCTAAAGCGGCTTTAGTTTTCACTCTCAAGCTCTCACTTCCACACTCCTCTCCTGAACAACACAAGGTCTGCGAAGGTAGAGGAAGGTTGACGATTAACATTCTCACCATTTGTGTCTTTCACTCAGCTCTCTTCTTTCTCTACATGTTAAGAGATGTCAACCAATTGTTATAATTCATTTTCTTTCTTCAGGCATGGACTGACAAGATGCAATAACACATCATATCTGCCACACCCAGTACCAGATGATCTCTGAACACCAGATGTTCTCCCATCCAGTCACACAAGCAACCCTTTAGAGATAAGCCTGTCCTGGTATCAACCAATCAGAGGCAATATTAGACACTCAGAGTTAGGGATGTAATGATGCATTGTGAGACAGTCAAAAATTGATACAAATGTGTGACGATTCAAATTAGCTCAGTGTCAGTGATTCAGACAGAGCTAGAGACATGGTGGTAGCTGCAAGTAGTTTTAAAATTAAGGATGCACAGATCAGTTTCAGGTCAGGGTGTGGCAGGATTTTGGCTTCTCCTGTGTTCAAAAATGGAAAGGGCGAGAATTTCACAGACAAGACAAAAGCAAAGTGCAGCTATTGCAAGAAGGTGATTACATACACAAATAGCACAACAAACATGATGCAGCATGTCAACAGGCACCACAGTGAGAAGCTCAAGTCACCACCGGCTGAGAGAAAAAAACAGTTAAAAAGGATAATCCACGCTGACAAACTAATTTAAAACCCTGCTCACCCAAACTAGTGCAAGGGCCAAGGAGATTACGAGGTGCATCAGTGTTTTTATGTCAAAAGATGTAAGGTTTATTTCTGTGTAGTTAAAAATGAAGGATTTTAGCTGTTAGTTAACTGGAGCCCGAATACTGCATCCCATCACACCCGCACTTCAGCCAGACAGTGATTATATATCTAAATAATATAAATATATTTTAAATATGCATTGATTCCATAGTTAGTTTTTTTCCTGAGAAATGGTTAAAGGAATCGTGTTCAGTCATAGACTGTATGCGCTAATTTTGGAAGAAAAAAAAAAAAATTGGGAGAAAATCCTATGGTCAACCCAGTATCAGAAATCGTATCGAATCATTAACTGGGTGTACTGTTATGTCCCAGCTCAGGGTTAATGCTGTAGCTGTCCAGCTTGTAGACAGTGAGTTGATCTTGTATAAAGTCCCTATGGAGTTGGAGAGAAGTGACGGCTGTTCAGCGAGGCTTGGCCATGTTTTGGTGGCCTGTTTTGATTGATTGATTAGTGGTGTTAGGGCTGCATGATATATCATTTGAGCATCGTCATCCTGATGTACTGTGCGCGGTAGTCACATTGCAGAGCCTGCTTTATAGGAGGCGAATGAGCTCATTTAATTTCAAGAGTAGCTGACTGAGATACACTGCATGTGACTCTGCATGTGCTGTGCAGCGATCCACCAACAGGGTTGAAAAAAATTGCAATGTTAGTTTTTTTGAATATTGTGCAGCGTTAAGTGGCATGCATGATAGTTCTGTCAATGTCTTTGAATTAGGAGTCAATAGCAGGAGTTTTTAGATGTATCTATTTGTGTAGATTTAGATGTGTTTCTACATGCAGTTCAACCAAAGAGATTTTTTATAGTTTATAAAAATGTATATCTGGATATGAGAGATCAGTCACCAGGAACTTTGGTCACAGTAATGTGTGGGAAGATGACAGCTGCATTGAAAGATAGAGAAGCTGGGATGTGTCTCTTCAACAGTTATACAGCTCACTGAATATCGGAACATCAAACAGCCTCACTGGTCTGACAGGTTAGTGAAATGCTAAAGCCAGTGTGTTAGCTTGCCCCAAAATGACCAGCTATTAAAACACCCGGCTTTTGTTGTGATGCAGGCTGATCATTACTTGTGTTTTGGAATCATAGTATACTCTAATCATAGTGTTGTTTCTTTTTTGCCAACTACCCTTACCCTGTATGTGAGGGGATAGGAACATGAAATGAGCCAGCACCAGCTCATCCACCTACCTGTGTCCTTTTCCTTTGAGCTGCTGTCTTTTTGTGCAACATCTTGTAGCCCAGGCTTTAATTAAAATCATGAAAAGCTGTGTAGCTCCGGGTCCTCGGTGCTGTTGCTTCCTAAATGGTATACAGGTGTAAAGACTTGTGCTGTAATTGATATGTTTAATAACTGCAGAATCCAGATTTTTCACTTTTATTGCAGTTTCTTATTTCTCATATTTTCTTGCTCTAGGGCATTTAGTGTGTTTTGCTTTTCTCCACGGCCTCAGCTTGAACTCTCATTTCTCCACCCAAAAACCTGGTCTGGACAGTGTCCCACTTCTGAGCCTTGATGGCGTTTATATTGAAACCACTCTGAAAACCTTTTTCACCAATTTTTACCCCTGAGCTTTTTCATATGTTTGGCTGGAAGAAACCAAAAAGCCATTTACACTCTAAAAATATGCTAGTATTGGGCCCAAGTAAAAAAATAAAGTAAAGCATTCTTCTTTTTGTGTTTTTCTACAAATAAAACTGGACACAGATCACAAACTCTTGCATAATGGTTCTCCAAGCTGTAGGGAACTGCTTTAAGTATAAACTGTACTTTTAAGTTAAAACCATTTAAAGCATAAGCTGAGGTAGGAATCAGTGGTTGACTCATCAGTAGATTGTGTCACAAGTCCCATGATGGTTCTTCTAATCACACCCAAACTCACAGTCTTTCTCTACATAGGATTATCACAGCACACATACATTGCAGGTATAGAGACACTGGTGAAGTTAGTTCAGCAGTTTGTGTGTGCTAACAAGCACATGGAAAAGCAGGACAACGCTCTGTGCGAGAAGTGTCTCTACACACTGCGCCATTGAAGATACATGAAGATTTATGACAACATACATATACCTTGCTTTTTAACAATTCACATAACTTTATTGATGACACCAAACACAGTAACTTTGCAATTATTAAAAAAAAAAAATGGAAACAGATGATACCCCATCTGCGTCTCATCAGATCTTAAGTTCACAGCTTGTCTTCTTCCCTCATATTTTCCTTCCTTGTCCTTGTCTCCTCCACTAAATCCATTTCTACTGAGTTTTGTCTCCTCACTCCTGGTCTTGCTCCTCCCCTGCTCTTCCTCCTCCTCCTCCTCCCCTGCTCCTCTCTCATAAGATTACATCTTAAGTCCTACAACAATACAACAGTTCAGCAGAGGCCCTATCTGCAATCTTCATGGACTGTGAAATTAGGTTTGAGGTAAAATAGGGCCAGTGGAGTTTACAGATGATTAGAGTGATTTAGGAGATTGTTGTTTGCAGGTACAGACAGACGAAGAGTCAGGAGAGGGGGGCTTGGTTCTTTTCATGTTGGCTGCTCCCATCTCATCAAGCATTCACACAACCTTGACCAATCCCACAAAATGGTTGTTCATACACCATCACAGGACAGATAGATGAACAAAAACTCCCATTACAGGTGCTCCTATTAGTTTTACCTTACCTACTCTTCTCTGGCCAGCTTTATCTGTTGTGGTAAACTCAGTGGCTTGCTGCCTTTTCTTCAGCACTCGCCTTTGTCTTGCAAGTTTTGTCTTTGAGTTTCTACATAAAGTAGCCTCTGCATTTTCATAATGTGTAGAGTAGATCATCAGGTTTTGTTCCTTAGAGACTTAAAGGTTGAATAATGTGGCATCAAAGATGTATAAAATACTACAGTACTCAAAAATCATGGTTCAAATCCTGGTATAACTCCATGTTGAAGTCATTGTTTGGTTTATTTTCGGTATAGTAAGGAAAACATAAGCAACACAATAGTGTTTGTTGCTTCTCGATCCACTCTGAATTACCAGGTAACGTCTGTTTAAATACCAGGGGCAGCTGAGTTGAATAACTGTGTATTTTTCCTTGTAGCAGTCATGTTTACCTCTGTGTGGTTGCTTCTTAACAAATTGTACGTGTTCCCATCAACGTTCCCATGAACAGTGTCTTTAAACTGCTTTGGTCTGGCCCACGTGTCTTTGTCTGTTTTAGATTTCAGGGGGAAACCGTTCTGCTTGGATTTTTTATACTTGTCATTCTGCTCGCATACAGTTCGTTACACATGTACACTGTACAGGAAGTCCTAAAATGGTTTGGCACTAATCGATGTACATTACACCCACTAATCTAATTCCATGACTTGACGCACATTACAATGCTACATACACAGTTTTTCTCAGGCAGTAACATGATTAATGAGCAAAAAGGCAAATACATGAAGTTCAACTGGAACAAGGACAGTAGCTCAACATACCAGTGCATGTAAATATGCAAACTGATTTCTTTAGCTGAAACTAGGGCTGCACGATTAATCGATTTTAAATTGTAATCAAATTATTTGACTATGACGAAGTTTGAAAAATTAAAATTGTCAAATCGATTTTCCTCTCTTATCATGTCTTGCGCGTCCAGGCCACCACAGGCTCCTCCTCCCTGCAAGAGCGCTCCCCAGTTCCCACACACAACAGTTTAAAAAATCAGGGCGTTTGCAAAAAAGGCGATAATTTTGTGCCTAAATAGGACAAGAGCAAGTCAGGTGCTTCGCAGTTTCGGATGAAGAGCAAACCACCCCCCGCTGCAAAGTCTGTCTGAAGGCGGTATCAACCTGTCGACATGTAAACGAATTCAAGAGTAAACACAAAAGTTTTTTTGTCACATCAGCATTTCATCCACACAGACATGGCGTTTCAGGTGACTGAAAACGGTCCTTTTTGACAATGTGTCAGAGAGTCCATAAATGACTACCATTTCATCTCCGTGTGGATGACTATCTGCGTCTCTCCTGTGCAGCGTTACAGCGCCACTTACTGGCTTGGCATATGCCCTACATCGTTTTTAAGTGGTTTCGTTTTGAGAGATGATAGAAAAACTTATTATTAAAGTGAAGTTTGGTAAAGTTGTCACCGAATAAAAAAATCCACATTAAAAACTGAATTTTCAGAGATTTTCATTCAGATTTTCATTTACTATAATTAAGGAAACATCTGTCTGAAAAGAACACTCAGTGGTAATGTTCAGATGCAGCTTTGTATTTGCTCCACATTACTTTGAATAATAGGCTCTCTCCACCCATCACTCATCACAGTAAATGAAATGTTTGAAGGATAGGATAGAGGACAGAGTCTCTGTCTGTGTTACAGAAGAGGTGGGAGATGAAGCAGCACTTTGGTTTTTGGTCATTTTTTATGCCATATTGCCTACCAGTGACAAGCATATTGTATTGCTTTTCTGTGTGTGTGTGATTGTAGCAAAATTTGTATGTTTTTTTAAACTGTTTTACTAAGAATTTGACCAAGTATTACCTTAGGAGCCCTTGTGATCGAATGATTAACAGCCCCCCTCCCCACATGTTTGTGTATTATACAAAACAGTTTGTTCTCCTGTGATAAGCCTCCGAGATTGACTCCAAAAAAAGGTGTAAAAACTTCCATCTATCCATAATTACCAACTTTTCCCTCTTTGAGCATCATCCCTCTCTCTGAGGATTCTGAAGCAGTCCCAGCCCAGATGGTGTATGTAATCCCTCTGCAGAGCCCTAGGTCTACCTTGAGGTTTCACACCAGTTGGACGTGCCCAGAAAACCTCGTAAGGGAGGCACCCAGGGGGCATCCTAATCATGTTCCCAAACCCTCAAAGGATTTTTTTCAGTGCAGAGGTGGAGTGGCTCAACTCTGATCTTACCCCGTTTGTCTGAACTGCCCTCTCCAAGGCTGAGCCTGGCCACCCCTCACAGGAAACTCCTCAGATGCTTGCATCAGCAATCGTTTGGATCTTATTCTGGTCTTTGAATCTAATTCTTTTGGTAACTACTCAAAGCTCATGAAATATGACTCTTTTCAGGAGTGAAAAGAGTCATATTTATCTGCCGGTACCTGCTCTGTACATAAGATTTAGAACAAGGAAAGTCACATAGAAATCTTTGTGCACATTGAAGTCTAATATCATTTAGTTTTTGTGGTTCTAGATGTTTTAGATAGATTTTTAAATAATATGGTGAAAAAGACAAACACAGGGGCTATGCTGTAGATACCAGAACATGTTCAGTATACTGCCATACTCTATACATCATTACTGAATTCATCTTAAACACAAGCTACATCCTGTTTTAGATCTAATTGAATTGAATTTGATTGAACTGTCATTAAAAGTGGGGAATTTCTTTTTTGTTAATAAAAGATAACATTGTTGATGATTGTGAGGGATGATGCTGTATGATTGAGCCGATGATATCAAAATGCCGTTCATTGGCTCGATTAATCAGCTGACTGATTAATCGGTCTGTCTCTGGTATTTAGGAGATATGTCTTTTTTTTACCAGTGACTAGAAAGATGTTGTATTTGATCAAACATAGATGGGCCATCTTTGGTGCTGTGGTGATGCAGCTCTGCTTGTACGTCCTAAAGGTTCATTGTTACACTGAAGAGTGTTGAGTTAGAGCACTTAAACATTGCCTAGCAGGATGAACAACACTTTTTGTTTTCTACTTTGACATTTTGGAGCAAGTGTCTTTGCATGCAAATCCATTTTTTATGTTCGCATCATCCCATCAGCCTCTGTGCTGACACTGTTAAACTGTGTGTGTGTGCGTGTAACAGAGGATGCAGTTCGTCTCTTTGATGCCACCTCCTGTTAAGTCTCTCAGAGCTGTGTGCTTTTCATTGCTCCTGTGTGGCGCTCCCACACATGCCATCTAAAAGCAGCAGGGAGCAGAGTCCCCCTTGCAGAGGCTGCTGCTGCCCTGTGTGTCCTCAGTAGAGATAGCAGCACAGGTCATTAAGAGGTGATATCGCTCTGGATGCTGTTTGGCTGTTGGCCATGTTTAAGGATGCAGAAGAGTGCACACAAGCCAAAGGAAGGAATCATAAGTGATAAAGCATGGGTAATGGCCAGCTCTGTCCCTACACATATGAAACAATCTAAAGGTTCATTACACTCAAAATCCAACTGAGCATTAAATGAATGACTGATTTTTTTTCTCCTTTTAAGACATAACTCATAATTGCCTCCACCCCAGCCACATCACAGGACTGCAGCATTTTATACCTCCAAAGGGTGAGTGCTGAAGGGGACTCCACAGTGACAGCCAAAATAGAATTATTTATAAGCCTGGTCCTTAGAGATTTATGCTGACATGTAAAACCAGAGCTCTGTTTGTTTTCTGCATGTCTGTGTGTTTGAGTGCGCAAAGCTCAGACATATGCAACACATTATGAATGATTCTCTCTATTCAGTGGCAGGCCACTAGTGTTGCCATGGTGATTAGTCTAAATGATTCTTGTCTTTTTATTTTCCTTTACTGCTTTAGTGTTCGCCTCCTGGGGATTACAGAGAGTAAATGTTGGGCCTGTGGAGAGAAAGATTTACCTCAGTGTGATAAAGCTTTCAGCTGTGTTAGAGTCACTCAGAGACTGTAACTTGTAAAGTTTATATTTATTAAACTAGCAACAATTAGCTGTAAACGATTGGGGATGTAACTTCAAAATCAGCTGTTAATAGAAGCTGAGCGGTGTGTTTGAGTCTCACATGCATACCAAGGACCACGTCTGCTGGATTTTTCAAATGAAACAGCACATGGTTTCCTTTCAGGGTAGTATAACAAATGGCTATCTAAATATATTCTACCCTGCACTATAAATCTATTAGTTAAGAGTGAATAATGCATCAGGAAACAGCCATACATCTTCTATAATTGTTTTATGAGTTTATTTTCCAGGCAGAGGCATATGCCTGACAAAAGCAGAACAATATTTTCAGTCCCTAGTGAGTATTACAGTGCTCTGAACCTTCCTAAATTGTGTTTCATATGCCATAAGGATGCCTTAATTGGGCTGTTTTGGGCAGACACTGATTGCTAAGGCAGGAAGATATCAACTTTTAAGGGCTTTAATAAAAAGATGTAGCCAGTGTTATCTGAGAGTGTTTCGGGGCTTCTGCTGTTGTGCATTATGCACCTCCACACTCTTCCCACTCAGCGTCAGTTTAAATTGTTGGAATAAGTTGTGCTGCTACTTTGATTTGTCACAGGATTTAGAGAGTTTTTAAGAGGACAGTGGTTTGCTGAAAGTCAGACCTTGAATATCTGCACAACTTTCAGAAGCCTTAGGGGCCTGTTTGGGTAACAAACTGCTCAATTCAGCCTGTGCTGAGCACCTTTTTGACATTTCCCGGAGCCTGAAGAGAGCTCTTGTGTTACTTTTGAGTAACAGGGGCTTAGGGACAGATTGGCTTTCTATATCGTTCTTATCAGCTAAGTTGAAGCTCTCTTTTTTTTAAACATTGCCCGCAATTTTTGGATACCTCTACAATTTTCAACATAATTACTTTACACTCAATTGTGTGGAAAAGCATGCACTCCTATGTGAAACAGGTTTGCACCATAGACTGTGTAAAGAATAGATGCCGTCTGCCTCCTTGCCGAGTGAAGCCACTCCGAAAACAGCACACCATCTGGTGACGGTCTGCAGTATAGGTCATAAATCCCGCCTCCTCTAGCAATCCCTATGGAGCTGTGGACCAACTTTAGAAATTCAATACACAGAATATAATTTTTTCTCCCCCTGGTTGCGATGTTGACATGTAGTTATTGTAAGACTGGTTTGTGCTGAAAGCCTCTTTTTTTCTGTGCCGCTTCATTTTTAAAAGTGTTAAGGGGGTTCATGTTTTCTATGATTGACACTGATACAGCCTATGGGCGTACGAAGATTGCGTAGTTCACCTGGGGAATACTCCCAGCGACTCATCCGCCAAATGCGTACAACGTTACTGCGCAAGTGGTGGTTCCAGGAAGTGGAGAAATCTTGGAAAGAGAGCAATTTGGCTTCAAATTCGTATAATGACGGAAGGCAGAGCCAAGTTGTCCACAGTATATACAGTCTATGGTCTGCACTCATATTTTCAGCCTAACTCTGTGAGAAGGAAAAACAGAAATGGGTGAATAAATACATTTCAAAGAAGATCTCTCTAAATGTGTCACAGCATTACACTGAAAAGACCCTTTGAAGAAATTTTACAACACTGTGCAAATGTGCCGCATCATATCCCTACATCCACAAAATTGGCTTAATTAATCAAATCAATCTGTCATTCAGCTGTACTGATCATCGATTTGATGAGATAGAAATATGCTTGATCCGTCTGTGGTCCCTCCACTTCAGAAAAGCCATTTGACCACCTCTCCTGTTACACTCCTGTTGAAACTGGAGAGTATTTCTAAACATAATACCGTCTGCCTGCTGAGCTTAAAGACTGAGACTGGAAGACTTAAGACTGGAACAAAACCAATCATTTCTTTCTTCAGTCAGAAGTCTCTTTTTCAGTGTGAAGGTCGTAAACCTTGATTAGGAGCCATGAAGCAGGAAATTAAAGCTCCAGCTAAGATCCTAATTTGTTGAATAACCCTCTGAACATACAAACCTTCTTCCTGCAAATCAGTTTTGCAAGATTCAGCTGTTCTTCAAAAGCAGATTTCCATTTAGCAGAAACCGCTCAGCTCTGCTGGTTAAGGCAAAATGTGGATATGTGGACATGTGGACATGTGGACATCTGATAGGATGCTGCAACTGTGTCTTAAAGACAGACACCATGTTAATAACTTCATCATTTCTTTATTGTATCACAAACACACGGCATCACATCCATTCATTCATTCAATTCAAAGCTTCGTGCACCAAAGCCTCGGGTTGCCTTTGATAATCACTCTGCCTGTTTTACATTTATTGTCCATTTGATGGCACAGTAGAGTAAATGAAGCACAATAATGAAGCTTCGGCCCAGGAGTCGAGTAATTCGATGGAAAGTTTCGATGCTTCAAGAGGCTTTATCTTGCCATCACTAATATGCCGCACACATTTATAGGTAAATGCACACTATATAAGGTATGGTGTGGCAAATTTAGCAGCATTCAGTAGAAATGAGACAATCTAAGTATGTTTGAATTACTATACAATCTGAATATAGAAAATCTCTTTGTTTCCGTTTACTTTGATGCTTTTGATACCCAAGAGTCCCCCCCTAATTGAAACATCTATAAAACAAACTATGAGTCCTAGCGAGTGGTAAATCTAATGAATGCACACTGATTGGACAAACGTGTGTGCCGATTCAAGCTAAGTTTGTGCCTTCATTTGGCTCTTGGCTATTTAACTTATATCTACAGAATCTTTTTTGTGTCATGATGAGCCTGATCCTGTGGGCGAGACGGGACTTAGCTGTGTCTGAGACCAGAATCAAAACATTTTCGAGCCCCTCATCCAGAGAGTCAAACATGGATACTGCAGACTGTCTGGGTTTGTGAATGTCGGAGGAAAACCAGAAGCATGCTCTGTGCAGGCAGGAATCTGAGGACTTAAGGGATTGTCTTTTTGTTGTGTTGCTGTGTTTGCAGGCACTTTTTCCCCCCCTCCTCTTTTTTCAATCAAATGACTGAGCTTCAAGAGTGAGCCTGAACAACTAAGCACATACTCTCAATCCAGCACTCACTCCTGAGGGGGCTGAGCAAGCTTTATACTGCATTTCCCCCATCAAGTTCCTGTTTTTCGAGAAGGGACGGTTTCTATCGAGCACTTTAATACTTGTGCAAAAGCTCAGGGGACGAGCAGACTGACTGGCCAGGAGCCAGGAGCTACATGTTGAATTTTTACACTAGAAGCTCTCAATCTAGCAGCCCTGATTTACTGTAGACAAAGCAGTGGTTGAATTGTTTCCTTACTTGAGTCTCTGTGGTTGTAAAAAACTTCAGAATATGATGACACAGAGAAAAGATGAGGAGGAACATGAGACTGAAGTCTCCAGAGACAAGATTTATTCAGGTGGTTCGTATTCCTGATTTGTTTTACTTGCCCAGCAGAAAATGTCAATAGCTTTTGTTTTCCTCCTGTGCTGATATTTGAGTTTTAAGTCTTTTGCTGTTGGCCAAAAAAAACTGCCAGTTATCATTGGTTGGACTAGCAGGTCTGATTATTTTCAATTCCTCATAATTTGTGTTTTAATGTCTTCATTCTTAGATTCTGCCTGCTTCAATGCATCAGAGGAATCAAACTTGGCACCATAAGTGGAACTGGAGTGCAAATAATTGCAAATAACTACCATAATGATCTGAAGCCCGTTTTTTGTTTGCTTTTTTTTCTTTTTCTTTTTTCCCCCCTTAGAATACATCTAAAAATTGTGATAGGCTTTTATTAGGATTTAAGTGAGTTTCAGAGCCAATGAGCCTATCAGCTTCTAAGTGAGTGAAAGTCCAGTACTTCTTTTAAAAACTACTCAGAACATCTAAAATCAGTTACAGTAATATGAATAAATGTCATTATTTAGTTATGTTAGTTATGTTCAAATGTATAACCACCAAATATCATTCATTAAAGGAGAACACTTTTCACTTTCACATTTAATATGTTGTCTGTGACTATTACCAATTAAATACCGGCCTTGAATGATTAGAAAACCATGAAATGTTGTTTTTATTAACATTTTACACAGAGACACATCTCTCCTGTTGTTGTCTTAATCCTGAAATTGACACTTATCCTAGTTTTCTGTGAAGCAGCTGACTCCGTCTCTTTTTGATCCAAATTGGTTTGAATGTCTGAATATCGGTTTGCCTGTCCATTTCTGTACATTTCTTTCTCATCTCACAACTGATTTCACATTTTTAAAGACCACTTTGATTCATACAGATACAGAGGCCCCTGTAAAAGGGTCTTCAAAAGCAAACATCCCTCTGGTTTTTCACATATCTACGGTACACCCAGATGGAAGATGCTTGCCTGCTGTGGTGTCAGTGCTGCCCCTGGATTTTCGGGGCACCTTTGTACATCTTCTCTTTTCATGTCTGCTTTAACGTCAGTCTTAGTTTTTCTTCAGGTCTTCCTGTAGATATTATTTCATCAGTTTCCCCTTTTAGATAAATTGCTACATTGAAATGGTTCCATGCCGGGGCTTTCTTGTGACAGTCTAATGTTGCCTGTAACTGTAGACCTTTCTACAAAGTTTCTTTTGTTGTCGCATCTTTATAGCTCTGCAACTTTTTCAGTTTTGCTTAGAGCTCAAAGTTGAAGCTTGCTACATGTCAACCTTCCCCAACCCTCCCTTATTCACAGGTTTCATGTTTTTTATGTTGACAGACTATGAAAGATAAACCATAATAAGTCAACTTGAAGGTGGTGACAGTGTAAGGTTACTCTGTCATTGGACTGTTCACACATCATATTGTCACACATTTTGGGCTGTACTTGAGTTTTAAATGTTTAATTGGATTTGTCTGCGTAATTCAAAGCTTTAGACATTTATTCCTAATTTTTCAGCTCATTTCTGAACTCCCTCTAAGCTGACAGGGGTGTCATATTTACCTGTTTGGTGCAGGTTTTTCAGGAGTTAGCTTGTGCGACTACTTTTCCCACTATTAACACACAAAATCACCTTTATTCTTTGACATTTTATTGAACCAGATGAAGAGTTTTATTCTGCTAGGTGGCCCCTGAAAGTAGGAGAACCTGTTTAAAAAGGGCCAAAAAGCACTGATTTAAAGCTACCTCATTTGATTCATATTTTCACCCTCTGTCGTTTACAAACCCATTTGTTTTAGGGAAGTAGAGACCTCTGGCTCAGTGTCAAGCAAAAGTCACATCATTCATTAAACAGTAGGGTAACTAATGTGGAGTCATTTTGAGTTTAAAGCCAGTGGCTCCAGCATTGTTATGGGCAGAATAGGGATAAGTCATGATTTTTAAGTATTCCCAAAGTTGTTGATTTGTAAAAAAAATATATACATATCATATATTAAAACATACATGTATTAAAAACATACTTTTTTATCATAATTTCTATCATGGCCTGGCTCTAATGGGCATCAGATGGGGACCATAGCCCACCTAAAAGCCTTTTTCTAGCTACCAGTTAGGGGCGTGCAATCTGACGATTTTAGATTGTGCTTTGGCAGATTGTCGTCACTATTTAACCCTTAACAGACATCGTAGAACTGCAACTGCAATAGTGGAAAGATCTGCAGAAGAAAAGGAAAAAATACAGAATCCGCTTCCTCTGTTTTCTTTGTCCCTCCACTCTGTCCCCCTGTTGATAGTGAGGTCGACTAAAGAAACAAAGTTGATGGGTTGTACTGATGAACTCAGTCACCCTGGGCGTTGATGATTGGTCACCTTTTTAAGGGTCAGTCCAGCGGTCTTTCTGCATCATGTGGGCCACATGGGTCATTTGTGTATCTTCTGGAGACTTTAATCAATCTATGCAGGATTTGGTTTACCTTTTTAAGTGTCGAGAGGAGCTTATCTAGAATGAAAGGCCATGAGCAAACAGGAGAAAGAGGTTTTCTATCATAACATCATATGAGAAGCTAATAAAGGAGATACAGCTTTGCTTTGAACCTTTAAAATGAGATGTGTCAGGTGAACCCACAGCTCTAATGACCTAATACCGATTGATACTAAGAAGATCTTGAGCTTGCATTGAGCTGGTTTATTTGTTTAACTTGAATGTGTTGATCCATCACCCGTAAAGTCCTTTTTTTCTGACATTTTCTCTCATGAACTAACAGCTTCTGAGTCCACTTTGAACTGGGCTTTGAACCCTCCCTCCTGAGTTAACTCTTTTCATCTCCACCAGCCATGCAGTTCTTTGCAACCGTCTGTAAAGATCAAACCAATCCCAGTTTGTTTGCTGCACATAATAAATGTTTGGTGAGAAAAAAAAATGTTCCAAAAACTCTTTGGGTTGAAATCCATGCAAGGTGCTGCTTGCAAATTTCAGATTTCAAAAGAAATCCTTCTCATTGAGTTAACATGTGAAAGGTTAGTTTGATGAAGGTGAAGATGTAGGGGATGTTTGTGCCATGTCTGACAGCCTTTCTCTCTCTCTCTCTTTCTTCTGTTCATGTTGCAGGTTCAACTACAGGTCGACTCACCATCTCACCACTAATGGCTTCTACGAGTTCCTTAACTGGTTTGACGAAAGAGCCTGGTACCCTTTGGGCAGGATAGTCGGGGGAACGGTGAGAGCTTTTAGTGCTTCGTTGGTGTGTGAGTGCTCCTCTGTGGGAGTTGGGGAGAGATTGCACTTTGTTTCTCAGCCCCATTCTTTCTTTGTCCTTATTTCTCAAGAGTCACATTACTGAGATAAATCATCACCTTAAACTCACACTCGGTTTCATGTCTTGCACTCAGAAACACAGGCACACGTTCACACGTAGTTAGCATGGCAGGCAGTTAAAGAGCTCCTGAGGGAGGTTGAGAGTCGAAGAGGAGAGCTAACGCGATACAGAGAGTAGATCTTTCTTGAACGGGTGAAAGACTGACAGATGGAGGTCACTTCAACACGTCATTATGCTACAACTCATCTCTGAACTCATCTTCTTGTGTATATTTATACCCCTCTATCTTAGCCTGTCATCAAAGATGGGCATTAGGACTACCAATACACCCTGGAGTATCAGTGTCTCCAGACCAGGACTGTTAAGATGCTAAATTAGATTTGGGGGGGGGGTCAGTACAGCTGTTCTCTTGTCATTAGTTCTGTTGGAGCTTTGATCAGCTACAACAGAACTAACAGAACTCTTTATCACGTTCCACACTTTTCTGAATAAATAAAAACAGTCACTGCAACTTCAGACTTTATGGCATGATGTAGAAATTCTTGGAGCTGCTGCAGCCATGGCCATTTAAGATTAGAACAACCTGTTATCTCCAAGGTCTCCGTGGTACAGTCCTGTCGTAGAAGTGTGATGACTGAATTAATTTGGTGGGTTTGTGGAAGTGTACGCTGTAGATGACTGAATGATTCCTTCAGCTACGAAAATCATTCTGACATTGTAAAAGGTGATTGATCAAAGCAGTCCATGCTAATTGTTTCTCAAGTTCAGCTAGAACTCAGACCGGCTGCTTCTCGTACCCTGTTGAATACTGTTGTAGTATTCTGTTACCTCCTGAGGTCAGTGTACTTTTACCTTTTGGATACTTCAGATGAAGCAACCACTGTTTGTAACTGTTATACACCATTGTAATGTTGAAATTCAATGTTTCTAACTAGTTTCTGACATTTTGCATGACACGTCCTTATTTTATCCATCAATCCAATCAGTCATCTAGACTTCCTACTCCAGCTTTTCCTGGAGTTCCAGGGCCAGTTGGGAGACAAAGTCTCTCTCCAGCATGTCTTGGGTCGTCTCTGGGGTTTCCTACCATTCGGATGTGCCCTGAAGTCCTCACCAGTGAGGCATCCAGGAGGCTTCCTGGTTCGATGCCCAAGCCACATCATCTGACTCCTCTCAACACGGAGGAGTGGCAGCTCTACTCTGAGTCCCTCCTGAATGACTGAGCTTCTCACCATGTCTCTAGTAGGGTTGGGCATCTTACATATAAGGCCGATATGATACACATCTCGATACAATGTCTCCAATCCGATACATTTAAGATACATGTGTGGCATTATGCGATGCAATATGATGCGATTCACACCCAAATCACGATACAGAGCTACTCTTTGGGCTTTGCTCAGTGGCTACCCTATCTTCTAACTTTGTTGTGGAGGCCAGGACTCCGCTTTTCAGAGAATAGTTTTCGGTTTGGTATTTTAAATTGAGGCTCCAAGACATGAAGGAGGAGTTTGAAACCTTGGTGGAGGACCAGCCGTTTAGCGTAGTACAGGATAAAGGCTTAGTAAATCTGACGAAACACCTGAGTCCACGGTACAAATTACCAAGTAGGGTGTTTCATCAGATTTACGAAGCCTTTATCCTGTACTACGCTAAACGGCTGGTCCTCCAGTGCCACGAACTCCATTATTTTCCTAGTGGTGGCTTTGGACTTTTCAGTGCTGATGTCGAACATAGGAGCCACGACGGAGGGTTGTTGTGGTCGCTGCGACTCTGCTGCATCCCTCCTCTTAGCTGCAGTGTATTCCTTATATTTGCTAAACGAGCCTGGGTGCTTCTTTTCCAAGTGGCGTATTAAGTTTGTTGTTCCAAATGTCTTAGGCGTTGATTGGTACAAACTACCAAGTAGGCGGTACTTTTCTGACACAGAGCTGCCAGAGTCGTTTGAGAGAGGTACTGGAGGGGTAGTCAATAAATTACATTGTACCAGGCAAATGCTGGGACGTTTTTGAATGTTGTTTGAATGTAAGTTAGTTATTGACCTGTAAACTGGACTGAATGTTATGGTCAGTGTTGAAAATAAATCTGCTCAGGAGGCGCTGTTGAAACTCTCACTCTATTTCTTATTTGTGAGGTTTTATTCTTGAAAAAGGGGGGTTATGATAGCATTGGAGAGGGGTACTTAAATTAAAATTGGGAATGGGTACTCAAGCCAAACAAATATGGTGTCTATTGTATGATTATAATTATTTCTTAGATAGAAAATCGGTATCGGAAAAACCGGTTTTGGCAGGTCAGACCTCCTTTAAAACTGGAAATCGGTATCGGCCAAGAATATTGCAATCGGTGCATCTCTAGTTTGTAGTGTTACCTCCTGATGTAGCAACAGTAGCACCACAGTGTCTGGCATGCTGCCCCTCTTTGGTACCAAACTTTCTGCAGTGTCAGCTTCTGTAGCAGAATTAGACCATAGTGCGACAGAGTGCTGTGATGACTTCTCTCTCTACCTGCTCTGCTTCGCTCGCTCACAAGTCATATGACCAGATCATGTGACCAGTCAATATCGCTGCCTTTGTGGTTAGAAAATTGCATTTTATCGTATCATGATATCATATCACCTTATCACAATATAATCGCAAACGTTATTAATCATTCAGCTGTAATATGTGAAGGTAGGAACGTAGATTGACTAGTTTATCCAGAGCTTTGCCTATCGGCTCAGCTCCCTCTTTACCACTACAGATCGGTGCTGTGTTTGCAGTGATGAGGACACCCGTCCATCTCCTGCTTCATTTTGTATTTTATTCTTATAATTTCCCCAGCTTCAACTTCAATAACACTGACAGAAGAGATCTTGCAAAGCAGTCCCACAAAGCTGGCTAACAATGTTATCAATCAACTCTGAGTTACCCACAGAACTTACATGAATGACATGGTGTCAAGAGCAAACATGAACAAGTCTATGGTCAGTGGATGGTCATATTTTGCAAAATCATAACCAACTCTGATATTAAAAATTATGACTATTCCACATTATTGTGCAATAGGGCTGAGAATAACACGAAGTGTCCCAGTTAAAGGAGAGTCAGGATTTGTACTGATGTTTCAAATAATGCTTAAAGCCAGTAGTCAATAGTCTGTACGGATGGTGTTTCCAGACCCTCCTGTGAAGTCCCTCTGAAATGTCCCTGGAACATGTCGTACAAACTGCATGTCAGGGATCTTTCTCCGCAACTGTGTTATACTCCCACGCTGCACAGACACTTTCTTTCATATTTGATACAAAATCAGAGTCTATTTAGCAGGAGACTTCTGCCCAATAAAAGAAAAAAACTCCTCTGAATGAGCAGTTCAGTTCAACGACTTAAAAGGTAAAATTGGAGGCTGCAATGTACAGACACACACGGCTGCTGACATTGTTGCTTGGCACTTTACCGACTGATGTCTCCCAGCAGGTCTCTCAGCAGGGTAGATACCAATGCTCGCCAGTACATTGGTGCAACCCTGATCTCTGTTGCTTTCATTTATTTTTTCCAATTGTTTGATGACTTGGCTTTTTTCTTTATTACATGTTCCAAATTTTACATTTACACCAGAGCCCCTGTTTGTTCTCTTAGGCTGATTTTTCTGCCCCAAATCCATTCTTGTTGACAGTATAGATTCACTGTTGTGCAGCCATAACACTTTTAAACATGCTGCATGGTGATAATAAAATTGCATTAGCAAACAGATTTAAAGTTAGGCATAGATATTACATCAGGGCGGATTTATTACAACAACTGTGTTAGCTTCTTTTAGTCTCTGTTGGAGCACAATAGTAACTTTGTTTAGAATTTTTCAGACAAAAACAGGTCAGCAAACTGATCCCTCCTCTTCCTTGTCTTTTCAGCCAGCTCATAGAGCTCTGTAACTCAGCAAATTGATCAGCAAGCTGGTTTTCCTTATCTTGAACATAACCTGCTATGGAGCAGATTAGGTGGTTAGCTTATGTTACCATGGTGATCACCTCAATAAGAAGTAAACCACCGTTGTGGGACTGAAAACTTGAGTCGGGTCTGAAGCGACTTCCACAAACTCAAACCTTGCTCTGTAGTGTGCCCCCCCGAGGTTCACTGATTTCATACACCCAGGTTGGATGCACCGCAGGGGGCTGACTAGTTGAGTTAATAGAGGACAACTTTGAGCATTAATGCGTCAAGCATTGTATTTTATGATAAATAAAAACGAAATCCAACCTCATTTCATTAGAAAAGTTCAGTTTGGGAACAAAACTTAAAGTCTTCGACCTCCACAGATGGCGTTCGCTGCTCTCAGTTGGACATCACTCTGATTAGAGGTGACATGAACTGAGGCACAAAAGTGATGTTCTGAGTTACTTTAACAAACTAGTCCAAACAAATGGGCTGTCTGTGTGGTTCTTGAGTGTTGTGAAATATCAAAAACTCTAAAAACCCAAATGTGAACAAATGTTCTAGTTTCAAGTTTTTCACCCAAGTTTAACATTGATTCAAAGAGAACTCATACCTTTTTTTATTTCTGCAAAAACAAGTGGACCTGGTTTTATTCTGTGTTGATAAGTTAGCTTTCAACAGAGCTTTGGCATTCAAGGTAGTAACCAGGCTTGTTCAAGCCCGATATCTAACAATGACCTGAAATATAATATTACAACACAAAAAAAAAGAAATAAAGCACAAAATGTAATAAGAAATGTACTGAAACCCTTAATGCAATAACTGACCCAAAATGTAAAAACTTACTACTATTTGGCAAAAAGTGATTACGTTTTGGGCTCAGCATTATTGACCAGTTATTACATTTGGGGTTTTGTTACTTTTTTTTTTTTTATAAAATTTTGGTTACAAATTGGGCTGTAACAAGGCTGTATTATCTGTACAGCATCTGTGTGAACCTATCAAACAGTCAGATAAAGTATTTCACAGCTTAAGAAGTGCAAATAGAGGATGAAGCGATGACTGATGATGATGAAATATCTTTCTCTTTTAAATATTTTTCCTCTTTTCTCTCACTGACTCAAAGTGATTTGATATTTTTCTGACATCTTTAGATAATTTAGGTTCATATTGCCTGTCTGGAGAAGGTCTTAAAAATATCTACTCTTCTCTCCTCAGGTGTACCCAGGCCTGATGGTCACTGCTGGCCTCATCCACTATGTGCTGAACCTTCTGCACATCTCTGTCCACATCAGGGACGTTTGTGTGTTCCTGGCTCCAGTGTTCAGCGGCCTGACCTCCATCTCCACATTTCTGCTCACCAGGGAGCTTTGGAACCAAGGGGCGGGGCTTCTCGCTGCCTGCTTCATTGCCATTGTCCCTGGTTACATCTCCCGCTCTGTGGCTGGCTCCTTCGACAACGAAGGCATCGCCATTTTTGCCCTGCAGTTCACCTACTATCTTTGGGTAAGACCATACATTTATATATTTTTAACCATAGGCTGGAATACCAAACTCTAATTAATCAGACAATTGTGCAATTTATAAGGCTGGTAATTTTAACTTATATTTAGGAATCTGGCGGGCATGACAACATAGTGGAGCCTTTAGCTGCTAGGAAAGCCAAATAATTTTACCAAGAGCTGAACCAAAGCTGAAAAAATCTGAAAACTATTTGACTGTCAGAGACAAAACACAGCTCCCAGAAAAACAGATGTTGTTTTGTATCCTCTGCATGTGTAGGCAGCTCTTGGCGACTGTGTTGGCCAACAACATTTTCTGATTATGTAGACGTACAGCGTGTTTTGTTAAAATATCAGTTTTTTTAAATTCAACTGGGTTTTTTTTTGTTTGTTTGTTTCTGCTGCCGCAGTTAATCTGCTGCACCCTTCTGGAGAATTGGTTGTGGTTAATGTTAGGAGGAAGTACAACAAGTGCTCTTCTGGGAACACAGGATGTCAAGAGGTGTTGTGGCCTCACAGCCACCATCTTGTTTATCGGTGTGTTTAAGGTCTTTATTTCCATTAGGATTTTAGTGTTGTTTTCACATATCAAGGTCCCTTACCCAGCTGAATAAACAACAGAGTGCATTTTTGGAGTTGAAGATGATGTTTGAAAGCAGAAGGAGCCCTAGACATAGGAGTTTCAAAGGTCAAAAAGATTATTTCGCTCATCCTCTTCTGATGGGTCTTTGGGGGCTGTCTACTACTTGGTGTCACTAGCAGCTTAAAGCCTTATTTCAGCTTAAATCTGTGGTTCAAAAGCACAGTGACACGTCTTGAAACAGTAAAGAAGTGCATGGCAGGGAAAGGTGAACTCACCTGTTAAAAACAGGTACTCATGAGTAAAACATTAGGGGGGAAGGTGAACTTGAAAAGCTGTAAAGAATAGTAAAGACTCCCATCAGATGACAGCATTAGACTTAATGTTCAGTCTCTCTTTTCTCTTAAGTGAGACTCTACTGTCTGCCATTACAGATTAGTGATGCTCTGAAACAACTGATCCAACTGTATACTGACCCACTAGCCTGATGGTAAAAAAAAAGAAAAAAAAAAAAAAAAAAAGATGAGCATGGCTAATCTTGGTCTCTCAAAACAATAACAAACCGTTTTTCCTGGGGCTACCTCTATCTGAGCTAGCACCACCAGCATTTGGTCCTCCTTTCAGATTAACATCCTCATACCTGTGCTGCCCAAGTCTAGTGGATATATTCAAGTTTAACCAGACACAGCCTACATACAGCCACATGTCATCCGTGTCTATTAGAATTGTTGACAGTCATGAACCGGACCTACAGCCCCGGCTAGTGGTAGGTTTCAGGCCTACACTAACAAAATACTACTACTATAACCACTATTACTACAGGTAAACCATTTTGTAAGCATTGGTACCCTCTCAATTTATCCATCACCCTGATCCTCTGTGGTTTTTGTGTGAAGCTATATGGGCTAATGTTATTCTTAGTGAACATAATTCAGCATGGCGTTTCACGCTTACCTCCGAGATTAAAGCAGGGTTCAGGTATTAAGATGCGAAGCCCTGGAGTCTCTGTTAACTGGAGCCGTGGATAGAGGGGAACAGTCCAGCATGATTGAAAGATGAAGATAAGACTTTGTTTTCAGGCTCCGGATCATAAATTTGAAAACCAATAGTGAATAAGTCAAACTCAAATGTAGACACAGAGGATTTACAGCTGTAACTTTGTGATATATGCGCTGACAGGTAAATGGGATGTCTTTGATAGTATGGATAAAAAACACCTTGCCTACCAGCTCTAACTTGGCTCTTTCAGTAGCTGTATTTCATTGGCGCTGTTCCTCTATTTACTCACTTAGTCAGTAGCAGTCAGCGTTCTCTGGCCTTTTTGGGCCCTTGTTAGCAGCTCTCACGTACTGCTGTGGGGAAGGTACAGATGTGTAGGACACAATGCTCTGCTTTGTATAGGTTATTAAGGAGGGGAATATGCTGAATAATTCAGACAGTCCTTTTTGGTGAGCAGTAGCAACAGCAGAGCAAATGCCCACAGACAGATTGTGAACAAAGCAGTATAATGGTAGCAGCGGATGTGGATTAGACTGTGTGTGTATGTGTGTTTGCGTGTGATTTTTTTAAATGCTGGTCTTTGTCAACTGCAGGTGAAGTCAGTGAAGACGGGATCAGTCTTCTGGACCATCGGATGCTGCCTGTCCTATTTTTACATGGTAAGAGCACACAATCTTCAGACTTGTCTTCTATTTGGATACATTTGTCCAGATACAGTAACACTTTATATCAAAGTGCTTGTCAAAAAGCATTAATTAAGCATTAATAAGCCACTAAGAAGAGTTTATGAGATGCTTATAGACATGTATACAACTCAATAAGTCATTAATTAATTAGCTTATGTATTGCTTATTATACACTTATAGGCTCTCATAGGGCTCTCTAAAGCTTTCTCATTTCCATCCATCCATCCTCTACTGCTTCTCTTTTTCTCATCTTCTTTTATTTACTGAGGTAGCAGCCTAAGCAGGGAACCCCAGACTTCTCTCTCCCTAACCATTTCATCCAGCTCTACCCACAGCTCGTCACCATAGGTGTGGGTAGGAATGTTGATATCAAGAGCTTTGCCTTTTAGCTCAGCTCCCTCTTTACAACTACAAATCCGTACAGTGTCCGCATCACTGCTGACACTGCATCAATCCACCCGTCAATCTTCCGCTCCCAACCTCTTCCCCCTACCCGGAAAGGGCGCTCCACCTTTTTCCATCTGAGAACCATTGACTCATATTTAGAGGTGCTGATTCTCATCCCAGCTGCTTCACACTTGATTGTAAACCAATCTGGTGGGAGCTGGAGGTCACAGCCGATGAAGCCAACAGGACCACATCAACTGCAAAAAGCAGTGACCCAATCCCGAGACCATCAAACCACACACCCCCAACCCCCAGAAATTCCGAACAGAATGAAATTTATGAACAGGATTGGTGACAAAGGGATGCTCTGGTAGAGTCCAACCCTCACTGAAAAGAGTCCAACTTACTACTCACTATGTAGACAAAGCTCTGGCACCGGTCGTACAGGGAATGAACAACCCTTATCAGGGTGTCTGATACTCCATACCCCCCGGAGCCCCCGCACAAGACTTGCTGAGAAACACAGTCGAATGCCCTTTCCAATTCCACAAAGCACATGTAGACTGGCTCCTTAAGTTATCATTTTTAATTAATACTTATTACAAGGACCTTGATATAAAGTGATACCTATTAAATTCTTTGTGCTTGTATAAGATCTCTGTCTATGATAAATGAATACCTGCAGCATCAAAAATGCTTTGCAGCAGGTTATCAGAAAATCCGTTTACACATTATATCCTCCCCTCTATTGACGCAGTGATTGACGAGCAATGTCTGATTTTAACTGCTGTAAAAATGCGTGTGCAGCTTGGTTGCAGCAGGTGTTTGTGCAAAAAACTTTTGATTAAGAAGCTGTCATGAAAAACCCTCATCCACACTTCATGCATCATCTGTTGTGACAAGGTAATATCAAGTGAAATATTTCAATTGTGAGCTTATAAATAAAGTCAGAGGACCAGACACATAGAAACAGAGAGAAACAGAAGACGCAGGACTAGGACACGCTTGTTCGTTAAAAAGGAGGAAAGTTACAGTAGATGTGGTAAAGAATATCCGAACTGACAAAATCAGAAAGTAAGGTGAGCAAATTCAAGGTGCTTGAACACGCAATGAAACATGTTGGGGGACCGTGCACATTTAATAAACTGACCTAATGAGAGAAGAGATAGTTGGCATAATGTTTAAAATATCTGAATGAGAGCACCCTCAAAAGGCAACAGCAACACCAATGTGGCAGGGAGGTCAGATTCAGGGGATTGAATTTTGTTTGGCATTCAAGCACAGAGCCTTGCTTAAGCCTCCAACTTCAAGTGGATGTTCATTATTGGATTGTCCAAAAATAATTCTATGTATTCAACAATATACCAGCCCCCCAGATACACTTTGGTGCAAGAATCCAAATGGATGCAACGCTGTGATGGCAATAATGGAAAAAACATTGTCGATTAAGGCAATAGGTGCCAGTAGGAACTGAATCCCATCTCACATTTAACAAAATCAGCAGCAAACCCACTACTAGCAAAAATAAAAGGGACCATTTGGGGAAAACACTGCAGCATCCAGCAAACTCATGTCCACATATGATGAGACACTGCTCTGATGAGCTGCTACCAACAACAGAAGGACCTGCTACACAACGTGCTGTCCCAGCAAACACTGAATGAAGCTTCTGACTCTAAATCTCCCTCAACTGTCTGGGATTACAAATACACTTAAACACTTTCTTTGAAAAGACTTGAACACATAGCATTGCTTATAAAGGCCTCAGACAGCTGCTTGTTTCAGGTTGGCTCATTACATGGACTGAGGTGCATCTGCTGTAGGCAGATGTGAAGCAAAAACACACCACATTTTATGTGTTCACACACTATATAAGCCATTATTCATCTGTGATCAGTTCATGTCACCCAGATCTACACCCCGTATATACCTGTAAAAATGGTCTTGTCTTTAAACCACATGCACTCAGAGTCACAGAGACACGCTCAAATCCAAAGCACTCATGTGTCCTTTAAAACACAGCCTTTCTTGTTTAATGTCAAAATACTTCTGATGCTGTAAAAAAATTGTGCATAGAGTACTAATGTCATTGAGAACCACATATTTTTGATAGTTTTGGAACAATTTACATTTATTTAATTACAACCATACTCAACACATGCTAACTGCAACACTTATAAGGAGGGAAAGTTAACCTTTGCAACTTTAAACACATCCTGTTTGAAGATGTAGAGAGATCAGAAGACAGAGGGTGGGAGGAAAGCATCTGTGAGGAAAGCGCAGGTGTGTGTGTGTGTGTGTGTGCGTGCGTGCGTGCGTGAGAAATAGGCTAGTTTGGGAAAACTGTTAGTGTGTAACTCAGATCTATATTATAGAAAAGGGGTGATGTAGTTTGCCTGCCTGCAGTGCTGTGCCTCTTTTATGACTGATATGTGCAATAATATGTGGTTTTGATAAATGAAAGATAAATCTTTAAAATTCTTGATAGGTCTCGTTTAAAGCTGAAACGTCCTTTAACCATAATACATGATGTTTTGTAAGGCTGTGCATTTTTTCACTCACAGACACAGAGGTCAAAGCAGTTTCTAAACTAAGTGCAGGGCTGAATAATAAAGTAGATGGTAAATAAAGTAGAGCAGCAAAAGTACCATACATCTGACACATAGAGGCACTGCAATTTCAATGCCATGCCACCCCTCTGCTGACAGCCTGGCGCTGAACATCTGTGGATGATCATCAAAGTGTGTTTGCCTTAGAACACTGAAAGCTATTTCCATCTTTCTGGGGACCTTTTCCCTTAGCCCCTTAACATCCAGCGTGACTGATGAATCAAACAGCTCGTGCTGTAAACAGTGGAGCCTCTACTCTGCCAGCTGCTTATGACCTGGGAGTTCAGGACACTTGGAGACAATGAGTACAGAGTCAGTGAAGAGTGGATGTGTGTTTGTTGTCTGAGCATCTGCAGATCTGTGTGTACATGTATGTCTGAGTGTGTACGCATTTGGGGGTTTAGGGACCAAGAACATTATCTAAACAGCAGTGTGAAGGCTCAGCTCTTAATGATTTCACAGCTCTCAGGTGGGCTCTACATCCCCCCTCTTATTGCTACCCATCAAAGTGTGTGTGTGTGTGTGTGTGTGTGTGTGTGTGTGTGTGTGTGTGTGTGTGTGTGTGTGTGTGTGTGTGTGTGTGTGTGTGTGTGTGTGCGTGTGTGCGTGCGTGTGCTTGTGCGTGCGTGCGTGTGCTTGTGCGACTACAAGGACTGAAAAGCTTGTTAGAGTACTGACTATCTACTGCAGCTGAAAGAATTGCTTGGGCTCAGAAGAGATCATATTCCCATCATAACAAAAAGCAGTTAACCAACTGTGTGTGTCACTGGGAGGCTTTTCTGTGCACACACTTCCATTGTTCAAACAGTTACACCTCCTTTAATGATAACTATTGAACAAACTTTAACTTACAGCAGGAAGAAAATGCTCTTGTTTCAGGAAGTGTATTTCTGTTTCTCTTGCAGGTTTCAGCTTGGGGTGGTTACGTGTTCATCATCAACCTGATTCCCCTGCATGTGTTTGTCCTGCTCCTCATGCAGCGCTTCAGTAGGAGAGTATATATTGGTGAGCTACAGCACACACACACACACACACACACACACACACACACACGCTTACATAGACATACAACAACATGATCAGAGGAATTCGGCTTTTACAATAATGCTCACAGGTTATTGATTATTTCTTGTTCAGGGTAAACAAACATTAAAGGCATCACAACAGATACACAGAGTGGGGGAAAAGAATATTTCAACTGGTAATAGTGTTGGGAGGTATGACGCAGTGGCGGCCGGTATATAAGGGCGCTGCGGGCGGAGCCCCGCCTGAGCTGCGTGAGCGATGTCTGCTGTCTCCCTGAAAATGATTCTCAAAGTAAGGAAATGGTGGTCTGTAGCAGGAAAGCCAGACCGCATCTGTTTGGATGCGTTTCCATACATTCTCCAGCGTGTCATGGGAGTTTGTTCCCATCATTTGATTGGTCAGGTTTGGGTGCGCTCCCTATAATCACCAGCGTGTCCGGCAGACTGCTTGGCATAGTTTCGACGAAGAGGAAACAGCTTCACTGGTGGTGGTCATGGCGAACGCAGAGATTAGTGGCAGTACAGAGCAAACAGAGGCAGCCCGACCCACCCAACGTGAGGAAGAAGAGGAGGAACATGTTCCGAAAAAGGGTGCGAGTCACGACATTGGTTGTCTGGAGATTCTTCAGATTTAGAAAATCCAACAATGATCAAAAAACAATACCATGCAAAGAGTGTTGTTTGGCTTTCATTGCTGGAGTAGGAAACACCAGCAACCTCTTTCACCACCTAAAGATGAAACACGCCAAGCTCCATTATGAGAGCCAAAAGATGCGTGGCGCACACGCCACATCAAAAACTAAAACTGTGGCAGCTCCTTTCATACAAAAGAGCTCAGCAGAGTCTAGAATTTTGTTTGCATTTGTATATAAATCAGAGTTTAATAATAAAAGGAAAATGAACAAATGCGACAGTATGTTCTTTTTTAACCACTAATTGAATTTTCAGGGAAAAAACATACTATGATATCTACGGTTACCATGATATGAAATTACTCATAACATGATATAAGATTTTGTTCATACCACCCAACACTAACTTGTAGTAGTGTGTAGCTACTGGCCCTACCCACTGGTAATTCCCACTCCAGCTCCATGAACAAAGCTGTATGTTCTCTACTGTAAAAAGACTTTGATATGGTAGTACTGCAGAAAGGAGCTCATCATTCTTTATTTTCACCATTTATGTACCTCAGACTGATAATAATACCACGCAGGAGCAGTTAATGAGACAAATACCAGTTTCAAACCGATTCACTGCAGAAAGGTAGACAGGCTTTGTCATCACAGTGTAACAGAAAGAAGGAGGAAATGCTGGCAGGGGGAAAAAGAAAGGAAAAAAAGATGAAAGCTTTCTTCTCTTCAAAGAGCTTGCCTGGTCGCACACCCTGAACTCTCCTCACTGACTAAGAATAAAGTCCTGACCCCAGGCTCACAGCACCCTACTGACACCACAGCACTGTGCTACAGTGATTTCATAACCAAATCAGTAACTCATACACACACACACAAACACACACTATCGGGTCATAATGCTGCAGAAATAACGACATATCAGCACCAACAAAGTCCACAAATGGGTGAGGTTAACTTGACAAAGAAGGTGCTGAACATGTGATGGAAAAGAAACTGAACTGAGGACTGAGAGAAGGTGGGAAATGCCATGAGGTGACTGGAGGATTCTTCTACAGGATTATCAGAAAAATGAATAATTTAGCATCAAGCTGACTTTCCTATACACCTTTCACGCTCTACTACTTCCTTCACCCAGCCTCCCACCTCCCCTCCCCTCCCCTCCCCTCCTGTGTGTCTCTCTGAAGACCAGCTGCAGCAACACAGTACTTTCAAAGTTGTAATAACTCACTGTGGTGCAAACCTGTGCTCAGGAGTCCAGCCCCTTACCTGCTGTCACACACCGGCCCCCCATTTACTAAGTCCTCCCAGGCTAATGAAGCATAAATACCAAGATGTAATTGAACTGAAATTTCATTTTCTCATCAGCAGCATCTGGTCTGTAGTGAAACACGAAACCCAGAATAGAAACTACACATTGATGCTTGGCTCTCCAATCAGACATCAGCTGGGCTTTTGGTTTCTGATACCATCATATTACTCCGCAGTTGGAGACCTGCGGCTATTTGCCACTTGCTGCTCTTATACAGTAAGATAATTCGAGGCTCTGATCCATAACAGATCTGTGCTGCCAGGCTCCCTATAACCGGGCCAAATAATCTGATTAGAGAGAAAACAGAACCAGTTTTAAGTTTGCATTGAGCTTCAGCAGAAAAGATCTGACCGCAGATTAAGAGTGCCAGCATTAAAACAGCTTTCATGTTTTTGCAACAAAATAAGTAGCCACAAACTAACACAGAGCAGCTGTTGCCTTGGTAGAAAACTTTTTAATCTTTATCCAATCACATTCCATCCGAAACTTTTATATCTTTTTACTTCATGATACTAAGAGTTGACACGTTCAGCTCAAATAAGAGCCTCTTTACACACTAAAAGCTAAGGGACATCAACACCTGGAATTAAGTTTCATTGATAATATCTTTGAACCGCTGTTAATTGTTGTTAAAACTAGAAGTTAAATAATATTGATACTGATACTGATGATGATATTTGCAGATCTGGTCTGTTGGTGCGGAATATTTAATGCCAATATTACCTTGTTGTTGTTATTAGGTTGTATAACATATGACAGTTTCATCATTATTAAAGCCATTGTGTCATGCACATCAACATCTACTACCTAAGGTTATCTTGACCTGAAACATATGACAACAGCTACAGTGTGCTGCTGTAGATGTTGGAATATGACCATGTTAAACTCAGTGTCAAATCTTTAAACCAGATTTAAACACCAGATACAGGACTCCAGTCTTATGACATCTAACATGTTTCACTTTTTCTTTGGTTAATTTACAGTAAAAGTGCAAGGGATTCCAGTTTATTACTGCTCAATTAATTGGCTGCAGTTCAGGCAGTCTGTCACATGATTTCAAAACTTGAGCTGCAGTCACAGATATTCTAACACACAGTGTTGAAGACAGCAACAGAAATATACCCCAGATACTCTGACTAACATGCAACCCTAGCCAGGGAGAAGTTCCAGTTTAGAAAAGGAAATAATACACAAAGTATGACAGTTCATGTTTGTTCCTCAGAGTTAAACTGCTTTCATATGAATGAACCAGCAAAATTATCAAATGATTAAACTACATGTATTTGTATGACCTTCACCACCAGCTGGGCAGTCTTTAGGAATGATGGCTTGTTTCACAGAATAATGTGTTTAGGGAAACTTTGGTTTCTAAAGTGTTGAGGAGTTTTTGTGACCATTTTTTGTTCAGAAATCCACCATCTTTTGGTGCTAAAGGGTTGAGTTAGACCGAATGATCAGGCCAGTTCATGGAATTTTGACATGATCAGCCCTCACACGGCCAATATCAATATGTTTTCTAAAAGACATTCTTCCTAATCCCCAATGACAGCCAATCAAATTGAAAACAGTCACTGGCTTCTGTTATAATGTGGAGAATAATACATATAATACTGTTTTTTACATAGATACAAGTCATGCTTTGAAATCTAGAGCATAACCCAATGTATTGTATGATCATTATCAGTATTAGCATCAGCCATTAAAAACTGTAATCAGCTGACCACTTAAGGGCGATAGCCATCTTTAACCATCGGAGCAAATACTGTATGACAGCACTTTGACAAAGTGAAATATTAGAAGTTTTACTTGAAGTTTTGACTTGAATATATAACTGTGCAGCATATTTGAATGAGCACTGAGAGCATCAGAGAAAAAGAGTTAATGTAGCAGACAGAGTCTCTCAAAGATGATAAACTATCTCTCCATCATGTTTGTGGCTTAGGCTGGGTCTGCTGTACTTTTTTCTTTTTGCTCTGCCAGACTTAATAATGCCATCCTCATCAGAGAGCAGATAGAGGAGCGACTGAGTCAGCAACAGAGCAGCCATGGGTCTGATCTTTCAATTGTAAATATACCAGTCTGCTCTGTGGGCCTTCATGAGTGCTCCTTCTGAGAGACTGGAGAGGAAGCAGTATTAATGTGCTGATTCTGGCTGAAACAGTCATTTCTCAAAGTTTCCCTTTGGTGTGTTTTCAAGGCCATGAGATAATCATGGTACTGACTAATATGAATGGATAGTGTTTGTCTGATTGAACAGCAACCTGTTTTGACACTGAGACACACATCTTTTGAGGAAACTCAAAGTGTGTCTTAGTCAAGTCTACTTGTAACACAGCAGCAGAGAGAGCTGAGGTTAGATTTTTTTAAAACTTAAATTAAATCTAATAAATTGATTATAAATGAAAGTTTTCCCTTTTTGAATTCATTGATGAAAACTGTGAAGCAGTTTTCAAACACAGTCACGACACTGCAATGACTCCTCTGTCTATTTCAAAGACTGCTGTTCTCAAATGCTGTCGGTGTAAATAACTGTCTAGGTTTCCTGCTTTGGTCCCCTTGTATGTAATGATACTCTGCAGCTTTAGAGAACAAACTCCTTTATTCCAGTGGCCGTGCTGCAGCAGTATTTGATCAGTTCACTCTGTTCAGGAGCTTTTTCTCACTGAAGCGTTGTCTCTCTCTTTCTGACCCCTGAGGGCTTGTTGGAAACACTCCTCAGGTTTAGTTGCAGTGTTCACAGAGTTGATGTTCTCACTGTGCTGCTGGCTCCCTGAGTGTGTGAATGGTTTGAACTCTAAAGAGTAATCGTTCCTAGACTGTCAGTCCTCATTTAAGCTTATCGGGTGTTTTGTTCATGTGAGCTGTCTCAAGGACTTCCAGATGTTTCGTTTCTTGGGGACTGGGGAATAGATGCTGAAATGCAGTGTTCATTCATTTCTGACCTCAGGTTCAATCTAGTAACGGTTTAAAAATAATCACCATGATCAGGAAACACATTTTGATCATTTTTCTAGTCTTCCTGCTAAAATTTAGTCCAACTTTTGACAGACTTGAATTGATTAATGTGTGTCTGATCCATTTCCTTCGATCCGTGTGGGCAATAGCTTGACTTTAATACCTGCAGAATGATATGTTTGGAAATTCATATTGTAGGGAACATGAAAACAAAAACTCTGTTTCAGTTTGTCTCTTTCTTCTTATTTTAACTGGTTATTTCTCCCTACAGCCTACAGCACCTTCTACATCATTGGCCTGGTCCTGTCCATGCAGATTCCTTTTGTGGGTTTCCAACCCATCAGAACCAGTGAACACATGGCTGCAGCAGGTCAGTAACCACCTGTAACCTGTGGTCCCAGAGTGTGTGCAGGAAGTGCATCGGAAACCTTTAATATGGATTGAATGAGAACTTAAGAACTTGGATGCAAAACATTAATACACATGCACATGCACCTGCGATCTGTTCCACTCAAGCCCTCACATATGAATTTCATGCATGTGTGCCAGTATTGTTTATGATTGTCTTAAATGTATTGACCATATGATTATGATCAATGTTAGAGTTCAGTCAGGGTGTGAACTGTGGAAAAAGCAGCTCGGCCAACCTGAGCTTTGAGCCATGAAGAGAGTCTCTGTGGAGAATGGTCAAAAATGAATCTCAGTAGCTCCAAAGAGACACCCACTCCCATTCAGCTGAGAAAAGAGTGTCACAGAGTAATGAACCTGCTCTTCACCTGATAAATGTCATGTCCTGGTGAGGTGGACACTTGTGTCAGTTCTTCCTAACCAACATGAGTGAACACCTTCCAATAGCAGTGAAGGGGCATGAGAGTGTAGTGCACACACAAATCCCACAGGGTTGGAAAAAGAAAAGAAGACAGGAGTCAGAATTGATGCTCAAATTAAAATCTAAAATTGTTTGTGGTCGATTTTAGCAGCAGAAAAGCGTAGTAGCTCGTTTATTACAATAATTATAATAACTTTATTTATATAGCACCTTTAAAAACAGAAGTTTACAAAGTGCTTTACAGATAAAACAAACAAAGGCAGAAACATGGAGAACTTGATGGATGATAAGTGAACATTCAAGTCAAACTAAGGCAAATGAAAAGGCACGGCAAGGCAAGTAGAGATGGCAGTTGGTGATTAAAATGGGTGATTATATTATGTTTATTAATCCCACCAACAGATACTTTGTATAATATCAGAAAGTGCTGTCATAAGAAAATGTTTCCCATCAGATGAAGTAAAATGAAATAGTTCCGTCTCTTGAGAGAAAGACAGAGCAGAGACAGAAAAGAAATGTTGACCGTATTTCATTCTTACTCCTTAAAGATGGGGTTAGACATTTTGGTTTTCCAGAAGATTTCACTGTAAAATAATGGAACGTACTTTTGTATAAAGGAAGGACTTCATTCATACAAACAGCTTTTTTCACATAAGAACTTAAGTCATATTTGTCCTTTCAAACTTTTTTCTGGACGCAAGAAAACAGCAATCAGAAAATAGAAGAGAGATAATGATTCAGGTGATCTTCCAAGTCCTTGTTGATGTGAAGCTGCCATTTGTCTTCTCTGTGTCGTGTTCCCGCAGGTGTGTTTGTGCTGCTCCAGGTCTACGCTTTCCTGCAGTACCTGAAGGACAGGCTGACCAAGCAGGAGTTCCAGACTCTCTTCTTCTTGGGAGTCTCTGTGGCTGCTGGGGTGGTTTTTCTCTCTGTCATCTACCTTACATACACAGGTTGGTTTTTATTGATCTGGAATAAGTGAGCCAACAGAGAAATCTCCTGTACTTTTCTTCGCAGCAGGAAGGAAAACTCATTTGGACTGGAAACATAATTAGATTACAGGTTGTGTGGGTGTGTTACAAATCTGGATATGCAAACTCTTCAGTTTCATTAGCTGCACACTGAAATAAAAAAGTGAAAGAACTCTGACCTACGATGCAAGATCAGCATCAACAAAACAGGCTGGCAACAGCTCCTTTTGGAGGCTTTTCAAACAGCCTGTGTTTGTCTGAAGTGTTTGGTTTGAGAAGCTTTGCCCAAGAGGTCAGGTAGTAGTGGGTGAGATGAAGTCTTTTAGAGATGATAGTTTTTAACCATAACCTTTTTTTGTGATTTACCAAGAAGAATTGCTGTGCATGTTTGTTTGGAGAGGATGAACGTCTGTTAAGATTATCATTTTGAGAGTTGGTTTGAGATGTGTACAGACCTTCACAGTGCTGCTTCTGCTTTGTCCCTTCTCAATTGACAATATCAGTGGATGTATTTGAAAGAAGATTTGAGTTGTACAGCTTTGATTGGTGAAATCGGAGTGAAACCTTGAGATGCTCCTCACAAAGCAGCAGCAGCTTGCCGTCAGCTGTCCTCCGAGGTTATGTGTATCATCTGCGTATGATGGGTTCCCTTCTGGCTACCTTACACAGCTGATTACTTTCTGTGTCCTCATTCCTCATCACAACAATGCACACTTACCAAAGGGTAATGATATCATCCACATATGCAGCAGGACTGATGCCAAATAATCCTGTGTTCCACCTGAGTGCGGCAGGACTCACAGATTAGTCAGGGTTTACACTGCACTTCTGGTTTTGGACGTGTGTTTGTTTAATGGGACTTGTAGGTACATACTGAGTCCATATGTTTTTGTGTGTGTTTCACCCTCAGGGTACATTGCTCCATGGAGTGGACGCTTCTACTCCCTCTGGGATACAGGGTAAGTCCTCTCAGTTCAACATGTTCTTCTAAGTTGGATTGAAAACAGCTGACTCGTGGGGTTCAAATGAATCTAAGGCCATGTTCCGACTGCAGTCAAAGGTGATCCAGGTCCTCTGTTTTAGCTCACATGACTCAAATCTGATCTTTTAATGTCAGTGTGAACAGCACAAGTCCCAGTAGACCTGCTTCTATTAGTGGTACCAAACCAGTTACAGATCGGATCTTTTGCAGACCACAGTCTGAACCGACAGGCAGGTATGAATACAACTTTGACATCATTCATGATGGACACACCCCAGCAGGGGGGTAGGGGTCACTTAGGCTCCATCCAAATGTCTGTAGAGGGACAGTGAGGTTTTGGCCATTTCAAGTATTCAGGGTGACACTTAAACCGCCAGCACTCTGGTACCCTATCCAAGCATCACACTGCTCTGTCAGGTCCTTCTGAATAATTTTGTTGTTTGTGCTCAGAAAAAGCAGTAATCATAAGTTAGAACAAAAAACCACAGAGCAGCTTCAGGATCAATCTGAGTGACTTCTTTCAATTTGAGAGATTTGCCCCTTCAGTCTCCTCTTAAAGGGACATTTGGCTAAACACTTTGAAGTCATTTAATGTAAGTCCATGTACCAGGTGTATTTATGCATCAACATGTGAGCAAGTGTATTTTGTGTGTAAAAAGACACAAAAGCACCAAAAACTGTCTTTGAAGTCATTTAGAAACAGCCTTCAGAGTTTTGACGCTCAGTATATGATGAAACTGAGAGTTAAATGCCACAGGTTGATCTGTAGACCAGCTCCAAAGGTTCAGCTGTGGAGACAGAAACAGCTGAGGGTCTGCTTATTTCAGCTGTTTGTCTCTGTGGTAAGTGTAATTCTTGCACAGTTGCGTGACTCTGGCTCTTTTTGATACATTCCTTCAACCTCATGCACCCTAGATCAAAAGTCTGAACTCAACCTGTGAGTGTGTGCATATAAGGAATAGAGAAAATAAATAAACCCTCTACTGCGGTTAGTGTGACTGTGGGTGGAGGTAAATATTGAAGGTAACTAAAACAATGTCTTTGATCAATATCGCTACCTTTTTGACTAAACTAATTGCACCACATGCTGCACAGCTCTTTCTTACCTCTGTCCAGCAGCGCTAAATACTTAGATTGTCTACAGTGCTTCAGCCAGGCCATCACTCAGGCCCATGGTAAAATCCATCACAGGCAGTGCTCCCTCGCTTCCTCCTCGTAATAACTGGACTCGTGCAGAATCGTCCGTAAAGCTGACAATGTTGATGTGTTTGTGCACGTGTGTGAGTGTTTGAGGAAAGTAAAGTTTTGCTGCAGTGCAGATGAGGTAATGAGGTCACCCTGGATCCAGTCTTATTGAAGTCAGCCATTCTCTTCATTTACCTTGTCATTTCAATCTGAGTATCCTCTCAAGGCTTCATTGTGTTTTAAAATGACTTCAATCAAAGAAAAGGAAATGAAATGATCTATAATGTTTTTTTTCCATCTCAGAGAGAGCAGTCATTTCAAACTAAAAATAGGTTTAATATTTAGTACTGTCATTACCATGACCTCCCTGTCTCTCTTTGACAAACAGTTCTCCCTTCTTTTTCTCTCCATGTTATCCACAGCTATGCTAAGATCCACATCCCCATTATAGCTTCAGTATCTGAACACCAGCCCACCACCTGGGTGTCCTTCTTCTTTGACCTGCACATCCTGGTCTGCACCTTCCCAGCAGGCCTCTGGTTCTGCATCAAGAACATCAATGATGAACGTGTCTTTGGTGAGAGCCACAAACACATCACAAACACTTTTTCTTTCACAAGTGGAGCTCCAAACCAGAAAGGACAACAACTACAAACTGTGATCCAGTAACAAATGATTGGTAATCAGAGTCACATTGGTAGAGAGTTGTTGGAATTGTTGTTTTGAAAGTGCAGAAACAAACTTCGCTGTTTGTGAAGTGGCTCCAATAGCATAGACAAAGGCTGTAATTTGGTCCCCAAAGAGCAGCCTTGGCTTGGTGTGACAGCGTCCCTGTCTTTGGCAACATACTGCTTTATAAGGGGATTTTATCAGCCTGAAATACCCGGTGAGTTTGTTTGGAAGAGAGGGAAATGTGTCTAAACTTTAAACAAGAAAATCTGATGAAACCCTTCATATAAACAAAAGTATGCATGTTCAAAAAAGCTGCAGCAGCTCAGCTCCTCCTGAGACCCTGTGTTTATGAGAAAAAGGGTTCAGGATAGCACCGATTATTTTAATAAAGCTGTTTATTCCAGTGTTTACTCTTTCCTTTTATTGATTCTCTTTGTTTTGGAGTGGGGGAAACCTCTGTGGATAATCAGGTCTCAAGCGTTACATATTGAAGTGTCACTTTCAGACTTCACGGCCTGTCAGGCTGTTGCTCCTGCATCACTCTGTGTACAGTGATGCAACCAAAAAACAAAGATGCTGATATATGACTGACAAATCCAAAGTGACTCACTGAACTTAAGGAGGCAGAGAACAACTTTCACATGATTGCATTCATCCTGACAGTGTCCCCCCTTTTTAAGAGACTAGCTCTGATTAAAAAACACAAAAGAGCAAAAGGATTGAACTTTGTTGTCTTAGTGAGAAACACCGATCCTCAAAAACAATAGTGTGATTATGCAGGTACAGATATTAATCACTAATGTGCTGATTTCTGGACATTATTATTTCCAGCCGTTATCTTGACAGCTCATGCTTCAGAGGCAGAGTCATAGACAAACCCAGATGACGCTGAGGAACAGATCATGCTGAACCTGGTTAGATAGTCAGACAGTTTGACTATCTAAGAGCTAGAGCTGAGGTATTAAGACCACTACCTTAGCCAATGGAGTCTGTGTCTTTACCCGACGATTATTCAGAATCTTTTATATGATATTTAAAAAAAAAACATTTCTGTCAGTTTCAAAGTTTAAAGAAGACTTTTAACACACATTTCCAGCTTTTTTTGTGTCAGTCTGTGTGATATCTATGAAGGCTTTTGGATGATCTACAGCTTCAACAGCTCATCATTCATCTCTCTTTTGAATTTCCCATCAGGGATAAATAAAGTTCTTCTTATTCTTATTCTTACTGGTGTCCATAAAAACCCTTCATTAACCTGAAGTGCTGTATTTTGCTTCTTTTCCTGTGAAATGGTACTGGACCGCGTTAATGAACAGTTTCTTGAGTCTCTTGACCACTCAAAGCACTTGTTCATCACGTTACATTTCCCCATTCTCACCACATTGACAGGGATAGAACCGCCGACCTTCTGGCCTCACCGCTATGCCACAGATGCCCCTTTGATATAAACTTAAACGCCGGTTGTGTGGGTGTGAATTTCTCTGCCGCTTTGTTCTCACAAAATGTTACTAAAGTTTTACCTCTACAGAAAACTTTTGAGGCTGGCCATTAGCGCCCACTTAGCTCCTCACCTTAGTGTGTGGTAGCTATTCTCTCTGTTGCATACAGGGTTCTCGGAAGGACTTTATAGATGAAACAGCCTCCAGTTTGAGTGAGAGTTTAGATGCAAACCCAGTTTGTATTGGCCTCTGTTTACAAAGGGATCATCAGTGAAGAAGCAAGTTTAAACTGCTGCTGTTGATTCTTGCTTTTCTGGAGCCTTTGTTTTTGGGACAGGAATAGTAACAATGAGTTTCCTTTACAACCAAAAGATAACATTCAGCGACAAATTGAATTTGTCGACATTGACATGTGTTGACATTGCGACATCTTTCAAATGGACCCGCTTTTTTGGATTTTACTTTGTAACTTTGTATAAGTCTGAGCCTCTGTTCCATGATCTTGCATGAAATATCCACTTGAAGGCTAGATAAAAACACAGAAAAGACAATACTTTTTGCTGTCAATCCGTACATACCACACAGGAAAGGTAAAAAATGATGAGACAAATTAAAGAAGGTCTGACTTTCATAAACGCCAAACAGCTTGGCACACAGCAGGTAATATAACAAGGATGAAAGTAAAGCAGCCGACAGCTGGACAGCAGCAAGACATCTCAAACCCCCAACTGATGAGCACATTTTATCAAAGTGAATGCTCTTTAACTATGGTGTACAGAAGATGAATTCAGAGTCAGAAAAAGTCTAGTTTATTCTCATTGTTATGCTGAGGGGGCAGCTTGCTTGGCTCAGAAACAGTCTGTTTAAATGTCTGTCAGTGGGCTACTTTGGACTCTGATTCTGTGATTGTCTCTTGTTTGACTTTGAATTAGTTGAATCACTTCTTTGAAAGTATCTGTGCTTCTCTTTGAGTTCTCTTTTTCCTCTTGAATCCTCTTTACCTTTTCATTTTTTGTTCACTCCCTTTTCCTGCTCCTCTTCACCTCTGTCAGATTTAGGTTTGTGTCTCATACCTGTTGCCTCTGCCTCACTTCACCCTGACTCTTTGATCTCTGTTCAGCTGAAAATACTCCATTAATGCAGCCACACATGCACAGAGGAAAACAAACACACATCCGAGTTAGTGTTGGAATAAGTGATGCTTCACACCCTCTGCTGCTGCTGCTGTGGTTTCCTGTTTTCACCTGAAAGTGAGAGCTTCTCCAGGCAGTGAGACGTTGCTTTAATATGACTTGACAGTGTTTACTAAGAGTAGTTTAAATGAATTCTGTTATGTTGGTATATATAATTAACTCCCACTCATCAAGCTGTAATAGCTTCCTGATCACCCCCCCTCTGTTTATCTCTCTCTCTCTCTCTCTGTTTCTCTCCCCTCAGTGGCCTTGTATGCCATCAGCGCTGTGTACTTTGCCGGTGTAATGGTGCGGTTGATGCTGACTTTGACCCCGGTGGTGTGCATGTTGTCGGCGGTGGCCTTCTCCAGTGTCTTTGAACACTACTTAGGAGACGACATGAAGAGGCAGAGCCCACCTGCAGAGGACAGCAGCGATGAGGATGACAGGAAAAATTCAGGAAACCTCTATGACAAGGTGAGCAGTCGGAGTAATGTCACACTTGATACATCAATCATGGTCTACCTTCATTCTCTTTTATGTCTAGACCACATTTCAGCAGAAACAGGATTTCAGAGTGCATTACAGAAGACATCCAGGCATAATGACAGAGGACATTTCAAAACCATTAAAGCAGACCAATAAGAGAAGATAAAAACAGTTAAACAGATGTTCAACTGGTGTAGGGCAATATTAATACAGGGCAAGTCTGTAGTCACACTAGTGTGCAACTCGAGTGTAACTCAAGTCCAAGTCTCTGGTGTTGAGACTTTTCATGTGTCTGTTCCTGGATCCTGGAGAGCAACCAACACTCCTGCTGAGTTTTTCTCTCAAGATGTAAATGTAAGAATCTCTGTTGAAGTGAACTTTCCAGTTCTGCTTTGAGAGGAAGGAGAACACTCTGACCTTTATTCTCTCAAGAATTTGAAACACCAGTAAGGACCCAAATCAACATTATTTAAACCCAGCAACAGATTCCATCAAAACAGAAAAGAAGAAAGTCATGCTGTAAGACAGAATCAAATGTGAAATGTTTAAATAAATAAAGGAATGATAAGTTGGTAGTACATGTAGACCACCTCAGCATTCATTATTGATTATTGATTATTGTATTGATACAGCATTGATAATTCTGTATTTTTGAGATTGTCTTCTCCTTTAACAATCGTCATCAGAAGTACTTTAACACGATCACTCAAATAACACACCTCAGATATACAGATGTACGCACACTTAACAGAATAAAACACTTGAATTCTTTACACCAGTACGAGATCAAATGGATCTTGAAGTGAAAAACTGTAAATGTGTTCTGATAACTGTGATGAAACCAAAATGAGTGCCCTCATTACTCACTCCTTTATTCTTGGGGAAACCAAACAGCAGTGTTGACTCATGTTTCTGCCATCCTTTTGATGCTCTTTTCCTAAATCGATACAGTGGGAATAATGTATTACAAACCCATCACAGGCCTCCTTAAAGGCCTCCATAAAACAGCTACAGCAGTTAATTGTCTGTCCAGTATTCTCTCAGTGGAGGCAATTAACTGTCTTCTAGTATATTATCAGCTCATTTTTACAGCACACTTGTCTTGTTAGGGCTTCTGTAACCTTTACAAAGTGTGTCCTGTGGCTGTGTCTTCTGTCCCCTGTAGGCTGGGAAGGTACGAAAACATGTGTCAGAGCAAGAGAAGGCTGAGGAGGGTCTAGGCCCCAACATCAAGTCCATTGTCACCATGCTGATGCTGATGCTGCTCATGATGTTTGCTGTGCACTGCACCTGGGTCACCAGCAACGCCTACTCCAGTCCCAGTGTGGTGCTGGCATCGTATAACCATGACGGGTGAGAATAACACACTAACCCTACAGTGTTTTACATCCATGTGTCGTTTTAGTGATAGAAAATGATAATGGTTTAGAAGCCCAAGAATGATGAGGGTTTCTGTGTGAGTGTCAAGTTAGATGGATTATCCATCAAAAATATAACCCATAAAATGTTAAGAAACTTTCATGTGCCTCGCTTTGACACATTACAGCAAGTACATTTGTCCACAGTAGCTTTGCAAACATTCGGAGAGCATCAGGTGCATCAATTTTTATCTTCAAGTCATATCAGTTCAAAAACTGGCCTTTGAGGTGTGACCTCTTTTGTTCAGAAAGACCTTCCTCAGCAGGTATTTGATGTGCCAGAGTGCCATACTGGATTCTGATGTTTGGTTTGTTCCATTGTTGTCATGAAAAAGCCACATGTGGAGCTGCTGTTGCGGTAAAGACAAACTCAGTCAGGAAAAAAAAAATTCGGAGAATTGAGATTCTGAAGCAAATTTTGTTTGAATACTGCTGAAGAATCAGAAAGACATAGTGTGTAGGGGGAAGGGTCTAGAGTTCAGTTAGGCAAGCAGATTAAATATTAAAGTAGCTGTGTTCCAATGCTGCTTATGAAAGCTATAGATCATTATCTGTGTTATTAAGTGGGATAAACCAGCCACACACTGTTACACTTACAGGTCTCTGTTAAAAGCACTAATTAATTATAAATAAGTCACTTACAAGGCCTAATAAAACGTGTTTATAAAAGCATAATTAGCACATTAATTATTGCTTCGAAGACACGTCTGGGCTTATTTATTGATCTTAATAAGACAAAGTTCACATGATTTTATGAAAACTTATTCATGGTAATATATGTCTGTTAACATTTTATAAGGTGTTATTGGTGGTGTATAAACGGTGAGTCATTGCTTGAGATGAGGATCTTGATAGAAAGTGTCACTCAGTACTAAACTAATTGTTCAGACTTTCCCTGCAGTCGCTCAAAAAAGTGGTTAAAATATCAGAACTGTTCAGCCAATCCCAGATTAGTCTGAAAATACTCATCTGTCTGTTTTTCCCTTCACCAGCTCTCGTAACATCCTGGATGACTTTAGGGAGGCATACTATTGGCTGAGGCAGAACACAGATGAGCACGCCAGGGTGATGTCATGGTGGGACTACGGCTACCAGATAGCAGGCATGGCCAACCGAACGACGCTAGTGGACAACAACACGTGGAACAACAGTCACATAGCTCTGGTGAGTGCTGCTGTTTCTGTACCTGTCTCTGTGTGTCATGGAAACTATCATTGGGAGCCTTTGAAAGAAACACCCTGGAGTCAAACACATGGTGAACCACAACTTTGATCACATCTGTACTCTCCTCACTCACTCTTCTGTTTGAAGAAGCTGAACTTTTAGAGCTTCAGCCCGATTGTTACGCTCTGTCTTAAGATTATATGAGCTTTAAGGTTCTCCAAATGTTCGAAGATTGCAAGACAAGGAAAATATCTGAACAAGCAGACCTGACAAAGCATCATTTCCAACTCTGTAAAATTGAGCATTTCAGCCTTTCTGCCTTTTTGTTGCCATTAAATCACAGCAAAATCATTACCATGGGTCCCACCGCTGTGTTAAGCCAGATCATAGCTGACATGTGACGTGTTTAATACAAAGACATGTCATCTTACTGTGGAGATACAGACAATACAGCTCAAGACTGTAAACCACTATGAAATATCCTGGTGCACAGCTGGGCCAAGTCTCACAGGTGCTTGTCAATATACCAAGTGAAATGCTCTCAGGGTGTCAAAGTTGGCACAGGTCAGCCTAGAACAGGAGAAAGTGGCACTAAAGCTGAGCCAAACACATTACCTGGAAAAGGTGATAAAACTAACCATGCTGTGTGAACCTCCAGGTGATGTGATGAGCAGTGACTTTAGGGCACTTAGCTTCCCTCATTTATTTAAAATAAATACAAGCATCTGAAAAGTCCAAGTTTTTGCTTTCGGTTTAAACACATCTTGTCCTGTTTTCTGTATCTGCAGACTGACTGTTGAGCTGCTTTCAGGGCTTTCTTTTACATTTGTTTGACTTCTTACAGGTTTTCTGCCAAAAACAGCTGCCTGTTGTGCACCCACACACTAAAATTCTTCACAAAAGAGGCTGAAACTCACTGTGACGCTTCATAAAGCAGAAAGGAACTATGCTTGTGATCTGATCACCCTGGAGGCATGTTGACACCAGGTGTAAACAGCCCCAGACAACCGTACTCCTCTAAAAACGACTCTGTTTTCATATTTTCATTCCATTTTCAACATTCGAAAAGTGATAAGACATCAAAGGAAAGCTAAATATCCCTGTGAAAACCAGTGACTGTAAGGTATTAGCCTGTTTGTTTATTAGAACATATCCCTATTCCTCCGCCTTCATTTCCCAGCATCACATATTTCCAACAGATCGTTTCCTTTTTATCCTCCTTCAGCAACTCTGTGCTGTTTTGTAGTCTTGACATCTAGCACCCCCTGGTGGACATATTGTATCACTATTCTGCATTGCCATGTCAAATTTTCACAACTGTGAAGAGACATTTCTCTGAACTCAGTTTTTAGGCTACACTCACAAAACCTCAGATTCCTCTGGCAAAACCAGACTGTCACTTGATCAGTGTTCAGAAACCAATAACATCATTCCCAGAGTTAAATCGAGTTCGATCAGGCAACCATAAAGGGGATTCAGTTATATCACAGGACAAATCATTTTGCAGAGGAAGGAAGATGACAAAAAAATAAATAAAAAAAACTCCTGCACAAGATGTACTGTATTCCTCTACAGCATTGTAGCACTTCATCAGGACGAATCACCATCAGAGTTAGCTGTGTGTGAACTACTACTGTAGCTATGATGGAGCAGAGGACTCTGTGTGTCAGATTACACACACACGTAGGGCCTGATTTACTGAGATTTCACATGACTAGTTCTAAATTGCATGTTCATCCAAACCAATGTTTAGTCGATGTGTGGGGGTCTGCAGGGCCACAATTTGATGCACAGATTAAAAACAGTCTGCAGCTCTTAAAGACGGATCATTATATTTTTTGCACAGGAGACAGTTTTTTAGCTATTTCCTCTGTGGCATGGAGGTATCCGGGCCACTTTAACACACACCAGTCAGCTGGTCAGAAAAATGACCACAAATGTGCGGCAAGAGGCATGAACGGTGTATGAGCAGTGGTGAGGTTAATCTGTCCAAGCGGCCCCAAAACTGTAACACTGGCGAACAGAGGAAAGATGGAAGACATACATATCAATTTATGAATGTGCCCTAGCCACCAGGAACAGTATGTATTTGAAATCTTGATGCTCGTCTCCAGTAAAGATTATTTCATGGAGAATTTAAAACAAACCATAAAACAGCTCATTAGAAATGACAGAACGACAGAAACATTTTGTCTCCTCCTCGTTGCGCTTATCTGTGCTCAACGCTGGACTCCTGGATTTGCTCCTTCTTTTCACAGGTGTTTTATTTTGACATGGTCCCACCAAAGGGAACTATTTCCAGTCTCAGTAACCCTCAAAACTTCTTTGCATTTACCCCCTTCGGTATTTTGCATGTTTGAGTAGTAAAGCCTCACATTGTATATTCATTCAGGAAAACATAGGAAATGTGATCAGTTCAACAAATGGATGAAGTCTAAAGAATGGGATTTAATGTTTTAGCAACAGTGAGCCTTTTTTTGTTTAACCACTGTGTGTGTGAAGCCTCAATGTACAGCACCCCCTAGTGGACATGATACTGCTGCACCAGTGGCTGAAAGTGGGACTGTAGTGAGAGTGGACTCTGCGTGCGCCTCACACAGTTTGTGCCTGAGACACGACTTACAATCTCTTATTGATTGAAGACCGGAGTTCATCTCACAGAACTAGAGGGCAAGAACCAGGAATGTCTGAGTGGCTTCTTGTTTTGGGGAACCTTTACTTTCTCTGAGGCAATGTACTAAATCTTCATCCTGATGTCCCAGAGACTCCAAGGTCACTGCTCATCCGTTTTCTCAGGCCAGAGTGACACCCAACTGATCTGTACAGTGAAAAATCAATCAAGTGCCCCTCTAATGTCCTTGAAGAATTGTTAAACCGCCACATGTGTCCTTGTAATCCTCCAGGTGGGAAAAGCCATGTCCTCCAATGAGAGTGCAGCCTATGAGATCATGAGGTCGCTGGATGTCGACTACGTCCTGATCATATTTGGAGGCGTGATCGGCTACTCAGGCGACGACATCAACAAGTTTCTGTGGATGGTGCGCATCGCAGAGGGAGAGCATCCCAGGGACATCAGGGTGAGAGAGACTTCGCACTAACTATGTTCCAGCTGCTTTGATGGGTGACACCAGTGGAAAAGTGGAATGAACATGAATGTTTGATACCCACTCTGAGGGAAATTATTGATCAGATGCCGTGCATGCCTGAAGATGTTTCCCTTCAGAGTAAATTTAATAGCAGATCACAGTGTGTGCAAATTCAAGAATGTCCCCCCGCTTCTGTCTCCATCGCAGGAAAGCGACTACTTCACCCCACAGGGAGAGTTCAGAGTGGACAAAGCTGGCTCCCCCACCCTCCTCAACTGCCTTATGTACAAAATGTCCTACTACCGCTTTGGAGAAATGCAGGTAAGCCACTATTAGTCATGATTCAACGGTTTAGACAAGCTAAAGAAATTCGACTGTCCTGAAAAGTTCATTTTTCTCCCATTCAAAAAGACAAACTTCCACCTACTCTAGATCCCTGATTCTTGATGGTTACGGCTCACAGTTCATCTCAAAACATCAGAATATTTAAAATACCAGAAAAAGGATTCATTTACAGACATGTGAACCTTCTGGAAAATTCTCTTCATTTCTGCTCTTAGTTCTTGGTCAGGGCTCCTTCTGAATTCCTGCATCAATCTTACATGTCATGGAGTCACTCTGTGTCTCTACTGGGCTGTTATTGAAGTCCAGGTCTCTGATAGCTTCTACAGCTTGTCTGGTGTCTCTCATCTTATCTTGATGACCCTCCAGAGATCCTCTATGGGGTTTGGGTCAGACCAGCTGGCTGACAATCAAGCACAGTAACACCACAGTCAGTAGACCAGTTTCTGGTAGTTTTGGTGCTGGAAAAGGAAATCTGTATCTTCGTAGAGATTCTCAATAGATGGAAACATGAAGGTCTCTAAGACCTCCTGGTAGACTTTGGGCTGCTTTGACTCTGGACTTAAAAAACCCAATAGACAAGCAGCAGCAGATGACATGTTCCCCCAAACCATCACAGACTGGTAATTTAACGCTAGACTTCAAGCACCTTGGATATCTGGGCCTATGTGATCTTCCTCCAGACTCTGTGACCTTGATCTCCAAATGAGATGTTAGACTGACTTTCATCTTAAAACAGGACTTTGGACCGCACAGCAACAGTCCACTTCTTTGTCTTCTTAGCCCAGGTGAGACTCTGGTGATGTCGTCTCTGGTTCAGGAGGGTCTTGACAGCAGGACCACCTGTAGTCGATTTCCTGGACTCGTCTGTGTGTAGTGGCTCTTGATGCTCTGACTCCAGCCTCACAGTTTTCTGTTGTTAACAAAGATCATTCAGATTCAAACAGAAAAGTCCTGAAATATGTCACTTGGTGTGATAAATCCAGAATATGGAGGTTTTTCTTTTTGAATCATTGTGGACTCTCGTCAGTCTGGGAAAAAATGAACTCTTTCCAGGACAGTCTCATTTTTGAAACTGCATCTGTACTCAAGCTCACAAACTTTGAGATTTTCAACTCGTGTTCAACAAAATGGCAAAGTCGGACATAAATTTCTTCACCTCTTTTTACTTTTGCAAAGTTGGACTTCCGGACGCCGCCAGGCTTCGACCGAACACGCAACGCTGAGATCGGCAACAAGGACATAAAGCTGAAGCACCTGGAGGAAGCCTTCACCTCAGAGCACTGGCTGGTCAGGATTTATAAGGTGAAGAAGCTGGAGAACAGGGACCGAGTGGAGCACAAGATGAGAGGCACTGACTCCACTAAGCAAAAGTACACCTCCAAAAAGGTAAGCTGAGAGCCTCTGCAAACACATAAGTGTGACACATGATATAAACTCCTCTTTTGACAGCGTGAGTTATCTCAAAGTCGATGCAAAGATGATAAAAAGTTTTCCATGAATTAGACTTGGTTTGTTTAGTTCGTGTACAGGCAGGAATCTGACAACACTTAGCAAAAGAGTTGAAAATCAGTTTAGATGACGGATGATTCCAATTAGGAGAATGAAAAATGACCTTTTGTATACAGCAGATGGCACTGTCTGTATTAGACCTTAACATCTGTAGCTGAACAGAGAGGGTCAGACATGATATCAGCAGATAATGAGTTTAAACTTGTTGGTAATTACCTGGTTTGTTTCACTTGTATATTTCTGAGCATGTTTGCATCTTTATTTCTTGCTTGTGTGTGATTGCCACTCACTGTTGATGCACTAGTGGACAGTCTCTGTATTCCCCTCATAGGTGTTGAGTGTATCCACATCTGTTCTGCAGAGCTTTTGAACGCATTGAAAATGTTTCTTAGAACACAATGAGGAACAAAGTAATCTTAGTGTAAGGATCAGTGTCCACAAGGTCTCACAGTGGGCGTTACAGCAGCAGGACTTTATTTTCATTCTGTCTGTCTTCAATCATTTCCCTGCAGACTGCCAAGAGGAAGCGTGGATACATCAAGAACAAGCTTTCCCTCAAAAAGGGCAAGAAACTGACCAAGAAGTCTTTATAGAGTGTCCAGCACCAAAAGAGGCACATTGTGGACGGGAGGGAGGGAAAAAAAATCAAAAAACTTTCAACAAAAACAAGCAGCAACAGCAAATCCACCAATCAAGAAGAAGAAGGAACACCTGAGTTCTCCAGCCCTGTCACCCTGCCAGCCTCACCTGGAGGTCCAGGCTTGAAATGTTTCCATCACCCAGGAGAACCTCTTCTGACCTTTAACCTGATAAGCAAGGTCAGGGAGAAGTTGGCACGTTGTGTGAGATCCTCCCACACTGGTTTTATTCTGAGGAGCTGTGACCTTTGACCCACTTTTCTTTTTGTACTTGAATGTGATAGAAGACAGAGAGAGCGAGAGAGATTAGCTGTCCTTCATCCAGGGGCTGAGTTTGGGACTGTTAATGCAGTGCATTGTTCAGATAGAGATATCAGGAGTTGGGGGCTTCAAAAATAACACAGACCTGTCCTACCTTGTTCCTGATTCAGTGCTGACACGCTGAAGTTGCTCCAATATAAGCAAAGAGCAGTGTCAGGGTGAACGAAACAGTGGTTTCCCCTCGTGGAGTCTGTTTAGTCCTTGATAAGTAATAAATGTAACAGAAAAGCACTGAAACGTTTTTTCTGCTTCTTAAATCCCTGGAGCTTAGATTGAAAATTTGAATGTCTAAAGCTGTCCGGTCTGATTTGTTTCATTTCTTTTGAATTCACCGGTAACAGGAGTGTTCAGACGTACCAACAAGGAGAAGTTCTGTCTTTCAGAAATCCTCTCTCTGCTTCTCTGACAGGACAGATCCATATACAGTCAAACTGCACAGGCTGCCCTGAGGATCATTCACGGCCATAAACTTGGAGATTTGTCTGTGTTTTCTGTGAAATGATTGCACTCACCAAGTCAGATACATGTGAAATTAAAGAAGAATGAGCATTTGGATAAAGGAAACCAAAAACACAACTGCAAAAACTGCACGAAAACCGAAACCATCAAATTTAAACTTCCGTCCTTCCGTTTTCATTGGTATAACACGATAACTGTGATTATTCCCCGGTCCTGAACAGGCTAGTTTGGAAAGATTAGTGTCATATCTCTGAGGAAACTCTGCAGAGACAAATAAGTGTCTGTGGGACTGAACTTCCATAGACACTTATTTTCACTTCACCTTTAAAAACAAGTGCAAATCCACAGAAACCAAAGGCTATTAGCAAGGGCACTGCATTTATCATTTTTAGACAGAGGTGCTGCCAAAATGAACAAAGCAGAGCTCTTCAGGAGCGCTGCTATTAATGACAAAAAAGAAAAAAAAAAAAACAAGTTATAACCAGCTGGAATGATCCTTGAAGCTGTTTGTGTTGTTTTTACCTGTTATTAATTTATTATTGAACAGCACTGAACTCACAATAGAGCAGGCCTATGGGGGGACATCTGTTATAGCGCAGTGTTTTCCACATATCTCTGCAGGTCTACACTCATCACTTAATGATTATTAATGGGTGAACATGTTGCTCACGCAGCCCTGCAGCACATCACACATCAGTAACACCAGTAACACTACAGAAAACAGGATGTGGATTCCTGTTTGTCTGAGCTTCAGGGTAAAAAACTGTAGGCAGAGACATGAAGCAGTGACTGTGGGTCTGTGTGTAACTTTTTGATGATCACTCTGCAGGCTGAAATCATGGGAGAATAATTACGAATCACTTGGGAGTCACTACTACTTGAGATTAAAAGGGCCTGTGTTGGTGGTTTTGTTGCTCAGAGCCTGCAGGTTTTTCTTTCAGCGTGATCATTAAAGAGTCATTTAAGGAGGGCCGTTCGCCCTGGTCAAACACTTTCAGCTCTATTATTCAAAGCACTATATCAGAGGGAACATGTCAATCTGAAGCATCACTGAGTAAGGAGTGATGCTGATTCCCTATGGTCTGCTGTCAAATGTTCCTCTGCAGTGTTTAGATAAGAGACTGTTCCTCCTGTACAGGTACAAAAGCAGCACCCACTCCCTGGTGGATTCGGGAGGACTTGCAGAAGTCCTCTGAGCTGTGTGTTTTCCCATAAGAGGGGTGTTTTCAGAGGTTTCCAGTGTTGCACTGTGGTGCGTCTGTCTGATTTCTCTTTTTTTAAATCTACATTTTTATCAAGGAGCCGGTGATTAACAGGAGGGTACTTCTCAAAGTAGTGTGATTCAGGATCTAATTTGCTCCCTCTGGAAACCACATTTCTCCCTTCAATTGAATCTGCTTTATTTTTCACTCTTGAAGATCTTTAAACACATTCGTCCTACATGAGAAGTTCTGTTGTAATGTTTTATCTGAAGAACACCAACTTTAGCAGATCCAGGCCTTAACAAAAACCTGACACTTGTTATATACATTTTCCAGAGTTTGACAGTCTGTGAGTGTATTTATTACATGGACGATGGAGGCTGGGGTGACGTGTGCAACCATGGCGTCCTATCACAAATGCAAGGATTTTATTTGGTTTTGATTTTCTAAGTCAAGGTTTCTTCCATCAATTGTAATGATCTGGATGCAGGTGTGAGAATGAAACATGCCTTTTTGAATAAAGAGGTTGAAATAATCCAATGCATTTATTCATTTTGTGCACAATGTATGTTTCTAAAAAAACAGTTTCTACCATGTATTTAAAAAACATTTTTTCAGTGTGGCTTTAATCAAAATCTAACCCACAGATCAATCAGTCTTCACAGCAGACATTATTTAAGACGTTTAACACAAAAAAGCTGGTATAGACCAAACTGTATTTACAAAGACCCAATGTAAAGATGGGATCAGGTAAGATCAGACCCACTTCAACACTTCACAGCATTTATCATGTTACAGTGGAGAGGAAGAACGTCCTTTAACAGGCAGAAACTTCGAGCAGAACCAGACTGATGTTAGACAGTCATGTGCTGAGACTGAACTGCGTTTAGAGAGGGGAGATGGAGAAAGAGAGCTGGTCCAGACCTGAACAAGCTCTAACCATCAGCTTTATCAAAGAGGAGTGTTTCAAGTCTACTCTTAAAGGTAGAGACAGACTCTGACCCCTGGACCTGGACTGGTAGATGATTCCAGAGGACAGGGGCCCAATCACTAAAAGCTCTTCCACCCAGACCACTTTCAGAGACTTCAGGTATGACAAGCAGGCTTGCATATTTGGACCTCAATGTTCTGGAGGGGTAATAGGGAACTAGGAGCTCTTAAAGATATGATGGTTCCTGACCATGGCTGCCATGACTCCAAAAGAAACATTAAAAGCCAGATTACAGTTTGCAAATGCATGAAGGGACAAAGACCTTATTTTTTGAAGACATGTCCTGTGGTTTGATTAAACTGAAATGGAAATTTTTGGCCATAATGACCATTGTTACATTTGGAGGACAAAAGGGGAAGCTTGCAAGCCTGAAAACAGAGGGTTGACAGCATCATGCTGCGGGGTTGTTTTGCAACAGGAGGGACTGGTGCACTTCACAAAATGGATGGCATTATGAGAAAAAAAATTATGTGGAAATACTGAAGCAACATCTCAAGACATCAGCCAGGAAGTTAAAGCTTGGGCGCAAATGGGTTCTTTAAATGGATAGTGATCCTAAGCATACTGCCAAACTGGTTACAAAGTGGCATAAGGATAAGGAAGTCTGTGTTTTGAAGTGGCCATCACAAAGCCCTGATCTCGATCCTATTGAAAATTTATGGGGAGAACTGAAAAGTCATGTGCAAGCAAGGCAGCCTACAAACTTGGCTCAGTTACACAAGTTCTGTCAGGAGAAATGGGCCAAAATTCCTGCAAACTACAGTGAGAAGCTTATGGAAGCATATCCAAAGCATTTGACCCAAGTCAGAATTAAAAGGCAGCTACCAAATACTAATGAAACTTTGACTCTTGAGAAAATAATAAAAAAAATGTCTAAAAAATTCTCTCTCATTATTTTGGCTTTTAGCATATAAAAATAATTTTGGTAATCCTTATTGACCAAAAACTGATTTAATCTGATTTAATGTTGGACAGTGAAGAAAAAACGGTTATGCACCTTTTTGTATAGTTTATGTGAACTTCTGGTTTCAATTGTATACATTTTTTTTCACAAATTCCGCCTTAATTATTTTCTTTGTTTTGACTCTGTGGTACCAAGGAACACCAGAGACACAAAAAACAGATAGTGCAATATTGACTTGCCTATGGAGTTTAGTAAAATGTATAACATCACCATAATATTACAATCTGGGGGATTGAGCCTGGAACCTGACTAGGGAGTTACTGCAGACAGGAGGCCAACATGCATGCTGACAGCTTTCAATACTTGGTTGGTATCCATCTACTCTGGTAAGGTAACCAACACTTATTTTTGATTTTAATGCATTTATTTAAATCAATGAAGTTATTTGGAATCAATGAATTCCATGGATTTAAGATAGATGGATAAATTATCCATAGATTTGAACTTTTTGTGAAAAAAAATTAAGAACACCCCAATTTTACCATTTTTAAAATTAAAATTCAAGCAGTCCAAGTCCAATGAACAGCTTGAAATGGTACAAAGGTAGGTGGTGAACTTCCAGAGGTAAATAAAAAAAGGTAAGGTACACCAAAACTGAAAAATAATGTACATTTCAGAATTATACAAAAATGCCTTTTTCAGGGAACAAGAAATGAGTTGACAACTTAAAGCAGTTTTTGCAGCAATGGAGGATGAACAAGCCTTGAAAGTTGGTGCTACCAGTTCCTACAAGTGTCCCATCTTTTCTTGATCACTTACAACCACCTCTGTCTGCATAAAAGTAGTGTTGGAACACACTGTGGTATCATACCTTTGTGAGCATTGTTTGAACAGTAGTGTAATGCAGAGAGTAGTGTGTTACTACAAAAATGGTGAGGAAAAGGCAATTAATGATAGAAGAGAGACAGACCATCGTAACACTTAAAAATGTAGGTCTTTCCTATGGAGAAATTACCAAGAAAGTCAAGGTGTCAGTGAGCAGAGGTTCCTTTACCATCAAAAGGCACTAAGAAACTGGAGGAAATGCTGACAGCCAGAGGTCTGGCAGACCCAAAGCCACAACAGCATCAGATGACAAGTTTCTGAGAGTCAACAGCTTGCGTGATAGGTGGCTCACAGGACAACAGCTTCAAGCACAGCTTAATAATGGTCGCAATAAGCAAGTATCAGTTTCAACTGTGAAGAGAAGACTTCGAGTAGCAGGTTTGATGGGTCAAGTTGCAGCAAGAAAGCCATTGCTGAGACTTCAGAATGGAGACTTCAGATGGTGTTATGGACTGATGTATCAAAATTTGAAATCTTCGGTTCATCACTCAGAATTTTTGTACGCCGTCAAGTAGGTGAAAGGATGGTTCCTCAGTGTGTAACGTCAACTGTCAAACATGGAGGAGGTGTGAAGTGTGATGGTCTGGGGCTGTTTTGCTGGATCCAGGGTCAGTGACTTATACAGAGTGAAAGGCATCCTGAACCTAAACAGCTACCACAGCATTCTGCAGCGCCATGCAGTACCCTCTGGGAGGGGTATTAGTTGTCTGGGATTCACCTAGTTGGTCAGGGGTTCATCCTACAGCAAGATAATGACCCAAAACATAAGTCTAAACTATGTTAGAACTAGCTTAAGAAAAAAGAACAAGATGGTAAGCTTGAAAACATGGAGTGGCCAGCACAGTCTCCAGACTTAAAGCCCATGGAGCTGGTTTGGGATGAACTGGACAGAAGAGTTAAAGCAAAGCAACCTACAAGTGCTGCACATTTATGGAAACTTCTGCAACAAAGCTGGGAAGAACTTTCTGAAGAATATTTGATTTCCACTGCAGAAAGAATGCCACGAGTGTGTTCAGCTGTTATATCTTCCAAAGGTGGTTCCTTTGATGAGTCCAAAGTTTAGAATGCATTTTCATTTCTAAATTGATTCTATGATTTCTTTTTTAACTTCAATTGTTAATTTGTTCTATGCATTATTTTCAGAGTGCACTGAGACATTAAACTGCATCATTTTCAATAAAATTCTGGAAAAGTTGGGGTGTCCTAAAACTTTTGACCAGTAGTGTATAAATGTATATACACACACACACACACACACACACACATATATTTTGTGGGTTTTCTTAATCACACTTACTCTTAAAAGACCTTCAAATAATTGACTTGTTGAGTTAAAAATTAATAAAGATCAAAGTTCTGTTGATTAAGATCAGCCTGTAGTGATATTTTAGTGTGCAAGCATCTCAATGAAATGACCAATACAGGGCAGATCCTGATGTGACAGCTTCTCAGTCTGACTCAACCACAATGCTGACCTGAAACATGATGTCCCAAGACAGGATGATGAACAGTTTAATGTTTTATATTTCAAATGTCACAGCCACAAACACTCTCTAAAAATACACAAAATAAAAAGAATCACAGTTTAAAAACAATACAACTGCATTAAGAAGAATGCATTGTTTTTCACATAAATGCTCAGCTCCTTAGTCGAAGCTAGAATATATTCATACATCCAATGTTCAGTTGAATGTATTAAAAATTCTATGATAAACACCTCCACATTACTTGAAAACATAATTACAGATCTGATAACATTACAGGAAGGAATCAAAGTTGACTTAAACAAAAGGATCTTAATATGCATGAGACGCAAATGAGGAGTATTTTCAATAAAAGCTCACAGCAGGACTCTTCTGTGGTAATGTGAAGACATCCTCTGGGACCCGCAACTGTGACATAAACAGCTGTTTTTGAGTATTGCTTTATTGTTCCCTACAATGGGAGGCACCAAGGACCCAGGAAGACCAGTAGTTTAAAGTCTGTAACTGAAAACAGTTCATCAACATGCAGGTCAATGGAGAAAAGTAACTTTTTTCATGGTGAAAAAGTTAACTCAAGTGCCTTGGTGTGAAGTTACATGTCAGACAATATACTGCAATTAATCCCTTGTTTGACCTGGTGTTGCCTGATTTATGTGTATTACATTACATTGCATAGTTTGCTCTGAAACAAACTTAAAGATCTGAAAAGCACCTTTAGGCAACACGAGTTCAGCTTGAGCCTTTTACAGTTTGTCTTTGCAGAACTCTTAAAAAGAACTTTTTAATCTGATTACATCTGAAAGTGTAAAAGGAGAGATACTTCATTTACACTGGTGATTTTCTATTTCTAACCTATTCACTACAAATTTTCAATACTTGATTCTGCTGTAAAAACAGATAAGGTAACTACACTTAAGGGAAAGTTTCATTATGGTAGGGATAGTAGGTGAATTTGGTCTCTGCTTACTGGTAGGTACTGTTTGTACTTGATCAAAGGTTGTTTGAAGAATCACCACCACACTACTTGGGTTATATACCTGTGTCACATCAAACCTAGGCCTAAAGATTGGTTCTAGGAAGTTTGTAAATTTTGATCCAGACAACAGTAATGGTCAGAAAACACACATTTCCCTCAGTCTGCTCAGCCCTGGTTGTTTCTGCTCAGCAGAATATCAATTTAAATCACTATATTGAGCTGAAAATTGTTCCTGTGCTGCTCAACAAACATAGTGGAAACTGTAAAACCAATATGAATCTAAACAAGTTAATTTTGCAGTAAAATGAATTGGAGAAACTTTCATCAGCAACATAAAGAACAAACCTGTTTGTAGTTAATGGGCTACGAAATAGGTAAAAATACTGAACTGTCCTTTTAAATGAACTGCAGAGTGGAGGTGCTGCACAATGAGATGAACTCTGGACAGTATACAGTCCAACATGTTGGTTCTTACTTGTAAATATTTTATAATAACTTTACCAATAATGTTTAAACATTACTTTGAATCCTCTCAGTCTCAGAGCTAATGACAGTCTTACATTTCTTCGGTAACATTTAATCGTCGTCCTCTTCCTCCTCATCTCCTCCAAATGACAGAAGGCTGTTATTTTTAACTTTCTTTCCAGACTTCACTTCTTTCTTCTCCTCTTCCTCTTTCTCCCCTCCATCACTCTTCTTCTTTTTGCTAGAGCTGGCAGTAATGCCCTGAAACTTGTCTGAGGAGGAGCGCTTGGCTGGTTTCTTGAACAGAATTTTACCATCAGAAGGTGGTTCATCATCTGTGGACAGTTAAATGTGGAAAGTCATTAAAACACTTCAAACCTGCATTTCAAATCACATACATTTTCTTTGTGTTACAGTCCATACTGCAGCTGCTCTTACAAAATAAATGCTTTGGAAACAGACATCACATTTATGATTGTGCTTCAACCTCATGGAGGTTTGTAGAGGTATGCAGGCATACATAGGGAACATAGGGATCTGCAAAGGGAACTAGATAGGGACATACTGATACTTTTGGCATGCAGCAATTGATGTGCATGTGTGTACATGTGAAATCTTTGTCTGTCAGTCTGAAAACTCGGTGTAAAACTAAAGCCTCAGTCTTACCTTTGTCTGTGCCTCCACGTAATTCCTTGATCTTCTTCACCTCATCTGCGCTCAGGTCTCCACTTTTCAGGACCACAACCTGAGGTAGCTCATCCTCTTGATCACTCCCGCTGTCATCATCCAGAGTTGGCATTGCCTGGCGCTGACATTGGAAACACAGTTATTTTAACTTTATAACCACGTTTACCTACTCCTTGATAATGGTTTACTGCTACTCAACCAAAGGTGTGACCAAGAAGGCAGAATCAGAGGGGAGAAATATTTACACTTGATTTACAGCCATTTATCCAGAACATACTTTTGGAGCGTGAAGCTTCTTAACTCTCAACTCAAATGTAGTTTCAACAGAGTCCCACAGAAAACCCCTCAGAACCACTGCAGCTCACAGCTTCAGATTTGTGTGTTAGGAACAGGTGACTTTGACAAAGTCAAAATCCCTGTAGCATGGCTGCTCAATGAGGGCAAACCCAACCAGGACCCGGTCCAATAGGCGAAAAAGGTGAAATGACTCTTTAGTTGCATTCTTAACGAATAAATCAAAGAATGCAAAAATCTATATCTGTGTATTAAAGAGACAGCAGACTCACTCGAGCTATTTCTGGCAGATCTGAAAAATCGAGGTATTGTGGTTTTGGATCAAGACCTAGTCCAATGTGGTCTAGGGGTGGACTACCAAAATGAAGGCTATACAAATCTGTATCCGCGTTGCAAAGGGGCTGGAGACTCTCGAGGACCTATGCCACATCAGAGAAGTCCAGGTATTTGGATCCGGCCCTGGTTTGTGTATGTTCAGACTCTGTATTATGTTCCCAGTGCAGTGTGGTGTAGTCTAAATGAACCGATGGAGGTTCTGTCTAGTTAGAGTGAAGTGAAGGATTTTAGTTAACTGACTGTCTCTACGTGCAGTCTGGAGTATAAACACCTGGAGACTTTACAGCTAACACTGATATTTCATCCACTGAGGTGGATTAACGTGGTTCCGATCCAGACACTCACAGCTACATCAGCAGCTTCTCTCATACGAACCTTCGTGTCAACTGTCGGTCCTTCCTTATAACCCACATCATTTTTAAACTTCTTCAGAAAAGACGGCTCCGCTGGTTTCACCCAGGACACTCCGCTGGCTTTGTTCTTGTTCATTTTAACAGTGTACTGATCCAATGACTGAATTAAAGGCCCGAATAAAGGCTTCTGCTCACACACCACAACACAGCAGACGTCATTAAGATGTGCCGCTGCTAGTCACGTGACATGAACAGCTATTATGATTGGTGGAGATCAATTTTTTTTAACGGAAATGGAATTTTATTTTCAAGGTAAAAGTATAGAGGATTTCATCACGAATGAACAAAACACACAAAAAATAACAATCAAAAGCAGGTAAAAATTAACTTAAAATGACAAACAGTTCTGTGTTTTTCTTTATCGTTTAACCACACATTTCTCCAGATCAACACATGATAGGAAAGACCAGCCTGTCCAGTCAATTGATATTAAATGTACTGACTTTAGCTAAATAAATGTTTCATGGGTTTGAGAGAAGAACTGTTTTTGTTTTGCCCTGTAGTTTCTGCTTCAATGCACGCGCCAAGCAGGTTTTATTCTGAAAACGTCTTCCATAGTCTTCATTTCCGTGACTTTACATTTTGCACTGTAGCTCTGTTCTCTACCTCCTGTTACAGTGGACTCTTCGTGTATCATTCTCTGTCAATATGATATCAGGGTCTTTTTACGCGTTAATAGCTGGATTTTTAGGCGCAGGGGCGTCTCTGTCTGCTAAGCTAACCCTGGGAGCGGACTACCTCAGAGACATGTGCGAGTCCGGACTCAGCTGGACCGAGACTCAGGGAACAGCTGCTCTCTGTGCCTGGGTGAGATAAACTGTAGTATATTTGTTAACCCGTGTTAACATCAGTGTCTCTGTCTCTGGTTTAGACCACACTCTATTCACAAAGACCACGATAAAGATGGGATCAGATGTTCCTGTAAGATTTGACCCACTTAAGATCCAAACTTCAACTACACAAAACACTTTACAGCATTTATCAAGTTACAGTGAAGGAAGAACTTCCTTTAACAGGCAGAAACCTCGAGCACAACCAGACTGATGTTAGAGAGCTGAGACTGAACTGTGTTTAGAGAGGAAGATGGAGAAATAGAGAGATGGACAGAGGAGAGACCGATAGAGATGAAGAAAGAGAGAGCTGGACAGAGGAGAGACTGATAGAGGGAGATGGAGAAAGAAAGAGACTGATAGAGGGAGATGAAGAAAGAGAGAGATGGAGAGAGGAGACTCAATTACCACTTTCTCATTATGTCCCCTGTGTATGTTTACAGCTCCACATCCCTCTGCGGCTGCTGTGTGCTGGCCTACTGTTCACCTGTAATGCCATCATGTGGACCTTCTTCTCTAAAGCTCTGCGGCACTGCTCCTCTTCAGCCAGAGCCACAGTCATGACCACAGCATCCAACTTCATCTCCTCAGTAAGAGCTCTTCGTGTCCCAGAGAGGCGTAAACATTCACCTGACATTTCACTTTAAATTGCAGTGCACTTGGAAAAATTCAGGTGGAAGACTTATTTATTTATTATCTATGACATATTATTTGTTGCTGAGAGTCTGTTTGTGTGTCCAGGCCATCCTGGGGAGGCTGATTTTTGGAGAGACCCATGCAGCTCTATGGTGGGTGGGCATCTCTCTCACTCTGTGTGGACTTCTGGTGCTTCATGGATCCTCACCTCAGTCCCTCCCACAAGAAGAGTGCAAGAAGGACACATGATGAATGTTAGTCTCAACCTGAGCATACAGCTGCTGTTATTGAGCCACAGCCACACAAAGCTGTGGTCAGACTTATGGGCAGAGAATTAATTCCTCAGGACTTTAAAAAGGAAATGCTGCTCAGAGGGTTACACATTGTCTCAATAATCTTCACTGTGTTTTTACAGTAAACTATGTACAGTTTTTGCATTTTGCCCTCTCAGGGATGCTTTTAGGTATTATACCAGTTTTAGGGGTTAGTCTTACCAGGGACAGTCTTGTTCACATTATAAACAGGTGCACAATTTAAATACAGACACCAGCTGAGCAGGGAGAAGAATAAAGAGGTACCAAAGGGCAACAGCACAAGAGCAAATATTTCCAGTAACCTGATATTTAAAAATCAAATACAGCTAACCTGCTGCCATAATGATCTATGACAGGTTTTCGCTAAAAAAAAAAAAAAATCAACAGAAACTCAAATAAAAGGCTGTGTAGAGTGAGAACAACTGGCCACAGGAACCATTTACTTCCTGAAAAAAGAATTCTGTGGAACTGAAAGCACTGTGTGGTAAAGTTTTGTGGAGCTAGAAGTGGACTAGTGAAGATAAAGTGCACAACATACAACTTGCTCACATCATATCGAGGGGGATGAGAAGAGCTAAATGAGATGTGGCCAAAGAAAAACTATTTCCCAGTCAGAATCAGAGACAGTTTTATGAGATGAGACTAAAAATAACAACTCAAAGCTCCTGTGTGGAACTTTTAGCTTTTTATCAGATTTGTAGACAAAGTGGTCTTTGCTTATCTTGTCATTCAAATGCATGAAATCATCCTGCTGACTTTTGACAGTCAAATAATTTGTCTTTTTTCATAACCATCAAAACCTCCTCACAGAGTTCAGTTTGGCAAACCCAAAGTTGATGTTTTGTTTTCTACCTTTGAACTAGATTAAGATGTGTTTACTCTGAACACACCAGATTGACTGCAGTTAGGTTATTGATTAAATTTACTGTATTTCAAACTGTCCACATTCATCCTGGTGCGTCAATACAAACCTCTAGGATGATTGGTGGAAAAGGAAGTAAGAGTAACATAATGTGACTGTTTAAAAGAAATGCATGGTGTAATGTTTGATCAAGTATACAGGTCCTTGTGTTTTAATATACTGTAAACAAAAAGTCACTAAATTTAGCTTTTAACAGATAAACAGAGTAACATGATACTTATGAGACTTATGAGCCGGGAACATCAGATACAATCTTTCTGCAATAGAAGAAAAAAAAGTGTATTTTAAATGATAAATACCTTTTGTGAAAAACATTTAACAGACGTCTTTGTAAAAATAGAACTCACTTTTAATCATTTAGAGTCGTTAAGTACAGTTATGAAAGAATGCATTTATTTTAAGATGTAAAAATGAAACCCACACAATGACACAATGACAAAGTACTTTTAAGATAACATTGACAATAAAAAAATAACATGAAAACCAGCACCTGTTCATCAGTTTAAAGCCCTTATCCAGAAACATATAGAGAAAAGTTCCCCATGACGTCAGTAACCGTCACTTCATCATATTCGTCAGAGCCACAAAGGTAAAAATGGCAACTTCATATTAAGACTTATAAACAGGATGTAAGAGTGGTTAAATATATGGTATCATACAAATTGTTTCCCCCACACTCAAACGTCTTCTTGTCAGGACAAATAAGGCACAGTGGGAATCCTTCTGTTCAGAGAGCCATCAAAAAGTGGTTAACAACAAACACTGCTCTTACTTGAGGTGTCTCACCTGTGCTACAGTTAGTGGTGTTTTTCTGAGACACTGTAAAATCCATCATCTCCTCAACTCCAGTCACTTTGGTTTTTCCTACAGTCTCCCCAGCTCCTTCAGCTTGTTGGTATTAAAACCATTTCTTCAGTAAATACTGCATCTTTAGGAAACACATGCAAAGTAGGCAAAGACAGTGAACATCATTTATAGACCTTCATGGATTCTGTGCAACAGCTCAACATTTAAAGGGTCCAAAAACAGGATTTACAAAATATAAACCCACAGCCTTTGTGTGACTACACAGAGGCCATGGTCTCTCTCTCTCTCTCTCTCACACACACACACACACACGCACACAACAGTATCAGTGTGTTTGTTCTTTATGTGCCAATATTCGAACTTCTCATAAGAAACCCTTTGTCTTAGTGGCCACACAGTTTGTCCTGCAGAAATTGTCTAAGTCTAATATTTACAGTGACCGACCCACTAACAAACTTAATCAGAGTGGTTTCATACTGATTGATGAGATTCTGACAATATTTGATCCAAGTCAACAACAGTTAGCAACACAGTAAGCAGTCGTTTTACTGCCCACTTAAGTCAGGAGCACAAGTGTCTGCTGTAAGGAGGTATTATACATGTGCTACACCAAAGTCATGGCTACTTGAATTATCTGCAAAAGTGTGAACACAGAAGTTCAGGTTTTTGGAGGTTGTGTGAGGTATTTTCTAAAGTAAGTGTATCAGCCACAGGGGTTGATGATCAGCTGTGTTCCTGTCAGCAGGAAGTAGCCAAAGAACCAAAAGGGTTCAGCTCGACCATAAAATATAACTCATTCGAACAAACTCCAGCCAAAACGTTACAGGGGGCACGCTTTTCAGTACCTTACACATAAGTTCTCCTGCCTGCCCCCAGTGGTCAGCTCATCCAGTCTGTAATGTCAGATAGGGGAGAGTGGGGTAAGATGAGCCATTTTTTATGTTTCTGATCACTACATCGAGGCAATCATAGCTTTGTCTCTAACTAGTGTATCTGCATATATTTCAAGATGTTGTGCATCCCTGCAAACCAACAGAATGAGTGTAAACATAACTGTCTTGATAATATATTGTACTTACTTGTTTATTTCTGTTGTTTATCAGCTGATGGTGTGGTGGTCTGTAGGGTGGGTGGGAGTGGGTGAGCAAGCTATGTGCGTATCTATGTATATATGTATGTATGTATACATATAAGTATCTATATATCTATGCAGTATGTGTTTATGTACTCTGTTTATGTTTTCTGGGACGACCTTGAAAACAAGATGGTGCAGCTTGAAAATTGGAGAAAATGGGTAAAATAGTGGCAACAGCTATGCAGACTGCAGCCCTATGTGAGCCACTGGTCTCCTTTGATTCAGGAAAGTCCAGAAATGTTGTTGTTACCAAGTCCCACTATTGAAAGCAAGTCATGTATTTCATGGGACTGGACTAGCAGTTTACACACCTGTTGCACCAGGGCACTAGAGTCTACCTCAGCGCCCTGAAGAACATGTATGTGCCACACCCGAGAGTAAACAGCAAAGTGCAGAGCAAAAAATATTCAAAGCAGCAAGTTCACTTAACCCTTAGGTTTTCTCATTTCTGTCACAAGACTCTGAGAGCTGACCCCTGTGTCCAAAACTCTTACCATCAACAGGTACCCCTTCAACAAACCTGAATGAACCCTCAAAGTGAATGTCTTCTCACAGATTCAGAGCCATGTCACGTTATCATACAGTTTAGGGTTTGAGCACTGGTATCAGATCAGTATTAAGTCAAGACTGACTCCTGGGGCAAACAGTATATCATTGTGTGTAGGATCAGTTCATTACTGTTTCTAAAACTTTCAGCTCTGTCTGCAGCAGCAGGTAGTTGCCCTTTCTCATAGAACTGATCCATAATAAAGTTGTTTTCTTGAAGTTATATCTATAAGAAAGCAGCCCTCTGAGTATCTTTGCATAGTCATATCTGTGCACAATCCCGACGGAAAAGGCCCACCTCTGTTCCAGCTAAAATTTCTATATATAGCTGCCACAACTATAGTCTACATGTTCTTCAATCTAAAATCCTTATTGGTCTCAAAATTTCATATCAGACTGGCTTTGCACCATGCTCTGCAAAAGGCAGCACTTTGACTGGGAGGGAAAGAAGAGGTGACACTTTCACCTGCATCAGCCTTCCAAGTTCAAAAATACATAAAGGTTTAATTCCAGGAGGTGCCTCACTGTTTGGACAGAGACCAGAAGATATCATGTCAGTAACTCAAGGCTAGTCGAGTGGTATCTCTATGACGTCCTCCTCGATGATCTCCCCCTGAGGGACGGTGATGTGCTCCACGGGGCCTCTCTTGCAGCTCAGCCCTGAGAAGGGGCTGCACCAGGACAGGGAAAAAGGGCCTCCAAATGCCACCTGCATGGCCTCCCGACATGGCACCTTCCCCCACTTCCCCGTCTCTCCTTTCAGACGCTCGATTCCCTGAGGAAGACAGTGGAAACGTCTGAAGTGAAAGAGGCTGAGCATTACAGGGCTGGGTGTGTCCTTTTCTACATGCACGCCACATGACAAACAGCTGATGACTAAAACTGCAGTGACACACCATGAGTTCGGTCTCTGGACCAGTTTCTCAGACACAAATGACTCAGCAGGTGTAAGGTTTTTTTTTTGTTTTTTTGAAGAGGGGGCAATAACTCGAAATTAGTATAGTATCTCCAAGTGAATTAAAACAACAGTCCTATTCAGGCTGCTCTCATCCCTGTTCCTCGTTCACTTTTCTCTTTAGTCAGCTCTCTATGGATCATCCAGGCTTTACAGCAGGGACCTTCTGGGGCTGACCCTCCTGGAGGGGGTCAGTGATGGTCTTCTGGATGACTGTCAGTCAGCAGTCTGAACCATAGTTGTGGTTGTGTGTATTGAACCAGAGTGAGAGAATAAAGGTCCAGTAAACCTTTCGCAGGTGTTCAGAGTGCATGAGCTGATTAGAGATCTTTTCAGGACAGAAAGAATGAACAACAAACTGGACTTTTACACAATATTCTGATGTTTTCAGAGAGGGGATTGTTGATTTTCATGAGCTGTGAGTCGTACTCATCAAGATTCAAACAAAAAGAGGCTGTAAATATTTCACTTTGTGTGATGAAGTTTCACTTTTTGAACTAAATTATAGGAAAAAATGAACTTTTTCAGGACATACACATTTTTGGAAGTGAACCTATAGTTCCTGCTACCAATATCTTTCCACCTCAGTGCACTTATTGAATCATATGAGTGTTGTACCAAAACAGTTTTGTACTGTCCTTGAAATAATTTTCTTCAGTTTGTCCTGAGAAACATGCCCAAAATGTGTGAAGACAATGCACAAAATGATTTACATGCACTCTAAAAATAAAGAATCACTCCCTGTGAAAGAAACCACAATGTCAGATGGTTCAAACAGGACATGCATCCTGTCCTACATAGAACTCATTCATTCACTATCTTTGGTTGATCTGAAACAGCCAAAAAAAAAAAAAAAAAAGACAGAGCACACTCTGAGCTTCAGGTTGAAATCTGCATGCTTGTGATGTGTTAAGCTTCATGGGACATCCAATGTGATCTTTGTTGCAGCTTACCTCTCCTAAAGTTTATTAAGAGTTGTCTGCTGCAGAAAGCTTTTGGCAGAGTGAGTTATCAACCAAAGCAAAATGCATGAGTGTGGAGAGGACAGCTCATGAGAAAGGCAGGTTACTGACAGTAAAGTGGAAAAAGAATGAAAGACAAGGACAGAGTGAGGGGGGAGAGGACTGAACGCAGGGAGAGTAGAGACAATTGGTTTAATACGATTTGAGCATAAAACCAAGTGAATAAAAACACATTTGGGTAAAAAATATCCTTTTCCATTATGGGGAATCAATACATTCAAAGGAAAAAAAGCAAACACAGTTTCTGAATTGCAACTGAGAAGTATTTATTCTCTGCGCATGTGCTGAAATATCTTCAGAATATTTAGAAAGAATTAAAACTTCAGTAAAAAACAAATCATCTTCTCAATCATCACTCTCACCCGCAGGACTTGGCACCAACATACCACACACATTGCTAGACTAGCCTTCATCTGTACCATGCATTCACATAACATAGGATCCATACAATATCATGTAAACAAAGAAAGGAAGAACAAAATGCACAATTAAGATTAGAGCAGAAAATCTTAAAAGGAAATACAAAGTGCAAATTAAACTTTTTATTTATTCTGTAGATATGAATGATAAAAGTCAATACTCTTTGAAATGCTTTGACACAATCTGCCACAATTGCCCACAAATCCAGCTTCTTTCTTGCCCTGAAATGAATGTTTCTAAAGGTAAATCCCTGTATCTGTATATTTTCATAAACAAAGATTTTTTTAAGTCCAACTACAGACTCCCAAAATATAGGAGATGAGCTGAAAGCACAGGGGCAGATTCACTTTCTAATATCGAAGCACAACCTGGTGCTTAAACAGTGTGGGTGGCTGGACGTCTCTTCAGAACAGAGAGCCTGAGCTTGGGGTTTACAGCCTAATAACTCATCAGAAGATACTCTGATCACCATGTTTTACTGCTGAAAGACAAGCTAAGACTGACATTTCAGTCTTTTTACTGAGTTCTGAAATAATCATTTTAAAAAACCAAATGACTTAAGAAAAGTGCAACTAAACTTCAGTTTGGTGAAGGAAACAGAAAACACCCTACCTTTGTTTCAGGAAAAAATACTTGAACCAATTTTTAAGTAAAAGCTGTGTGTATGTCAAGCATGTATCAGAGAGGAATCAGGAAAGATGCTCCACACTTTGACAATGTGTGCTACAGCCATTTGAGTCATTATAAACTCCTTATTAAACTCTTTTCAAACATGTTTGCCATCACCTTCAGTCATGTGATGCTCAAATACAACACTTATCAAAGGACCACTTTTCCACTGGTATCACATTATAATAGTGAGTCTGGAGGCATTTAAAACGTTGCACAAATTTGCCGTAATGGAAGAGCATGGGACTGGTACAATAGCCAGCCAGTATTATAGGTTTGTATCAGGAGAAAGAATTTGATCAAAATAATCCTATGTACAAAAACATGTTAGAAAAAAATAAACAACTCTTGACCCAAAGGAAATCCTGACCGGGTTCCAGTGTTTTTCAGAAAACTGTTCCTTTATGTGCTGTATTTGCCACTCTTTCCAATAATTACACTGAGAATGGTTCCATTAGCAAAATTCTCTTATGAGCAGTGTTGCAGGACTTGAGTCCAACTAAAATCCTAGTTTTTAAGACGACTGACTCTACCTGAACTCGAGGACTCATGACCTGAACCCGGGCGTTGACTGCATTAGGACCCAGAGAACAGAGACAGGGACTCTCTTGTTCATCAATACTTATTTGTCCACAGGGGGGCGCCAAAGTTGACACAAACTGAAAGTCCCCGACAGGTGCTCTTGGCACTGGGTTCATTAAAGGGTTTGCTTTGTAAATTCTGATAAATAGCAGGTGGGCTGAAGGTACCTTTGTGTTACTCTGACACCTGCACAGTAGAATCAATGAGTGCATCTCCACATAAGTGAAACCCATTTATAAACAACACAGTGCTGTAACTTCACTGATAATTTAAACCTGCAGACATGCTGAGGAGATTCACATGAATCTGATGTGATAAATTTAAATGTTTCCTGTGGTTAAGTGGAGTGTCATACATCCAAAAGGTCCCACACAGTCAGTCCAGACTCATACAGTTTAGAGGGTCCTCTTTATAATACATAGGATCAGAGGATGATATGTGGATTCGTCTTTGGTGAGTAATATTCTGAGGACTCAACTACAACTACAACACTGCTCACAAGAGATCCAGTTATACGAGCTTTAACCCTGAACCTGCAGTATCCTGAAATGTCTCCAACAGGAAGCTTATTTGAAGTTTTTCATAATCCACCAAGATAACATCACAAAGAACCGTGTGACCATAGAGTGAAAAAAATGGACCTAGCACCACAACATCAACAATCAGTTTGGCCATTTGGATGTCAAGATCTCAGTTTTTTATCTCATCAGTATTTCTTTCTTTATACATCTTTGAGTCGCCCTCTGCTGGCCATTAGAAAGAATGCAGGCCAACAGCCCTTCCACACTGGCTTCACTTTTAAGACCTGGGGCTATGTCCACTTTTTCAGCCTATGAGTCTGACATGAAGGAGGTTTAGAGGGTCAATCCATCCAAATAATAAAGGAACATTTTGTCACTCACACCTTCGTACCATGTAGCCATGCTGACTGATTTGGTAAGAGTTACCAGTACAGAGGAGAATAGGAGTAACAACACATGAAAAACCTGCAGATCTGGGGAGGTTTGAATCAGTCCACTAGCCCACAGACAGTGTGAAGCATGTGGTGGCTTTTGGCGTTTTAGAGGGAATCTCAAAGTATGATACTTTAGGGGCACGGGCTGTCTGTTGTCAGCTTAATGTTAGTGTTTCATTTAAGTATGTGTTTAGGGTGTCTTAATGGCAGTAAGTCAGCCCCACATTAGTGTGGCTCCTAGTGAGTGAATTTGTCAAACTTGTAGTGAAAAAACCTCCCTCAATCTGTTTCAAGTCACATTCACTTCACAAGTTTACTGAAACAAGTCGAACATCTTGTTTCAGGAAACTCAGCCACAAAGTTCTTCTTGGTCCATTGGCAGATTTTCCTCATTACATGCAGTTCAGGCCTCATTTTCGATCATAACATCAAGACTTATTCCTGGACAAGTCGTCAGGTAAAGGTGACTTACATGACAAGTTGTGTGATATTTCTGACCCTAATGCAGACAGATACAATGGCTCACAAAGATTTGAGTTTTTGCAGTGCATTTTTCATCCTGCAGACTGGGTTACCATGTGAGTGTGGTGGGCTGATCAGCACTATGTGTGTGTAAAAAAATGAATGAATGTGTAAATCATTAAGTTGACCCAGTGACAAGGAGATCTGGAAGGCTTTTAATAACTATTCATCATGATAATTTCACTAGTGGTTTAATAAGCTTAAACTGTCTTCACTACAGGATCGCTAACACATATTTAATTGAATTATTTTGAAATGAAATGTACACGTTAGAATACCTAAAAAACCAGCAGAGTCACTTGGTTGCCGACAGTGCCTCTGATTTTAATTGAAACTTTTACAGTTTCAGGGAGGTGTAACTCCATGTGGGGTATTCAAACTAGATTCTCAGTCCAACTGGTACATTACACCCAATCAGACAGTTTTCACTACTCACTGGACAGAAATTTTCTTAGTTTGGACTTATAGCAGACAACTCTTGTCCTCTGCATGTGGTTGACTATGAATGAAGAGTTTTACAATGTGAAGTGGATGTCACCAAGTTCATGTAAAATCCTTATTTGTCGCCCTTCAAATCTGAATATCTCTCAGTTTTCTCACCACTCTATGATAGTTGAGCGAATACCGTTTGGTTTTTGACTGCTGCTTGAAATGAACAAGCAAGGCAGACACATCATTAAGTCTATGTGACGGAGACCTTTTTAGGTCAAATTTGATGCGCAAATAAGTGAATCATTTCGTGGACCAGTTCTTTTCATGTGTGGATACTTCAGCATAAACCCAAACAAAAGCAATCATCATGGCCTGACACCACAAGAAAAAAGTGAGAAAACAGGGTTCAGGAGAACTGAGCAGAAGTTGAAGGTTTGACAGATAAAAGAGTAAACATAGTGAGGAAGGAGAAGGCCTTTGTTACAACAGAAATCAGGAAAAGAACAGATTCATCACAGTGTTTGCAAACATGATTCACAAACTAAAAAGTGTTTTCTTTTTCTCTGCAACTCAACTCACCCAAGGCAACACAAATAGAAATGTATAGCGCACTTAGTTGGCAACACAAAAAGCAGATGGAAGGCAGTCCATGGCTAGTGTGGGAAATAAATCAAGTTCAGCATTTGGAGCAACAGTCTGCCATAACTGAGCTCTGTGGGGCTGAGCAGGGCTTCCCACTTTGGTTCTGACCCGGCCCGCTCTCACACCACATACTGGTAGGTCTCAGCCTTCCCGTGGTCAGGGGTGGAGAAGGGACTAAACCACAATAAGGAGAAAGGGTGTCCAAATACCGCCCTCATGTTCATCCATTTAGTTTTTTTAGCCCATCTTCTCTCTTCCTTTTTCAACTGCTCTATGCCCTGAAAACGAGAGACAACCACACTTCAGTTGGTGGGCTTTTGTCAACCAGTCAGTGATCACAAATACTGATTTACCGAGCCCACCAAATTATTTCAAATAAAAACAGATATATGTATAACCCCTTTTTTATTTCAAGCAGTCTGACTGACTCAAAAACCTAGAGGCCTGGTAGAGGTCCTGTTCTGAGGTCTTCACAGGTCAAAAATGAGGGGCCTGAACCCTCTCGGTCTCTTTATTTACAAAGCCATGCTGGGAAATTTCGAACCCATGAATCCTCTTTCATTTTGTGTACAGATGCAACAACTTTTGTGGACTTTTGTTAAATGTGTCCTTGTGAGGTTAGAACTGCAGTTAAAAATGATTTTGTTCATGTTTCATCAAAATAATATGAAAGAGCAGAGCAAAATCTCTGCAGAGCTCATCACAGATATTTATTGGTTCACCCCTGGGGTCAGGAGGGGATAATTCAGCAAGGGTCTTTACAAACAAAAGCCCTCCTGACGATACCGTCCATGACAACAGACAGAATTTCAAACAGCTTTTCAAATGCTCATCTAACAGTGCTGTTTTATTCTGGCAATGTTAAATCCCTAATACTACTATAGTCAGCAAGTGTATTTACAGTGCATTTAAGTAACCATACGTTAAGTTACAATACAATACAATACACTGCAATACAACATGATACAGTTCGGCATTATAGGACAAAACACAAATTGATTCCATTTGATACAATATAGAGCAATACTACATGATATTGAATCAACAAAGAGACTTTTTAAAGGTGTGTGGGTGATCCAGTTTATGTTCCAGCTTTAGGGAAGAGATGGCCTCAGATAGCTCTCCATTTGATACTTTTATAAACCTTTTTGCTGCATTATTATTTCCTGTTTTGATAACAAATGTAATTTTGTTTTCAAAGAATCTAGTAGGTACGTTTGTTAGAAGTGCTGGAGTAAATGGAATCAGCTAAAGGAATGATCAACATTAAAAAATGTTTGAGTCTTAACTAGGAATGGGCATGATTTATCAATGGTCGAGTAATTGATCGTTAGGAATGAAGTCAATCATGCAAAATTTGGATTGATCTAATGTTATCAAAAAAGGCTGAAAGCGTGCATCCATCCTCCAGCTGCTTTCCAGCAAAGATCAACCTCTGCTGATCGGGAGGGACACCCACTCTGTACAGTCAGGGTGTGTGTGTGTTGAAGCAATGCAGCGACTATCACTGCAAGAAATGATTTTGACATTTTACAAGGGGGGTGATACAGCGTCAGCGGGCTTCCATAGAAGTCGGAAAAAAAAAACAGAAAGCAACATGAAGTGTGGTGTGGGATCATTTCGAGCACAAAAATGATGAGGTTTGCTGGAAACACTGCGATGCTGTGTACAAGTAAAACACAACAACGACCCCAAGATGTACCACTTGAACCACATCTGTCTGTCTGAGGTTAATGAATCCTCCGAGTGCTCTCAGTCTCAACCTACCATCAGCTCCTTCCTAGCAAGGAGGATCTGTAGGGTGACCAGACGTACCCGATTTCAGGGGACAGTACCCATTTTGGATGTGGTAGTGCGCAGTCTTGAACAAACAGTTATGGGGGGGTCAATGAGAAAAAAAAACATGTTTTTTGCACATTTTCTGCTATTCACATAAAAAACTATCAAATCGATGATTGATCATTTATATGATTAATCAATCAAGAGACTTTCTTAAAATGCCCATTTCTAGTCTTAACCTTCCTGATGAGACATATATCCTTATGTTATTTTATGTCCCTTTCTCTCTAACAGGTTGTGAAGACATTACTGAGGACAGGTGAAAAGACAGAGATCATCCTTTAATCAACAGCAAGTGGGGATATACTGTATAATAATAAAAAAAAGCTAAAAGGGATTATCAAGGTAAGCCAAAGGCAGATAGCACCCTCTTCTGTTTGAAAAAAGACATCACAATCCACTTTTCATATCAGTAGTTTGAACGGTCCCTTCTTTGTGAGGTACAGTTACTTTCCCATGACACAGATTTTTGGTTGGAAAACTAAACTATGACAGAAAATTATACCCATAATGGTAAATATCTGAGCTTTATAAAATGTCAGAAGTTGCTGCATGTGTACCAAAATAAAATCTAACATTACATTTACAAACAAGTCCTTGTGTGTACCACTGTTTACTCTGCTGATGCTCCACTATATGTGCTCCAGAGTTGCAGAGCATTCTTAGACAAACGACAGGATAACACTGTTTGGGAGTCACCTCAGGAATTGTCCATATAACAAAAAAATCCTAATAAAATTGGTCCAATAAACACATCAGTCAGGTTCTTCTGATTTCATCCATGTCCAGACAGCACTTATCATGGATCCTCTCTTTGGTGTAACACATAATTCTGATGGGGGACCCTGGTGGACCTGTGAAGACCTCTAGTTCTGTTGATTTCCCCTCTGTATGCTGTACAGCCCCCTGCCCTCTGTTAGTGAAATGACACTAAAAGTCTCCCATAAATCTGAGTTGCAGACAAAAAGAAGTTGGGGGCAGGAAAAGGGTTTTGGTTTGGTGAGCTCCTAGTCCAACACACAGACACATCAACAGGCTGTGTGATATTAGGATGACACCCAACTACACAGAGGGGACACTGATTCCTTCAACCACTGATACATGGACAAATAAAACTTATTCTTGAAAAAAATACCTGTATCTTCAAATTTGTCACTTGGTGTCCTAACACACAAGCTCCTAGCAAAAAGCCATTTTCTCAAGAGCAGAGTGAGGCACATAGAGGTATGATGAACTGCCTACAGTGTTGACTTTTATCACAATCAGGTATTTTTTTGATGTTCTACATGAAAAAGTACTAAAAAACGTTTCTGTTATGAAATAACTTTGAATCCAGTGTTTTCCATGTCCAAAACAGAATTCATTAGATGTCATGCTGTGAAAGATATCACTCAGCTGTCAACAGTTTGAAACAGAAGTAGAGGGTCAGGGTGCTCGTGTTAAAAAGCAAAGGCTGGCAGCAGCAGGGAAAAATGCAGGGCCAGTAGGCAGATATAAGAGAAGGAGGAGAGGCTGTAAGTCTCTACATGGATCACTTACGGTCTCGTCGGTACAGATGGAGTGGACCTGGGTTCCGAACATCACAGAGGTAAAGATGAGGAAGAGGAGACCCTCAAAGCACAGGAGTATGAGGAGGATGACTGTGGCTGGAGGAGAAAAGGTACTGCACTCTGGGGGATGGAGGGACATGGAGGTAGAGACGTGAGGGGTATATGAAGAACTGCTACTCATAGAGAGAAGAGAAACAACCACATCCTTACTGGGAATCAGGAGCACTACAGGAGATAGTGGAATGGTATGTCTACATGTCATCTACTGAGGATGCTTTGGTAGAAAGGGGGACAGTGAAAGCTCAGGATCACAGTGATTTGGTCATTTGATCACGATGATTGCTTAGCAGGTTGGGGGAAAAAGCCTTGAAGGGTATGGAAACCCCCTTTAAGTCCAAATCAGGAGGTTTTTACAATGACACTGCTCTAAACCTGACTCCCATGTTTTACCATCTGGGCAAAGTTCAGGCAGTTACCAATTCCCAGACAACAAATCAAATCAAGCTGATAACTTTTGTAAAACTTGAAGTCATGTCCCGTCATCTTTTACTACGCTGTTAATTTTTCAATCAGAGACACCTAGAATCCCAAAAAAGACGGAGGCAAGTAAGAACGATAGTGTTTAGTGGTAGAGATGAGCAGTACATATATGTTTTCATTGTAGACCTGAAATACCGGTCACATGTTGTATTTGAGACGTAGTGCAGCCACCCAGCAGTTCTGGTAAATAACAACTGCCATAAAGCCACAATGCTCTTCTGCTTAGATGTACACAGCAACATTTGACAGACGCTTTGATGTGGAAAGGCACAAGATATTTACTATGGTTAGTAACATGATCTTGATAATAGTGATGAAGTTTGATGTGGCTGTGTGCAGTTGAACAAGCATATAACCACTCAACCAGGGCGGCCGGAGTAAACAGCAGACATGTGGAAAATAAAAAAGCTAGTGCTAGAAAAAAAAGCTAGACTGAAAGCTAGTGATGCTAGTCTAGCTATGCTAACAGTTGCCAATCTCAGCAAACCAATTTGACACAGTGACAGTATGTGTAGCAGTATCATCTGCTCTGTTTGGCTCTGATTTCTGACCGTTTTCTTAACTTTAGATTGAGTAAATTCATACAGTAAATTGCTCAGCTTTGTAAGTTGAAAGCCTGATTTAATGTTTCTCCAGTTTCCCACTGTGCACAATTGATGACCCAGTTAAAAAGAAAGGGTGCAGAGATCTGACTGACACATTTAAAATTGACTAAAGTTCCTCTTGATTACAGACTTTAACTGTCGACTTCTAGGGGGCAGCCATGCAAGTTTGTGAATAAAAGGAGGCACCATTTCATTTGTTGCTTGGTTGTTACAAAAAGACACCCTAACATATACAATTCATAGAATCCCTCCTTTTGAAACGTTTTAATTTTTTATGTGAGGGGGTATGAAAATTGGGTGCAACTGTTTTCATTTTCCAAAGAAAAAAACCACTCACTTGTCCAATCATCTTCAAAGCAGTTGAGGAAATGGAAGACCACCATGACCAGAGCGTGGAGAGAGATGAGTGCAATGTACATCTAGTACAGAACGAAAGAGAAGACAGGACACCCAGTGAAGAATCAGCAAACTCATTTCAGTAACTGTTAACAAACCTGCAGTTTCAGCATCAGTTTTTAACCTCCAAGTTGTCATATAATAGCCAAACCTTTTGAGAAACGCCCCAAATTAAGTTTTTTGAAACTATACAGGGTGTAAAAATTATTCATGGCACTGATGCATCCATTTATATTCCTGCAATCCACCTGTATCAATGTGCTAACAGCCATGTGACACTCCCCTTTGATGTATACTGATTAAATATTTCTTCAATTATTTCTTCATTTTCAATGACATGGAAATCGAACACACACGACCAGGTCATTCCTCCATCTTGCACCATAATATTGCATTTACCAGCAGTGTCATGGGGAGAGGAGCCAGCCGAACAAGAGATTTATAAGCTGGCTGGAGTCACTGTGGCTTTTATAGAATGCTTTAGTAGTGGAAGTTCAGTGTGATCTTTGCACTGGCCCACTGAAGTGTCATGGTGTTGGTGTTAAACACCAAACTACAAGCTCTATTCCCACAGCAACAACAGAGCCTTCTGCTTTGGGGAAAGTCTCTGGCATCACCACTGTCTTTACTCAGACTCAGTAAGAGCTAAAACTATCACCAAATGTGTCTCGGAAAAATATGCTACAATACAGTGTGGTTAAAAATACTGGCTTCTATGAAATGATCTAAACTTTAAAGCCATGAAAAAACAAACAAACCAGCCAGGCTTCTCAAAACAATGGTGAGCAGCGCTGTGTAAAAGGCTAGACAGTTGTAAAGATAGCATTTTCTCAAGCCAAACGAGAGCCAGATGGACATCCCATTCGACACAAGGGTAATGTTAACAGGCATGTTACCATTACCTCTCATCATGATGGTCTAAAATGTAATTGGACAACTTTTAAGTGCATATTGAATAAAAGATAGGCACCTTACCATGTTACACATGCAACATCAATGGAAAAACAAACAAAAAAAAAGGCCCCACCCCAACTGCACTATTTCACACTTCTTCAAATTTTGACTAAAACAGTGAGAGTGCATCAGCTTCTGGTCACTGTGTCATATTGCCTAAATTAACCGGTATCATCCTTGTACCATAATGTCAACCACATATCATGATACATGTCATATTGTGGTTAAAATGTGTTGTTACAACCTTAAAAATGATGACTGCTCAGCTTCCACTAAAGTCAGCTTCACAAACTTCTCCTTATCAAAGGTTTAAAAATCTGTCCAAGCAAATTTTTCCTTTGAGTTATTTTAAGACCACTCCAAAAATAACTTGTGGTTAGAGTGAACTTACTGTGAAAAGCACAAAATACTTTTGGTTGTTCTCCCCAACACAGTTATTGACCCAGGGGCAGTGGTGGTCCATCTTCCTGATGCAGCGTTTGCAGACACTGTGAGTAAGGTTGGGATTGAAACACGATCACAAATACTGAAGCCAAAGATGTGCTTTATAAAGACAACATTAGCAGAGAAGGGGGGGGGGGGGGGTTAATCCACTCATAAACCACAGCACCCATTTTAAGAAAAAAACAAAAACAAAACACAATTTGACTTCTGCAGTGCAGCTGGAAGCATTGGTATGGGTTTGAATACCTATATCCTGTTTACCTGCAGTGGTGAGCCCGGTCAGGCTTGATGCTGCTGCATTTGGGACACTTGTAGACTACCTGGCCTGGTTTTAGCTGAAGGCTCTCGATGTATTCCTTTGTAGCATTTCCTTTTGGCACTGCCCCCTAAAAAGAAACACAAGCAGACTAAACTAAACAAGCATACACCGTTTTCTCTGATCAGGATTTCACACTCTAGTCAGCTTGGTTTTGACTGTTCAAGTATCATAGCTTGTCACATCTTTTTTAGTTTGTGTATTAATGACTTTCAAGATCACTTACAGGATCAGTGCACATAGCTCTAAGGTGTGAAGCAAGAGCGAGGAAAGCCAGAGTGTTAAATAAGGTCCCGTTGATAATGCTGTATGTCAGATTCTTGGAGGGCAGCAGCATCACAAACAGCACCACAAACTCTGCATAAAACACTAGCAGCCAGGTGATGATGGCACACACTATGCCACAGGCGTCCCTGATGAACCACATGGCTGAGGCAGAGGTGGATGTGATGACGTCTTTGGAGATGGGGATGCGCTGCTCAGTCTGCAGGCAGGTGGTCCCTCCCCCGGCCCCTCCGAGCCCACGCCCATGCTCGACATCCCTGCATCTGTGCACCGGGCTCTTCATACTTCATCTAAGCTAGTCCCCCACTGATGCACCCCCAGACCCTCAGTGCATTCAGGCTTCAGTCTCAGTCACCGCATGCTAGAGGAGAGAGGCAAGAGGGTCACATGTTAGAGGTCAGTAACAGTCTGGTCACATACCCCCTGTTGTTCAACACTGTAGATTCAGACCTCACCTGAACAGAGACCTCAATGCTAGTAATAACAACTATCAGCCTCAATCTAGTAAAGTGAGTGTGATTAATAGGAAAAACTCTTTGTTTGGGTATTATCTTAAATGATTTGAGGAGCATTACCAAAATAAAACTATAGCAAAAGACACCTGAACTGAGGAGCAGCTAATATCAAGCCAAGACTAACATGTTACATCTTACAAATAAGTTAAAAAATATGACAACAGTTCACTTTTAAAACTCCAGGAACCTGGCCTCTCCATTTACAAACTGTTGTCAAAAGAAGAGATGCAAACATGGTCCTTCCCTGACATTTCTGCAGTGTGTTGCTAGCATCAAGTTTTAAATGACTGCAAATGTCATAAACATTATAAATAAATGATTTTTTTTTTCAGTTTTATCATGCTGTCTGTGCATTATTTTTGATTTAATGAAGGGTTTGAATTGCATTCCCACATGTTCTGTTTTATCAACATTTTAAACAGGTTTTTGGGAAATTGGGGTTGTAGACTAACATTTATGTAAGACTGGTGATGTGAACATGCCACAAGACTAACTTAGCCACTCACTTGAGAGAAATCCTGGATTCAACATTAAACGGTAAGAGGACCCACATTTGACATCATGAACACACAGATGTACAACACAGCACCAGCCAAAACAAACTCTGCCTAGCTCTGTGTCCTTCTCACATGCTACAGTGAGATTTAGTGAATGACACAGCAGGTTTGTGTTTTCAGATGAAACCTGTCAGTGGAGGCTGAATGAAACTAAACTTTCCAGTTCTACAATAAACATGTCAGTGTCAGTCAGGGCCAACACAACTCTCCAACATTGATTCAGCAATATGCTACATGAGGTCACGATGTTGTGCTGAATACCAAAACTGCTGTATTTAGGTGACAGACGTGATAAAGGGCAGTTGACTGTTATGTTGACTAAATTACTTTTACTAACAGTATTGGGCAGTAAAAATGTCGAAAGCACAAACAATAAAATGATTGAGGCAATCATTCTTCTTTTTTATAGCAAAACCTTACAACAGCCCTTAACACAAGACTTACGCTCTTTACATTATTCTTTCATTACTTAGCCGATTCATTTGTAGAAAAGATTTTAATTGGCAGATGTATTGTATTTGTATTTGAGATAGACCAATTAATCACTTGAATTAATGGCATTTTTAAATAATTGATATCAAAGCAGCATCAGCTCTCACAAGGCTGACATCACAATCGTTCTTTCTCTATATATAAAATAATAATAATACTAATAAAGATTTTCTCAGCCCGAGTTGAAAGTAAACCTTTAACACTCTCTGGCAAGCATTGACTATATTTCTGTCACAATATAAAGAGTAAAGCAGTTGCAATTCATTAGAAGTCCATATAAAGCATGTTATTGGCTAAGATAACTATTTATGTGCATAATTAACAGATGTACAAATGAATTCCTTTTTTCTTTCTAATAATTTAAGATTGATGAACAGAAATCCAAAAAGCAATATTTTCCTGAGCCAATTATTTTCTGTCCACATTTATTGAATGTCATGGGCAATCCTCCTACTCACCTGCAAGGGATAACAAAACAGACATATTTTGTCAATTGCAAAAAACCAACAACAAATACGCAGTAAAGCTCTATGCTGCATAATCCACCATCAGCTGACCTGCTCTCTCATCATCTGTTGTCAGTATGAGCCAGTGAAAAACTGAAAAACCCTTTGCAAGTGTCCTTTGGGAACAGCTGGTTCGTATATTATATATTTCACTGCGATCTTGAATATCTGTCAGAGGTATCCGTAATTGAAGTCTTCCTGGTCAAAATAAGAATTTAAGACAGCCACAATATCATTCTCAATACCACAAAATTGGTCATTTTTCCACTCATTTGTAATATGGTTTCAATTTTAGAAATTCATTCTAAAATTTATCATTCACATACACTGACCAGCCATAACACAATTAACACAATCAAGAAAATCCAACACAACAGCTCTGCCATACTATGTACCTCCAGGAAATGTCTTCATTGTCACTTAATGTTGACATGATGAGCAATTATCATTTTTCATGTTTTTATCAAAAATGTCATGTTACTGTATTACACTGGAAGGTGTTCCTAATATATTGTCTAGTTTATTACAAACATAAGAGAAGCACCATTTTTGGAGCACCTGTTAATAACATACACTCCAGTTTACCCACTACAACACTAACTAGTGGTCGATGGATACCAGTTTGCAAGTACTAATCATGTGAGAGCAGGTTACCGAAACCTGATATATAACATGCTGGTATCATACTGTTGTTATAGTTTTATTTTCACATTTTTCGAAATACAAAGATTTAATGATTATACTACCAAATAAGTTAGTTTAAAAAAAAACTCAGGTGAAAATATATTTGGCTAATCAAAAATTGCTACACGAGACTTGAATTTCTGCCCAGTCATCCGTAATTATAAAGAAAGGGGAGAAAGGATAATCTGATTAATTATTCAATCTCAAACTTCAAAAATCAATTGACAGAGCAATGATCATCCGTCCATAATAACCATAAACAGAAATGTAAAATATAGGAACTTTACAGGTTGGTTTTATCATGGATGGTGAGTGTACATCCACAGTGAACATTTCAGTATTTCTGCAATGAAATTCTTCATCGGTAAAACTCTCAATTAATGTTTGCAACCCTGTATTTAACATTCATATTCTTACAGTGGAATCAAAAACCCGTTCCAGTTATCCATGACACAATTTTGCAAACACAAACTGCGTTTTAACCAGAAACGACTGTATGTACTATCGTACTTACTGATAAAACATGAATTTGATAAAAGGAAATGCTACTGTTGACATCGCAGGTATGAGAGTGTTTGCTTTAAATGACAATCCCATCAGTATAACTGGTGTTTACATTCACTCCTCATCACTTACAGCTGTTTGACAGAGCGGTCTGTGCTTATTATAACATGTACCACTTATTCACTGTTTAAAGATGGTATATCTTGAATAAAATGTTACATGATGACAGCCTAACATACTATGAGCAGACATTATTATCTGCCAGATAGACTGATGCAGTGATATAGAGGGGCATTGATCAGATTTTCATCTGAATAAGTGGGTCGGTATTTTCAGCTCACTGCGTTCAGGTGGGTCAATCTGTAGATGCGAGGTTAACATGCTAGCAGTGTTGTTTTAATCTGCGTAATAAATTCTATAAACTGCTTTTCTACTCGGGCTCGACGTTTTATAGGCCTCTAAGATACAGAAATCTGACTGAATCCCACCCAAGCCCAAACACAGTAAATAGGTGAGGTTCAGGTTAACGTTGGTTCATTAGCTCAGGCTAGCTCATAGCTACGTGTCTAGAGGTTTCAGATCGAGCAGTTACTAACCTGTTAGCATACTTTTATCAGCGTCATTCTCTTCATCTGTTTAAGTACCAGTAGACCCGAAACGTCTGTCCACCTCCTCTTTGGATTTATTACGCTTATATTCCGACAAATCTCACCTGGAACACAAGCATCCTTCGGACACTTTCGCTGTCCCTTCCAACCAAGTACTCGGGCAGCAGCAGTTCCTCGTTAACGCCGTGCTCACGCCCCCTCAACAACAACATGACGTAATGACGCACGGTTTTGAGCCAATGAGATCGTTGGAAAGGTTTCCTGCCTTCACGTCAAAGGCCATGCCACACACACCTTCCTTGTTTCAGATTGATGTATCTGTCACCTTAATAATCAAAGTTTTATCAAAGTTTACCGTTTACTTTTTGATTACAGGGGTTTGTATAAAAGATGTAAGACAAAAAAGAGTCTCATTTCACATTTCATTGGCAATTTTATCACAGATCTAGTGAATAAGAGTAAGAATAACTTTATCTATCTCCAAAGGGAAATTCAATTGTCTGTAGTCTCAATTGTTACATCTCAAAAAGTCATCTACTATTTATAGAAGAATTATAAAGTCTGATGGCTGTTGGTACAAAAGATCTCCTGAATCTTTCTGTCCTACAGTGAAGAGAGAGGAGCCATCCACCATCACTGGCCCATTTGGTCCATCAAGGTGTTATGAAGTGGTGATCCATGCTCTTGAGAATAGTCTCCACCTTCCTCAGTGTAGATCTCTCCACCACATCCTCCACTGAGTCCAGCTTGAGTCCTACCACAGAGCAAGCCTTTTTCACCAGTTTTTTAAGACGTCTTGCATCTTTGTGTTTGATGCTTCCTCCCCAGCAGACCGCAGCGTAGAACAAAACACTCGCCACCACAGACTGATAAAACATCTACAGCGTCTTACTACAGATGTCTATTGACCGAAGTCTTCTCAGGCAAAAGAGGCAGCTCTTCCCCTTTCTGTAGATGTAGTCTATATTCTTAGACCAGTCCAACTTGTTATCCAGATGTACACCTAGGTATTTATATGATGTCACTACTGCAATGTCCACTTCACTGGCAAGAGAGGAGGTTTGGATCTGCAGAAGTCTATGATCATCTTTGTTTTTGAGGTGTTGAGTAGGAGGCTTTTTTTTTTTTCAGTCAGTCTCATTCATGTAAAATAAACATAACGGTAGAGGAAGAATGGAAATGGCAAATTTCATTAATACCTAAATGAGTGAGAAAACCACATGCAAGCAGTGTTATAATAAAAAAAATCTAAAAAGGTACAATAAAGCAAATGGTTAAGAAGAGATTTAATAGAGGACATTTAGTTGCCTACTTGCGTCTGTGGGTAGAGTCCTGCTAGAAGATCCCAGGTCGTGGTTAGGCTCTAAGAAAGTCAGAAGTCTAACTTATATCAAAAGGTAGGGGAGACCAGGGATGGTAATAACACAAGGAGAGCTTAAGCTCCACCATTTCCAGCATCCAGGGCTAAGTCCCATGATCATTCAACTGTTTATGCCACATGGTGTTTTTTCAGATTTTAAATAGATGCAGCTTCGACAAATAAGAAAAATGATTCTGAGTTGTGAAAAAAAGTTTTTGGATGAAGACTATGTTTTTGTACTTTCACTGTCAGTGATAAAATCATAAAACTTGGATCAAACTGCAGTTTCTCATCCAAAATATTTAGATTTTTTCCATGGGAAAAGGCATCTAAGGATTACAATGCCAAATTGTTCTATGATCAATGTATGTGAGCAGTATAAAATGATTGCCACTATTACTACTTCTGTACTGCCTACTAAACACTCAGATTATTTGTTGGCCATATGATTATGCCACATAACATACTAGTGTACACCCTCTCGGGGTCACATGACTCCTTCCACCTATTACTAGTGTGAAAGTCAAGTTTTTCTGTTTCTTGCAGGAACTTGCACCAACAGAGCTGTACTGAAAAATTAATTCCACCAGCCTGGCTGTGTGGTCATTAAATAAAAATGAATGAATGAATAAATGAATGAATGAATTAATGAATGAATGGAGTATTATTATCTAGTATTTATTGATGATCAAACTTAGATATTTATTTAATTTTATTCATATTGTACTCATAAGAATGTGAATTCAATGAAGTTGCAAAGTTCCAAGTTGCAAAATGTGCATTTAAATTTATCAAGCGACTACTTTAAAAGACAGTCTTCCAATACCAGAGCTTATCCTAAATAAACTTTAATTTAAATCAATATTTATTTGATAAATATCACTTTGAAATCTTTTTAATGTGGTTATGGTATTTGAATCTGAAAAAAGAAGATAAAAAAATGTTAAGTTTTAAGCTAAAAGTCTGAATCTGTTGCACTACACGGGAGTGTGTGTGTGTGTGTGTGTGTGTGTGTGTGTGTGTGTGTGTGTGTGTGTGTGTGTGTGTGTGTGTGTGTGTGTGTGTGGTGGGGGTGTTAACGGTTTGTCTGAAGGTGGCTGCAGTTCAGGAACCGAGGGTCAGGTCCATGTTAACTGATAAAAGCAATGCTCCCTGGTTCGAGTGCAGGCCATCTCTCTTACAGAGGTACGGCCTGTTTTAAAAATGCTGTAACATTGTCAACAAATGGGATTTACTGAGAGTGGTCTACAGAATATAAGACCAATGAAATTAACAATATTGAGGAACCAGATTGGCGAAATTAAGATGGTGAAAGTTTTGAGAGATGGGAACTTGATGATCGTTTGTGGTAACATGGAACAAAGGGACCGTGCATGCAGAATGAAGGAGGTAGGAAGATATAAAGCGAAAGTGTGTGTGGTGGGGAGAAAGGGAAAAAACTGTTGAAGGAAGTGATCTGGGGAGTGCCAGTGGAGGTTTCAATGGATGAAATAAAAGCTAATTTGAGAGGAGGGAAGTTGAGGGGAGCCCAGAGGTTTCAGACCTTTAGAGAAGGGAGGAAAAGGGACAGCGAAAGCATATTGCTGGAATTTGAGAAGGAAGTTCTTCCTGGAAAGGTGGTGCTAGGCTTCCTAACCTACTCAGTAAGAGAACATATTCCAAAACCGCTCAGATGCTACAACTGCCAGAGATTCGGTCATACTGCCCTGTCATGTAAGGGAAAAATAAGGTATGCTAGATGTGGAGAGGATTATAAGTATGGAAAATGTGGAAGAGATAAAGAGGCAAAATGTTGCAACTGCGGAGGAAGTCACAGTGTAGCATATGGAGGATGTTAGGTGATGAAAAGAGGTGGGGATTCAGCAAACCAGAATGTAAAATAAGGTCTCATATGCTGGGGCAGTGAAGACAGTAAATCAGAGGAGAGGAAGGCAACCAGAAAAGCAAGGGTGTAGAATTGGGTAAGGACGCTAGGGACACATCCCTACCAAAAATCAGCGGCTACAGTGTTGTCCCTTTATTTATATAGCACTTTTAAAATCAAGTGTTTAAAAAGTGCTTTAACATGCAGGAAAACAAAGAAGATAAAAACAACAGAACAACAACAAGGGAGTGCTGGGGGGGGGGGGGGGGGCACTGGCAATAAAGAAATAAAATAAAAATTGGTGGAAGACATAAAAGCTTTGATGAATGTCAAGAACAGCTCAGAGCAGGAGGACACAAAGTCAGACCCTGAAGCAGAGGTCGGAGGCATAAAGCCTTTAGCTGCGGTCAAAAAGACCCAGTCAGTATACCCTTGCCCTACTGGGGTGAATTTAGCCTCCAGTCAGCGTGGACTAAGATAACCCATGACTCCTGATTGTTTTACCCCCGCCTGAGTCGAATAGACCCCAGTCAAGTATGGATTTGAGAATTGTAAACTCGCGCCCCTGCCCTTGGCAGGGTCAAATATACCCCACCGTGGTGTACATAGACTTGTTTTTTTTTTTACTCATTTGAACTCATGACTCCTGACGTTCCAGCGCGCATCTCAAACAGCATACACCCCTGGACCTGATTCTCGCTCATCCTGTGTCCCCCCCCCTCACCCGCTTACATTGATTGTAAGCACGTATTTTACAGCGTGATGACTGTAAAAACATAAAGCTCTAGGTTTTACTTCCAAGGCTACACTACATATAGAGACCAAGAAAACTTGGAAACTTGGAGGACTGGAAAAAATGAAATAATAATAATAATAATAATGATAATAATAATAATAATAATAATAATAATAATAATATAACACTAAGTGTTTTAGGAAAGGATGTTGGTATCAACAAAAGTTCCATCACAAGAGTAGAGCAGAATAGAGTGAAAACTGTATTCATCACGGCAGGGAAAACTTAGAGAGTGTCAGAGAGCTTGCAAATACAGATAACAACAGCCACACAACCTAATTCATATAGATGAGCACAGCCTATCACAAAATAAAGGCAGTACAGTGGCAAGGCAAGGGGATTTTGTTTTTACACACACTTTTGTCTCAGAGAGTTTCACATAGCATTATAATGCCAACATCATCTGCCCTTAGACCCTCACGTCAACTGAGGAAAAATCGAGAAATAAAACAAAAAAAAAATTGGAGAAACCTCAGGGTGAGCAACACAGGAGAGATCCCCTCACCCAGGACGGGGCAGACCTGCAACAGAGGTTCTATACAGACAAAAACAAACAAACAAAAAAAAAAAAAACGGGTTTACAACACATAATGTGCAGAACATGACATTCCATTGTCCATTCCATTCCAACAGGAAAACAGAAAGGTTTTCTCAAAAGTGTTGAACACCGACAAAAAGGACCGTAGAGGAGACACTACAGTACAGTAAGTATTCTATATCTATCTATCTATCTATCTATCTATCTATCTATCTATCTATCTATCTATCTGTCTATCTGTCTATCTATCTATCTGTCTGTCTATCTATCTGTCTGTCTGTCTATCTATGTACAGACATGAATATATTTGCTTTTGTTTTTGTTCATCTTCTTACTCTGTGTGCTTTTAAAGCAAGGGAATGGCTGTAATAGCTCCAACAAAAAAATGTGAACGCGCAGTCGTGTACGACATTGTGAATTCCTAGAAAAACAAAATCTGTTCGGATTTTAGATCAACTCAGAAATCCAGTCAAACAATATAGTTTGTCTCTCTCTCTCTCCCCTCTCTCAACATGCGGTTACTGGAACTTGTTTCCCTTCACAGTTGCGCTGCATTCCACAGGGCCGCTTCATTCGGTTATTGCCTAGGAGGAAAGAACAGAAAAGTTTTCTCAAAAGGGTTGCAGACCGACAACTGGGACCGTAGAGGACAGACCAGAGAACAGTAAGTATTCTACATCTATCTATCTATCTATCTATCTATCTATCTATCTATCTATCTATGTAAAGACATAAATGTATTTGCTTTTTGTTCATCTTCTTACTCTGTGTGCTTTTAATATAAAGCAAGGGAATGGCTGTAATAGCTCCAACAAAAAATTCTTTTTTGTTTTCCTTCTTACCTTCGGGGCTTTTAAACCAAAGGGGGGAATCACTGTGATAGCTCCGTATCCCCTAAGCCACATTTCTCTCTCTCTCTCCTTTGCAGGCCAAGCGAAATGGATCTCTCGTCGAAAATATGAGGACAGTGACACTTCTTGCTCTTTGGCTCAATTATTTCTCTCTCTCTCTGTTTTGCAGGCCGAGCGAAATGGATGTCTCTCTCCGCGACCACTGAGCTGTGCAGTCGTTTTGGTCCTTCTCTGTTTCGTGAATTGTAAATTTGCTCTGCTCTTATGCTGAGTTGCATTCAATCATTCGTTAGCTCACCTTCCTGACTGAACGATTCGCTTCAATTGGACTTAGCTGTTTTTGGTTGTCTATTCGTAAGAGCATAACAAATACACGACACAGAAACGAGTCTTTGAATCCACACGCACACACACGCCCTCCGCCCGTTATGCACAAAAAGCGCGGCGGAGGGTCGAGGACGCCGGGATTGCTAAAGACTGCGTCTACCGTCGTCTGAGTTTCTAAAAACACAGCCACTGAGCGGCGAGGACAGCGCCTGCTCTCACGAGACCAAAAAAAAAAAAACAGGTCAAATCACCCTCAGCTCTTTCTGCTTGTGAAAATGGTTATCTAAAAACTCACCTCTGCTACGCTGTCGTGAAATAGTTGACTGAAATCCTTTGCTGTGTTCCTCTGTTGCACAGACTCTTTTCGCAGTACGGGGGCACTGGATCCGCAGGAGCGGAGAAAGAGGAAAAAAAAACAAAACAAATAAAGTTGAAGTCTTGACACGCATCTACAAAAAGGATCGTAGAGGAGAGAGTAGAGAAAGTAGTCTATCTATCTATCTATCTATCTATCTATCTATCTATAATGGTATATAGATAGATATATAGTTATATGGTTTTTCTTTTCTTTTTTTTTGTTTTCCTTCTTTACCCTGTCGTGAAAACGTTTGACTAAACACCTCCGCTGTATTCCTCTGTTGCACAGACTCTTTTCGCAGCGAAGAGCGAAGAAGGAGGAAATTCGTCGGTGAATCAACGGAGAGGAGAAAAAGCGCTCTCCTCATCTGGCTAGCCTCTGCGGCTACAGCCGAAGACGATCTCAACGAGGGAGAAAAAGGAGTGGACTGCGGCTGAGCGAGGATGACGAGGAAAAAACATGATCTCGACAAGGGAAAAAAGGCGCGCGACTGCGCCTGAGCGCATAGCGCGCGGATGGAAACGCAGGATGGAGGATTCGCCTGAGGAAGCGGGCAGACGGAAAGGGGTGAGTATGGGAAGAAACCAAAAACGCAGGACGGAGGATTCACGAGGAGAGGAGCGACAAAAAGCACTCTCTCCCGGAGAGCGTCCGGCCTCTGCGGCTACAGCCGCAGACGATCTCGACGAGGGAAAAAAGGCGCGCGACTGCGCCTGAGCGCGTAGCGCACGGATGGAAACGCATGGTCGAGGATTCGTCTGCGAATCGACGGAGAGGAGCAACAAAAAGCGGTCTCCCCCGAGAGCGGGCGGCCTCTGCGGCTACAGTCGAAGTCGATCTCGACGAGGGAAAAACGCCGAAGGTGAGTTTGAAAAACCGAAAACACAGGATGGAGGATTCCTCTGAGAATCATCAAGAAAAGGAAAACAAAAAAGATCTCCCGTGCCGGCCAGCCTCTGTGGCTAAAGCCGAAGACAATCTCGACAAGGGAAAAAAGGTGCGCGACTGCGCCTGAGCGAGTAGCGCGCGGATGGAAACGCAGGGTCGAGGATTCGTCTGCGAATCAACGGAGAGGAAAAAGCACTCTCCTGATCCTGAGCGAAGAGGACGACACCTGCGCTTTAGAGGTAAGAAATTTAAAATAAATAAATAAATTAAAATAAAAAATAATGTTTATATATATATATATATATATATATATATATATATATATATATATTTTTTAAATAAATAAATAAATAAATTTTATATATATATATATATATATATATATATATATATATATATACATATGACCTGTGTGTGTGTGTGTGTGTGTGTGTGTGTGTTTCTACACTGCCTGTGTATTGTTTTCTTATTTTTGTTTGTTTTTTGTTTACAGTGCCCTCTGCATGACTGGCCATCCTGTGAGGGACGGACAGAGAGAGAAAGAAAGAAAGAAAGAAAGAGAAAGAGACGAAGGTTTCCCAGATTTTTTAAAAAAAAATTTTTATTTCTAAGAGCAGAAAATACTGTAAAGATGTCTTAACGCCAACAGAAAGAAAGTGTTTGTACATAAAAAGTGTTTTACAAATGAAAAGAATATATTTATTTATATATATATATATATATATATATATATATATATATATATATATATATAAACATTTTTTTTTTTTTTTTTTTTTTTTTTAAAAACTACACCTTGCTTCATCATACAATTTTTTTTTTCCTTTTCTTACTGCAGTGTCCAAGGCTTGGTGAGGTTTAGGGAAGAGGACAACGCCTGGGCTCCAGAGGCACGAGTCGGCACCCCACCATAGGGAGTGAAACCATTCTATCACTCTGTCAGTTGTAAAACACTAAAGTATAATCGGCAGAGGTTGGAGAGTGTCGGAGTTGTCATGTCGTCTCTAAGCCAACGTGTCTGTTCTTCTCTTCCACTGAACCAGTTGCGTTTTACTTTGCACAGTTCAGTCAGGAAGGTGAGCGGCTGGTTCGGCGATAGAGAAGAACAAATTCGTGGTTCTGAGATGACGTGTCCTCACTCCTCGTATTTAGCCTCTGACACAAAGACATCACAAAATGTGGACTCGATATCACTGACTGTACTAGCTCCTGTATGATTATGTGTTTCAATCTGTCTGTGTTAAGGTTTATATATATATATATATATATATATATATATATATATATACAGTCGTGGACAGAAGTTTACATACAGTACATGTTCCTACACTAAATCTCATGCTAAATTCAAGTTACCGACTTGAATCATGAATAATCTAGCATCCAGGAAGCCCTAGGATTAATGCTTTTGGGGAAATAAAAAGAAAAGGCAAAAAATCCTCATAATTCAAGATTTATTGATATTTCTTTGCAGAACACCGCTTTTTTTTTTACGGGGTCATAAGTTTACATACACCTTTGTCTTCAGGGCTTAGTACTTGGTAGCATTTCCATTAAGTTTTTATAACTTCAGCAAGTCGCTTTGGATTGCCATCAAGGAGCTTCTCACAGTAATCCTTTGGAATTTTTGACCACTCTTCCTGGCAGATTTGGTACAACTCGGTCGGATTTGTTGGTCTTCTCTTACGGACTTGTTTCTTCAGTTCACTCCAGATATTCTCGATAGGATTGAGATCAGGGCTTTGTGAAGGCCACTCCAGTACTTTCACCTTGTTCTGCTGAAACCATTTTGAAAACTAATTTTGCAGTATGTTTTTGGATCGTTATCTTGTTGAAAGATCCAATTTCGACCGAGCTGCAGAGATTTGGCTGACTTCTTGAGGTTTTCCTTGCAATATTTCCAAGTATTGCTCTTTTCTCACGATTCCATTGGTCTTCTGGAGTTCACCAGTTCCTGATGCTGCAAAGCAACCCCACAACATGAGACTTCCTCCACTGTGCTTGACCGTTGGGATGGTATTGTTGGGATTGAAGGCTTCAACCCTTTCGCCGGAAAACATATTGCTGGTCATTATGCCCAAACAGTTCAATTTTCGTCTCATCTGACCAGATGACACTCTTCCAGAAGGCTTTATCCTTACCCTTGTGCTCTTTCGCAAACTTCAGCCGAGCTTTTCTGTGTCTCTCGTTGAGTAATGGCTTCTTTCTTGCCCGGTACCCCCCCCTCTCAGCCCATGTTGATGGAGAACTCTCATGACCGTGGACACTGAGACATTTGCTCCTGAGGCAGCCAATTCATTGCAGATGGCTTTCTTGGTGATCTTGGGGGTTCATTTTCACCTTTCTGACCAAAAGCTTTTCATCTCTGGATGTTAATTTCCGTTTCCTTCCAGACCGTGGCATTATGGCTGTTCTTCCAAGGTGCTTGTATTTGTGGACAATTGTCTGAACAGATGCCCTTGATACATTAAGCTGCCTTGAAATGGTCCCAAGAGATGAGCCTGACCTATGCAAGGCAACAATTAGCTTCCCTGATGTCATTGCTGTATTATTTTGACTTTCCCATTGCAAGTCTCAAGTCGAAATGCAGTGTGTGTAAAGTGAAGCTCCTTTTTATACCCCATAATTTCTACACCTTGGCTTTTTACACAACATGAATGAACACCAGACTAAAGGGATGATTCCATTAATTCCATTTCACAACCTGATTTCAACTCATTTACTCTTAAATAGGCCAGACAAGTGGGTGTATGTAAACTTATGAACCACAAGAATCTGAGGTCATTTGGGGAAATTAACTAAAAATCTATCTGAGGTAAAAAAAAAAAAAAAAAAAGTGTCTTCATTCAAATTGGGGTGGCAAGTTGGGTTAAAGCTGTCTTGAACAGTTTTTGCTTTAGTGTATGTAAACTTCTAACCTCGACTGTATATATAAATATATATATATATATGTGTGTGTGTGTGTGTGTGTGTGTGTGTGTGTATATATATGTTTGTGTGTGTGTATGAATTTATGAGCCTGTAAGGGAGGATGAAAGAAATAAAGAGACCAAACTGTTTGCAATATTTCATATTACTTTTCCTCTGTTGATGTGTGGGTTCAAGGGTGGAAAATATTGTTAGGATGCTGTCTGAACACCAATGAGACTATATGTTTTGGAAAAGAATAAAGTGCTATACAAATAAGATTAAAAAAAAAACAATGTTTACCGCAATTCCCAATTACCAAAAGAAAAGTGCAGCATGTGTCTGAATAGATCAAGTTTATAGCAAGTTGAGTCACATCTCCGTAAAACCGCACTACACCTGCATAAAACTTGTACTACTACCAATCCTTGTCCTATTACATTACATTACATTGCATTACAACAATAACTACTAAAACAACGACAACAACGAAAAAATAAAACAATACTGCACTGCAGCCATGAGTCGAGAGATTACCGCTTTGCAGTTCATGCAACAGATGTTGTCAAATGCATTCTCTGATGATGCCAATCCCGATGAAGAAGCAGAGGGTGTGTCTGAGGAGGAGGATTATGAGGCAAGTAACCAACCGAACAGGGAAGAGGAAGGAAAAGAAGAAGAAATGATAATATCAGAAGACAGAGAGGAGCAAATGGAAAGAGAGGCAGAAGAGGACGGAGAGCATAAAGAAGAAGGAGAAGGAGAAGATGAGGAAGAAGATGAAGGAGAAGAAGGAATAACAGAAGACAGAGAGGAGCAAATGGAAAGAGAGGTAGAAGAGGAAGGAGAGCATGAAGAAGGAGAAGGAGAAGAAGAAGATGAAGAAGAAGATGAAGGAGAAGATGAGGAAGAAGATGAAGGAGAAGAAGGGGTAACAGAAGAGAGGAGCAAATGGAGGAAATGGAAAGAGAGGGGGAAGAAGAAGAAGAAGAAGAAGAACAGGAAGAAGAAGAAGAACAGGAAGAAGAAAGGGTAATAGCAGGCGAGAGAGAGGAGCAAGCGAAAGAAGATACAGATTTGTTTTTTCTCTCAAAACACGACAAAATCATATGGTCCTCCGTAGCGTACGATAAACAAGAGCGGGGTAGAAAAGACAGGAGCAAAAGACAGATGCCATCGTCGCCGTTACCGCCGACAACCGGCCCACCCGGACCGACTGAATATTCTCTCGTCCACGCCCGTGACATCGCCTCCACCATCGATAGAACGCATCATCTTGGAGATGACTAATTTGGAGGGAAGACGGAAAATCGGAGACGGCTGGAAACGCATGGATGCCGTCGACCTTCGCGCCTACATAGGGCTGCTGCTTTTAGCCGCCGTCTACAGGTCCCGAGGCGAGGCGAGCGCCAGTCTGTGGGACGCTGAGAGCGGACGGTCCATCTTCCGCGCCACGATGCCGCTTAAAGTGTTTCACGCCTACTCTAGACTGCTGAGATTCGACGACAGCGAGTCGAGACCCTCCAGACGCGCGGCCGACAGACTGGCGGCCATAAGAGAGGTCTGGGACACGTGGTCTGAGCGGCTGCCGTCCCTCTACAACCCCGGGCCGGAGATAACGGTGGACGAACAGCTGGTTCCGTTTAGAGGGCGTTGTCCCTTTCGGCAGTATATTCCCAGCAAGCCAGCGAAATACGGAATCAAGACGTGGGTGGCGTGCGACTCTAAATCCAGTTACGCTTGGAAGATGCAAGTGTACACAGGGAAGGCCACGGCCACAGATGCAACCTGGCTGTTAAGCGTGACGTCATTTTGTGAGCGGAGCGACTTCCGGGTCCATGGGGAATCAGACTCCATTCACTTTCCATTCAAAACAACGATGGCGGAACCTGTGAATCTCTTCACAATAACCTCCTTTTTCAGAAAGGAACCACTCAGAGTAAAAAAGGGACTTAACGCTTTCAACTCGGGTAGAGTTATTCACGTAAATTTTCTCCCAGGGGGCATTATTAAAGGTAAAATCCAAGCGTCCATGAAAAAGAAAATTTACCAGGCTGAGGTGAGTGAGCTGATAGGGTTAGCATTAGCTAGGTAATGTTTGCAGGTTGGTAAGACACACACACACTTTCAGTATCTTGTTAATGTTTTTGGTGAACTGATGTGGGATATTGTCCAAAATGCGAAATAATTTCAACCTCTGAATGGAGCGCTCCACATGGATCCTAGCACTGGAGATAAGTTTGTTTTTCTTCACTTCTTCCTGTGTGAACTGTCCATTTACAAGGAAAGAAGGGATGTTCAGCGAAACCCCTTCTGGCAAGATGTCCTGGATTGTGAAGCCTTTGTCTGCCATCACCATGTCACCTGGTTTTAGATGGTTGAGAACTCCAGAATCTGCTGTTATTGCCTTGTCTGAGGCACTCCCACCATAATAGTCACTGACAAATGTAATCACTCCATTAGGAGCCACACCTATTAAAGTCTTGTGTGTGTGGTCCGTCCTTTGTACTGGCTGTATAGATGACTCTGTGTGTCAAGCCGCTCTGGCTTGGAGACAGCAACCTCTGTGCAATCGAGCACAATCCTACAATTAGGAAATGGACGGAAACACTCTGGCAGTGATGTCTGGTTCTTGGCTGTGGAGGGGATGTTCTCAAGCATACCAACATACAAAATGTCATACAGGGCACTGACAATAGTGAGAAAAATGTTGGTTACTGTGGCTGTGCTACAATTAAATCTGGTTGCAAGGTCTAAATGACCACAATTAAGTCTAAGCTTCATCAAGGTCAGGAGCAACTGATCGACTAGTGGCATAAACTGGACTGTCCAATCAGAATGATATTTTAGCTCAAACTTAGATAAAAGTGTTTCCAAAAACAGGACGGTAGCAGCATCAGGTAAGCCAGTGAAATATTGTACTTTGTCAGAATTGGAAGATATTTGACTGAAGGAAAAGATTTGTTTTTGTTTCTCCAATTCATTTTTCAATTTCTCGTTCTCTCTTCTCAACATATCAACCTCTATCTCAAGCACCTCAACACTGTTTGTAGTAGAAGGGTTCTCTGAAGTACTAGGGGTCTCTGCAGTTGCTATGTCAGCATTATGTAGTTCAAGTTCATTTGTCCCTTCATCTTCACCACTGGTAGGGAGTGGGACCACTTTTTTCTTCTTTTCGGGTGGATGGCTGAGGTGACCTGGGAAAGTCTTCCCCTCGTTCCAAGCAAACCGTGATGGGCCAGCAGCTTTGCCATCCGGGAAATGCCAACTGCACACCCTTGAGTTGCAGTTTGGGGTAAAGTCGTCACGCCTGTAAATAGAAAGGGGACGAGATATTTCAAATGTGTTAGTTATGTGCACAAAAATTACAGTGTAGCAAATTACTGGCAATGAAAACTTAAAGCTGCACTGTTACTTTCCTCAGCTGCAATGGATTTGAACCCTTGTTTACTGCACAAGCACTGGCATTATTTTTACCATTGACCTAAAAGAGCCATCCTGCTCACTCAGGGGATAAATGTAATCTTGACCATCTGGTCAAGATTGGTGTCAGACTCAGATCCTGTTTCTGGTGGAGACATTACCTTTGACACAATCTAAATGTCCTAATAAAAGGGAGACAACATTAACTATCAAAATTGAATAATTTGCATTGTGTTAACATACTCTACCATAAAGATTGTATAAGTTATATCAGCATAGTATACCCTACAGACTGTATAAGTCAGTGGTTGTCTAAGTGGATCCTAGGGACTTTTATGAGGGTCTAAATCGACCCATACAAGTCTGTAACTCTAACAGTATACAAATGGAACCAAATGTGGGTTCATTTGGTTCCATTTGTATACTGAGAGAGTCAAGGGAAGACCTAGAAATTTGAACATTTGGCAATGCTTAAGATAATGCAGATTGTACTGGTGTGTAGCTGAAATAATGACATAATCAGCCTGACATAATACCTACAGTAACTGATATAATCTCTTTACAGACAGGGTTGTAGTAGTAAATACAGATGTGGGTAACGATACTGTTGACCCTCCACTACACGCTGATTACAGCTTTGCTGAGCAGAGAAAACATAAGGAAAGCACATATATTGATCCTCGAGGCAGATGGTACTTTTGTAGTCGGTTGACTAAACTAAAAATAGAAATATATGTCTAGTATGTCACGGTAGTTTCGATAACACCGAGGGTAGCTAGTCTGCAAACTCTGAGCAAGGGTTAGCGTTAGCGTTAGCGCTAAACTTCGATTTTCTATGTATTTCTTGAATGGTAACTTACCTTATTAACTGCAGCCATCTCTTCTTGTCTTTGTTGTTGGGAGGAAATCTGTGGAACGATAGTTTAGTGGCTGTTTTTGTCTCTGATCGGTTAGAGCAGCAAGGGACACAGCACTGAGGCATTATTACGGCCCAATTCCAAACTCCACCCTAAGCCCTCAAGCCCTGCACCCTCATTAGCTTAGGTTAAGTCAGCTGGTAAGTGCTTGAGTGTGGGAGGGTTTAAGGGCTCCAAAAGGGTATAAAAGCAATGGAACAGCTCTTTGTGACGTGCCACGTTACCTTGACGATAGACGACAACGTTGACAACCAAAGATGCGACTGACACTTGCCTCTCTGGGCTCTTAATTCTGCATTTATTTCGCGGCCAGCGACGTTGCAGAAGAAAGGCCAACATTGTTCCGCTCCTTTTGCACACACTTGCTCTTGAACATAGACAACAGGTAATTGGTAAATAATGATTAGATTGATAAATTATAAAACCAGCATTAATGATAGGTTAAGTGATATTGAATGGTTAAAAGGTTGAAGCACTAGATTCTGAAAGTAATCACTGCTTTAGAGTGTAAGTTCAGGATAAAATGTATTGATTCAGATAAAAGTTTGAAGTAAAAATCAATTTTCTTTGTTATAAGAATAACGCATGTGTGTGTGTATGTGTGTGTGTGTATATATGTATGTATACACACACACACACAAACACATATATGTGTATATATATATATACTGTATATATATATAGTACAGGCCAAAAGTTTGGACACACCTTCTCATTCAATGTCTTTTCTTTTTTTTTATATGACTATTTACATTGTAGATCATTACTGAAGGCATTAAAACTATGAATGAACACATGTAGAATTTTGTACTAATAAAAAAAGTGTGAAATAACCGAAAACATGTTTTATATTCTAGTTTCTTTAAAATAGCCACCCTTTGCTCTTGATGACAGTAGTTCCTTGTCAGGGTTACTTCAGGCACTCCTGTGAAGTAAAAACCATTTCAGGTGACTACCTCATGAAGCTCATTGAGAGAACAGCTTAAGTTTGCAGCGCTATCAAAAAAGTAAAGGGTGGCTACTTTGAGAAATCTAAAATATAAAACATGTTTTCAGTTATTTCACACTTTTTTCTTAAGCACATGATTCCACATGTGTTCATTCATAGTTTTGAGAATCTACAATTTAAATAGTAATGAAAACAAAGAAAATGCATTGAATGAAAAGGTGTGTCCAAACTTTTGGCCTGTACTATATATATATATATATATATATATATATATATATATATATAATATTATATCCATGTTAATGTAGTGCATTCTTGTTCATCTTGGCATTCCGGCGCCCACCATACACGATGCGGAACATCCATGTTAGAGTATTAAGGGTGCACCTAGATCCTAAATGAACTGCTTCTTCTTGAGCTTCTTCGCCATGATCTCCGTCATTTTTGGTGTCTGTCGCGGACGTTGAGACGCTTGTGGCCTCGTTCCCTTTTAAATCCTGGCCCCGGCTGCGTCGCTGTCCTCCAGTAACGCCCACAACGCAATGAATTGTGGGCAATTTCATAGCCAAAGTCCTCAACGGTACGGACTTACGGAAAGGGTGCAGAAAGGGGCGTTCCCGAGCCCTCGCTGACTTACCGATTTCATTTGGAACAACCCTCAAGCCCTTACAGAGCTCACATGAGCGCGCACCTAAGTCAATGAGTCAGTGAGGGGGTGGTTTGGAATTGGGCCTACAACAACTCCGCTGGACCCGGAAGTGGAAGAGGAGAACGCGGCTACGTCACGGCTTAACAGCCAGACTGCAGCTGCGGGTGGTGGAGGAGGAGGAGCAGGAGGAGAAGACCCGGGCCCACGCGCAGCAGACCACGGCCCGGAAAAGAACCTGGGCATGCGAGTCGTGCTCGATGTCACCGAGGGACTGAGGGATCGCAACGTCACCTGCGACAATTTCTTCACCTCTTACGAACTCGGGCAGCAGCTGCTGAAAAGGAAGATGACCATGGTCAACAAGCCCGAGCTCCTGCTCGCGCTGCTCTCGCCAAAGGGAAGAGCGGCGTTCTCGTCGAAATTCGCCTTCACGTCGACCACTACCGGGGCCCTTTACGTGCCCAAGAAAATCAAAAACGTGCTGCTGGTTAGCACGAAGCACACGGAGGCCGAAGTCAGCGACCGCCGCGACAGAAAGCCGGTCATCATACTAGACTACAACCGCTGCAAAGGAGGTGTCGATAACCTCGACAAGGTGATTGGAACCTACAGCTGTAGAAGGATGACGGCTCGCTGGCCCTTGGTCGTGTTCCACAACATCCTCGATGTTTCCTCCTACAATGCCTTTGTGATATGGAGAGAACTAAACCCCGAATGGATGCCTCAGAAGCGGAACAAGAGAAGGGTGTTCCTAGAGCGGCTGGGAAAGGCGCTGGTGACTCCGTTGATAGAAAGAAGGGAGCGTCTCCCTCGCACAGAAGCGTCAGCGGCAGTCGTCCGAGGCGTTCGGAGGGCCGTGTCTCGATCTAGAACTCGCGGTGAGGGCGAGGACGCGGAAGTATCAGAAGCCGCCGGAGCGGCGTCAGGAGCAGATGACCCGACCGGGGCGAGGAAGAGGAAGAGGTGTCAGTTTTGCCCGCGGGCAAAGGACAACAAAACTTCCACTGTGTGCAGCGGGTGTAAGAAATATATCTGCAAAAGTTGTTCGCTCCCATACTGCGCTGAGTGTGCTGCTGAGAATTTGGAGACGGATTGATTAACGCCAAAACACACGCACACACACACACACACACACACACACACACACACACACACACACACACACACAATCTATCTATCTATCTAAAATTAAAATGACTATATTATTATTATTTTTTTAATATCATTATTATTATTATTATTATTATTATTATTATTATTATTACTAGATTGTGTGTGTATGTATGTGTCTAGCCTGCCTGCCTGCTTGGGTGTGTGTGTGTGTGTGTGTGTGTGTGCGTGTGCGTGTGCGTGTGTGTGTGTGTGTGTGTGTGTGTGTGTGTTCCACACTGCCTGTGTAAGTTTTTCTTTTTGGTTTTACAGCGCCCTCTGCATGACTGGCCATACTGTGAGGGAAGAAGAGAGAAAGACACACAAAGGTTCTCCAGATTTTTTTTTTGTATGTTTTATTTTTTAAATTCTAAGAGCAGAAAATATTGTGAAGATGTCTGAACACCAAAAGAAATAAAGTGTTTGTACATAAAAAGTGCTTTACAAATAAATTAAAAGAAAAAAAAAAACGCCTTTGATTCATCACACAACTTTTTTTTTTCCTTTTTTCCTTTCCTTACTGCAGTGTCCAAGGCTTGCTGAGGTTTAGGGAAGAGGACAACGCCTGGGCTCCAGAGGCACGAGTCGGCACCCCACCATAGGGAGTGGAACCACTCTATCACTCTGTCAGTTGTAAAATACCAAAGTTTGAATTGTATAATCGGCAGAGGTTGGAGAGTGTCAGAGTTGTCATGTCATCTCTAAGCCAACCTAGAAGTGCAGTTGTATAGTCAGCAGAGGTTGGGGGGAAGAGCGTTGGAGTTGTCATGTCATCCCTTAGCCAACGTGTCTGTTCTTCTCTTCCACTAAACCAGTTGCGTTTTACTTTGCACAGTTCAGTCAGGAAGGTGAGCGGCTGGTTTGGCGATAGAGAAGAACGAATTCGTGGTTCTGAGATGACGTGTCCCCACTCCTCATATTTAGCCTCTGACACAAAGACATCACAAAATGTGGACTCGATATCACTGACTGTACTAGCTCCTGTATGATTATGTGTTTCAATCTGTCTGTGTAAGGTTTATATATATATATATATATACAGTCGTGGACAGAAGTTTACATACAGTACATGTTCCTACACTAAATCTCATGCTAAATTCAAGTTACCGACTTGAATCATGAATAATCTAGCATCCAGGAAGCCCTAGGATTAATGCTTTTGGGGAAATAAAAAGAAAAGGCAAAAATTCCTCATAATTCAAGGTTTATTGATATTTCTTTGCAGAACACTGCTTTTTTTTTTTTACGGGGTCATAAGTTTACATACACCTTTGTCTTCAGGGCTTAGTACTTGGTAGCATTTCCATTAAGTTTTTATAACTTCAGCAAGTCGCTTTGGATTGCCATCAACGAGCTTCTCACAGTAATCCTTTGAATTTTTGACCACTCTTCCTGGCAGATTTGGTACAACTCGGTTGGATTTGTTGGTCTTCTCTTACCGACAAACTGGCGGCCGTAAGAGAGGTCTGGGACACGTGGTCTGAGCGGCTGCCGTCCCTCTACAACCCCGGGCCGGAGATAACAGTGGACGAACAGCTGGTTCCGTTTAGAGGGCGTTGTCCCTTTCGGCAGTATATTCCCAGCAAGCCAGCGAAATACGGGATCAAGACGTGGGTGGCGTGCGACTCTAAATCCAGTTACGCTTGGAAGATGCAAGTGTACACAGGGAAGGCCGCGGCCACAGATGCAGCTGCAGCTGCGGGTGGTGGAGGAGGAGGAGGAGGAGGAGGAGGAGGAGAAGAAGACCCGGGCCCACGCGCAGCAGACCACGGCCCGAAAAAGAACCTGGGCATGCGAGTCGTGCTCGATGTCACCGAGGGACTGAGGGATCGCAACGTCACCTGCAACAATTTCTCCACCTCTTACGAACTCGGGCAGCAGCTGCTGAAAAGGAAGATGACCATGGTCGGCACCGTTCGAAAAAACAAGCCCGAGCTCCCGCTCGTGCTGCTCTCGCCGAAGGGAAGAGCGGTGTTCTCGTCGAAATTCGCCTTCATGTCGACCACTACCGCAGTCTCTTACGTGCCCAAGAAAAACAAAAACGTGCTGCTGGTTAGCACGAAGCACACGGAGGCCGAAGTCAGCGACCGCCGCGACAGAAAGCCGGTCATCATACTAGACTACAACCGCTGCAAAGGAGGTGTCGATAACCTCGACAAGGTGATTGGAACCTACAGCTGTAGAAGGATGACGGCTCGCTGGCCCTTGGTCGTGTTCCACAACATCCTCGATGTTTCCTCCTACAATGCCTTTGTGATATGGAGAGAACTAAACCCCGAATGGATGCCTCAGAAGCGGAACAAGAGAAGGGTGTTCCTAGAGCGGCTGGGAAAGGCGCTGGTGACTCCGTTGATAGAAAGAAGGGAGCGTCTCCCTCGCACAGAAGCGTCAGCGGCAGTCGTCCGAGGCGTTCGGAGGGCCGTGTCTCGATCTAGGACTCGCGGTGAGGGCGAGGACGCGGAAGTAACAGAAGCCAGCGGAGCGGCGTCAGGAGCAGATGACCCGACCGGGGCGAGGAAGAGGAAGAGGTGTCAGTTTTGCCCGCAGGCAAAGGACAACAAAACTTCCACTGTGTGCAGCGGGTGTAAGAAATATAGCTGCAAAAGTTGCTCGCTCCCATACTGCGCTGAGTGTGCTGCTGAGAATTTGGAGACGGATTGATTGACGCCAAAACACACATTATTATTATTATTATTACTATATGTGTGTGAGTCTAGCCTGCCTGCCTGCCTGCTTGGGTGTGCGTGTATGTGCGTGTGTGTGTGTGTGTGTGTGTGTGTGTGTGTGTATATATTTCCACATTGGGGGGACAGTGTGACCCCATGAGACGTGGGATGCAGTCAGTTGAACTGTCCACAACCGGGGTGACTAGTTTTAGAGGCAGAGAGGCAGCCTGGCAGGACTGCATCAGAATAGGAAATACTTATGACTTTCCAAAGATGAAAATGTCACAGGAACTGCTTAAAAGACATGAGAGCATAATGAACAGCGAGGACTCGGACATTGAGGTTGTTTGTGGCGACATGGGTAAAAAGCTACACTTTAACCCCGTTAGAGCGGCAGTGGCATTACAGCTGTGCAGAAAGCTTAAGGTAGACTGTAGACAGCAGTATAGCAAATTCACGGATGTTTGTGAATTAGGAGCTCCTTGTAAGAATGTGAAGATTAAAAGTGATGGGAATTGCTTCTTTAGGGCAGTCAGTGTAGCTGTGAGCGGTACCGAACACCATCACGGAAGAATAAGAGAAGCTGTAGTGAATCACTTGCAAAGCAATGAAGCTGCATATGCCAACATTCTGAGAAGGGGTTACCTTTCGGTGTCAGACTACATTGACGCATCTAAAATCAGCTCTCTAGGAAGTTGGGCAACAGAGGTTGAGATTCAAGCAACAGCAGATTATTTGGGTGTCAACGTATTCACATATTACACTGACCGTTGGTTTCAGTACAGTTGCAACAGTGTTCGGGTCTCTAAACAGGGGATTTATTTAGCAAATAGCAGCAGCCATTATGAGACCGTCATTTGTGTCACAAGTCCTCTGAAGCAGTCTTGTCATGGCTACTGCAAAGTAGCAGTAGTTGCATCAGATACATCCAATTGTCTGACCTCAAATTCTGCCTATGCTGATTCAACATCTCGATCCGAGATTGCTTCACCGTCACCGACATCGATTCGTCCAGATAATACAGTGTCTGTGAATGACGACGACTACTGCGAAAAGGAGAGCGATGAGCGCAAGGAGGGGTCCCGCCGCTCTGATGAGCATAAGACTGCAAGGGACTTGACGGGCACAAGTGACCACGATGTTGATTTTTACCGAGATACTGACAGTCCTCGGAGCCGCTATGAGTATGACGATTACCGCAGTGACACTGCAGAGCTAGATGTTGAAGGACACTTCAGTGAAGATTAGGCCTGGGAGAATAATCCTGATGAAGAGTATGACCGCTATGGATGGCTATCAAGGAGACATGTAGAAAATTATATCGTTGAAAATATGGAGCATCGTCCCTATGGCGATAGCCTTGTAACTCCAGGTGACATGGAGGATACCACGGAAGCTGATTTACCACGTAACAGCTTTGTGGATCAGTGTGAACTTTTCAACCACTCTGATGAGCATCAAACTCCGAGGGACTTGAAGGGCACGAGTGACCACGATGCCGACTTTTACCGAGATTCTAACAGTCCTCGGAGCCGCCATGAGTATGACGATTACCACAGTGACACTGCAGAGCTAGAAGTCGAAGGACACTTCAGTGAAGATGAGGCCTGGAGGAATACTCCAGACGAAGAGTATGATCGTCGTGGCCTGCTATCAGAAAGACACGTAGAAGGTGACATTGTTGAAGACGAGGAGTATTATCCCTACAGTGATAGCCTCGGAACTCCAGGTGACACGGAAGATACCAGTGAAGCTGATTTACCACGTAACAGCTTTATGGATCAGTCCGAACTTTTAAACGATGAGATCTGTATCGTACTGTGGGATTGCGATGAAGAAGTTGAAGAGGAGTTTGGCTCAAATAACCGCTATGCATCTACCTGCCGCTGGACCGAATTGCAGGAATCGTGGAAATCGTTTGTCAGTTGGCTGGGTGAGCGCTGGTGGGGCTCGGTGTCAGAAGAGTCTGTCAGGACCTTCATGGATACATCTGAGAGACGTCGCATCGGGGATATCCTTGTCTCGGCGTGCTTCGGTGACATGCCCGGGGGAGTTTGTTCTTTCACAGTGAAGACTGAAAGTGGCCTGCTGTCATTTCCTTTGCTTATACGTCAAAGATGCTACGTATGTGCTGACTTGGTGGAAGGTGATTTTTCGTGTCCGATCAACATGTTGAGAAACCTGGTCCGTGAAACCTACACACACTTGCTCCCCCGACCCACAACAATACCTTCCAATCCCCAGTACTTTTCTCTTACACGGGTAGTGGATGATATGTGCAGCGTTTTAGATTTGCTGAAAAAAGTGGATGGTGTGACGTTTCCCAACCCCATCGCATAATAGAGTATCTACAAAACAAGGAAGGACCCTCTGTTAACCCAGCAGCATTAATTTGCTGCGTAGATGATGACAGTCCGGGATACCTGTTTGAGATTATAGACGCCAAAGGGAAGAGGCTGAAAGTAACATTTAATAAATTGGGCTTCACATTTGGATCGGGTCTACATTTCTCAGGACTCATAAGTCTGCTGTCACATATCTGTGAGGTTGATGGAGTAAACTTTGTGATTAACTGTAGATTCTTGCCCACTGCAAGCGAACTGGAGCGTCCAATGTAAGACATGTGGGGGGGTTGTAAAGAGTTTGTGAACTTGTTTTTTTCCTTCAAGTGTTTGTATGAGCATGCTTCTATAGAAAGATTTAGGAAGAACTGCCGCTGAAATGTGCCTAAAAATGCATTATTATTATTATTATTATTACTATTATTATAATTATTATTATAATCATTATCATTATTATTATTAAAATGTGAATTCGTGCTGTAGCTTATGTTTGCTTACATATTCTTGCTTACTCAGTAAAGATGCGAAAACTGGCAATTTTGCTTCAGAGGATAACTTTATTTGCGCACATCACACCATAGATTACAACACAACATTGTTTTATGGCTGAAAGTCATAATAGTAGCTGTACCAATCCTCAAAGGACATCTCGTCATTCGTCATAAAATTCAACTTTGTCCTTCTGATCAAAACATCATTGCTCAACACTGTGGTATCAGCTAGGGGTATCAGGTCATCTCTTGCCTCCCCTCCGTCTGCTCATTATTATTATTTTTTATTATTATTATTTTTTTGTTAATTTTATTATTATTATTATTATTATTATTATTATTATTATTATTATTATTACTAAATGTGTGTGAGTCTAGCCTGCCTACCTGCCTGCTTGGGTGTGCATGTGTATATATTTCCACATTGGGGACAGTGTGACCCATGAGATGTGGGATGCAGGTTTATTTTTTTATTTTCTTTTACTGTGTGAGGACTACAGGACCTTTCACTGGGTCAAAAAGACCCCAGTCAGTGTGGACTGGGACAGTGTGACCCTTGAGACATGGGATGTAGGTCTTAACTTGAGGACAACAGGGGCCTGCTCTACGAAGCAAGTTCAAACTAGCGAGGTAGCCTTGGAGCTACCTCACTCAACTTAGCGTGGTAGCCAGCGGTCTTGCTAAGCGGTTTTACGACGCTGGTGATCAACCTCATAAGTGGATCCAGCTTTGCTATGAGCGCGTGCACACATATAAGGTGGAGCCTGCCGCATCTGACCAATCGCGAACATGGATCAGTCTGGAGCGTCAGAGCAGGCTGGAGAGTCAAGGACTGCGTACTTTACAAACGAGGAGCAGGAGATGATCATGAGAAAGTATGAAGAATTCAAAGCTACCATAAACCTCAGAAGCAACACCGTCGCCGCCGCAAAAGCACGGAGGGAATGCTGGCAGAAAATGCATCTTTGATGCCTTTATCACCCTGAAAAAGCACTGTTCAACATGCTCTTTTAACAAAGGTGACAGTCCCCGAATTGGATGATCTGTCCCCGGCTAAATCTGTCCCCGAAAATGTCCCAGATTTAAGCGTTTCATGAATGAGAACAAAAATGTTGCATGTGGGCTAGAACAACGGTTATTACAGTGGGTAGGAAGCACAAGTAAGCAGTCCTGAACAACAGTATTTACGGGGGTTATTACAAGGGGCGTGCGCTGCTACTAAATACTACCGAGATGTTGTCTGTGATCACGCAGCCCCTGCAGCCCATGCCCATTCATTTCCAAGATGAATTCACTCATTTGTTCATTCCTATCATGTTTACATTTTTTGTGTGATATGTCGGCCATATGAGCCTTTCATAAAGGTGGTCATCCGGAAAAGTAAGTGGGTCCGTGCGGTTCCTGTAAACTCCTGCGCGCCGGAGTGCTCCTCCTCAGACAGTGCGAGCACCGAGGTCTACAGGATCCTCCGAGAATGGAAGAGCCGTTTTTCGAGAGAGCTCATTGGTCAGTGGGCGGGGTTTTTGTGCTCGGTGAGTTCAATCTGGAACTTAACCTGCCCCGGATCAGGTTAGCCGTTCAGCGTATGTTGCCATGGAGACCCGCCTCGCTAAGACGTAAACCCGCGTCGTAGAACAGGAAACCCCGAACTTACCTCGAGCTGTCATGAACCAAAGGCTTTGTTCTAGGAATAAATGTATTTTAACTGTATACCTATTAAAACATAATAACTACACCAGGAGCAATAAAACCTGGACTAATAATTCCCCTTTTTTAATAACCCCCAAAAAGGCTATTAATTCACAGTATCAGATCTTTTGTATTTGAGATGGAATACACAAAATGTCAAAACAAACCAACAAAAAATGCCTGCATTAGTTTACAACACATTTGATTTTAGAGCGTAAAAATCTGTTATCAAAGGTATCAATACTTTAGTATCGATCCGCTCATTACTAGATACCGCAGATCTTCATGTTTCATGTGCACTTCCATGTTTGAGGCTGACGGCAACCAGATCCTTAAGCACACACAATGTTCAATAAAGTTTAAAAAAAAAAAAAAAAAAAAAGGCAACGATGTAACAGAAGCCTTGATGACATCACAAAGGCTTTGATGATGATGTCATCAACTTTCATGTTTTCTTAGTAGTTGAAAATTAGTAAGTGGTGTACTGTTTCTGAACTATTGGTTCACTTGCAAGTGAAAACAACTTCTCGACACTTACTCTGTTATTTCAACACAAACACAGTGACCAGAGATGGAACAAGAAATGGAAAGACGTCAATTCAAATTGGCCCCAGTACAGGCCTGTCAGCCAGGTGCTAGCAGGCTCAGAGAGAATTGGGCAGGCCCTGGCCATGAATGGTGGTCTGAGGAGTGGGCAAAGAGCATGTCAAGGCTTGAACAAAGACCAATACATGCGTGGGAAGTAAAAGAGAGGGTGAAAAACTTAAAAGACGGCGAAATGTTGAGAATTGCGGCACCACCAAGGGAACAGGCCAAAGGAGTGAACAGGTGCGCACAAGGCTGTCAGCCAGCAGATGGCAGGCCCACAGGAAAATGGACAGGACATGACCGTGAATGGTGGTTTGAGGGTTGGCCAAAGAGCTGGTTAGAACCTGAACAAAGTTCTAACCAGCTATTGGAGGATTAGCCAAAGAGCTGGTTAGAATCTGAATAAAGTTCTAACCAGCTCGAGGGAAGGGAAGAAATGGAGATGGCCAAAAACCCAAAAGATGGAGATGGAATCAGAACCACTTGTTCCTTGCGAAGGTAGGGAACAGCCCCCCCAGCCCCTAGTCACTGAGGAGGGGATCGCACAAGCCCCTCAGCCCCTGAAAGCTCAGCCCCTGGAGGTGATTGAATCAGACCCTGAGCCTCTGGTAAAAAAGGTGGTGGTTCATCGAGCTACCCAGACCTCAGTAATGGAGGATAAGGTGATTTATTAAACCCACATCCCCCACCCACACCCACAGACACCCACCCACACACGCCAATGCACCCGCAAATACACACACTAAGAGAATGGACATAAGGCTGAGTCGTCCCAAACAACCAGCATAGGGTGATTGCTGAAACCCAAACCCCCCACCCACACACACACACACACACACACACACACACACACACCCACACACACACACACACACACACACACACACACACGCCAGTCTTCAGGACCATGTTTTGTTTTGCCCCCGCCAAGGAATGGCCGCAACCCAGCATAATTAAGACCCATGTCCGCCAAAGTCCCAAACAACAACGACGACGACAAAAAATTTACAATGAAATTAGAGAAATAAAAACAAATAAAATGTAAAAAATTTACGGCAATAAAAGAAATAAAAAAAAAATAAAAAATGTCTTTGGCACTGTGGATTAGTTGGTCAAAGCGCCTGTCTAGTACACAGGAAATCCTGGGTTCGAATCCCAGCGGTGCCTTTTCAACACATGGCATGTGCCATATCTTCACATTCTGCACACAGTGACATGGGGAATTTCATCCATTCATTCAGAAGGGGATTACGAATTGCAGTATAATCATTGCCTTTTCACTAATTCATTTCTGTCCTGGTTGAAAATCGTAAAATCGGGTCATTCTTTGACTTCCGCTGCCTAGCTTTCATGAACCAAAGGCTTTGTTCTAGGAATAAATGTATTTTCACTGTATACCCATTAAAACATAATAACTACACCAGGAGCAATAAAACCTGGACTAATAATTCCCCTTTTTTTAATAACCCCCAAAAAGGCTATTTATTCACAGTATCAGATCTTTTGTATTTGGGATGGAATACACAAAATGTCAAAAACAAACCAACAAAAAAATGCCTGCATTAGTTTACAACACAGCATTAAAATCCAAGCTTTTCAACCAAATGTAGAAAAGCATAAAATCAGAGAGATGAATGTGGAAGAACACCATGACACTGCGAATGCTATAACTAAGCAGCACAGAGAAAACGTAAAGTTTTGGTACGGATACCCAAGTAGATAGATGATTAGTGATATAGCTGGAGACATAAATGTTAGATTGTGAGTTAGATTGGCAGTTTCATCACAATTGCTCTGTATACTTTAATGACACCTAGTCTGTGTAATCTACTTAAATGATCAATTCTTTACAAAACCTTGCCTGAAAAAATCGAGGCTTTTTTGCCTATGTGAGATTATCCCAATGTGCTCTCCTCTTGTGTACGCCTCATCATATATGCCTCATATTCTGTGTTGTAGTTTAACTTAAGGTGTTTTACGAACTTTGTTTTGTTACTACAACTCCTTGCTGTTGTTTCACAAACCACACTGGGGCTGTTTGTGAAGCTGGAATAGCTCCACACATGACTGTTTAAGCTCTGCCACAATGTTGAGTGATGAATGAATGAATGAATGAATGAATGAATGGTTTTATTTTTGGTCACAATAACAACAAATGAGAAACAAACAGAATTATAAACTTGACCAAAAAAAGGATTAGGCAGAAGCACAATGCTTATAGTTGCCTATCCTTTACAATCCTTATAACATCATTTTAATATTTAAAACAGTTGATAATGTTGAAATAAGATAAAAAAAGAAAGACACTTTAATATTAAAAAGAAAACATTAAAGTAATATGTTGCACTATGAAAGGGAAAAAAAAAATCATTAAGAATGAAAGAAAATGTCTTACTCAAAGCTGTATGTACTCCTGAATTATTTTGCTTTTTAATGCTTTTTTAAATATTACCTGAGAGTTACACAATTTTAACCCATCGTTAAGGTTATTCCATTGCTTAACTCCCCAAACTGAAACACATCTAGCTTTCACATTTGTTCTTGCATTTTTATCTGTTTTAAAAATATAAACCCCTCTTAAATTGTACCATCCTTCTCTTGTTTTAAAAAGACGTAGAATACAACCTGGGAGGCTTTTACTCTTAGCCCGAAAAACAATTTCCAAAGTTTTGGTGTACACCATGTCTACAAATTTTTAATGTATTAGACTTAATGAACAATGGATTGGTTGATTCAAGGTAACTGGCTTTATTTATTATTCTAATAGCTTTTTTCTGTAATTTAATGATTGGGTCTATATTTGTTTTATATACATTCCCTTATACCTCAACACAGTATGACAGATATGGTACTACAAGTGAAAAATACAAAATATGCAAACATTTCCTATTCAACAGCTCCCTTGTTCTATACAAAATACCCACAGATTTGGCTAATTTACCTATAATATATTGAATATGTGGTTTCCAACAGAGTTTATGATCCATAATAATACCCAAGAACTTTGTTTCATATACTCTTTCTATTTCTGTTTCATTTATGTTCAGTTTAATTTCACAGTCAGAAGGAACACCACCAAATACCATGAATTTGGTTTTCTTTTCATTGAGTGACAACTTATTTCTATCAAACCATTGTTTTAACTTGATCAGTTCCCTTTCAACTGTTATCATTAATTCTTGTATGTCGTCCCCTGACCAAAGTAAATTAGTATCATCAGCAAACGTAACAAATTTAAAAATATGAGATACTGTAAAAATTTCATTTAAATAAAGAATGAATAACTTGGGTCCTATTACAGAACCCTGCGGAACACCACAAGTCACTCTTCTAAGATAAGATTCTGTATTATTTATGTTTACATATTGAAACCGATTATTTAAATAGCTTCTCAACCATTGATTTGTAACACCTCTTATTCCATACTGTTCCAATTTTTGTAAAAGCAGTGAATGATCAATCGTATCAAACGCTTTGCGTAAGTCAATAAATACACCTATTGAGGTCTGTTTATCATTAACTGCTGTTGCTATATTTTCCACAAAATCCATCACTGCTAAAGATGTTGATCTGTTGCTCCTAAATCCAAACTGATGGTCACTCAATAAGCCATATTTTTCAATAAAGCCATCAAGTCTATTAACAAATAATTTTTTGAGTATTTTGGAAAATTGAGGGAGCAATGATATAGGTCTATAGTTTGATATAATATGTCTGTCACCACTCTTAAAGATTGGTATCACCTTGGCCTTTATCATTTCATCAGGAAAAATACCAGATAAAAATGATTTATTACATATATAAGTGAATGGTTTGAGGACTGAGTCAAAGACTTCTTTTATGGTTGACATGTCAATGGTATTGCTATCTGTTGATTTCTTATTCTTAAACTTTCTTACCACTTCTTGGATATCATTCTCACAAACTCCACCAAGGAACATAGAGTTGCTGTTAATTGCTGAATCAGAATTGTTTTCCTCCTCCGTATGGTGATTAATTTCCTTGGCCAAGTTAGGGCCTACATGAACAAAATAATCATTAAACTCATGAGCAATTTCTTCTATATTTTCAATAGCTGAATTGTCATTTTTTTCAAAGTACGTTGGACTGACTGAGGAGCATGCCGCTGCTTTAACGCATTCAGCACTTACCCAGGTGGAAGAAAAACTGGTTCTCAACAACCATGTGACATTAAGACAACATCTCAACAGTTAAGTTACTTTCCACTGTGTTCCTGTTCATTATATACGTTTTCTCAAATGGCGCAAGTATCAAAAGTATCGATATTTTGATTGAGAATTGATTTTAGAGCGTAAAAATCTGGTATCAAAGGTACCAATACTTTAGTATCGATCCGCTCATTACTAGGTACAGCAGATCTTCATGTTTCATGTGCACTTCCATGTTTGAGGCTGACGGCAACCAGATCCTTAAGCACACACAATGTTCAATAAAGTTTAAAAAAAAAAAAAAAAAAAAGGCAATGATGTAACAGAAGCCTTGATGACATCACAAAGGCTTTGATGATGATGTCATCAACTTTCATGTTTTCTTAGTAGTTGAAAATTAGTAAGTGGTGTACTGTTTCTGAATTATTGGTTCACTTGCAGGTGAAAACAACTTCTAGACACTCACTCTATTATTTCAACACAAACACAGTGTCAATACCAGAGATGGAACAAGGAATGGAAAGACGTCAATTCAAATTGGCCCCAGTACAGGCCTGTCAGCCAGGTGCTAGCAGGCTCAGAGGGAATTGGGCAGGACCTGGCCATGAATGGTGGTGTGAGGAGTGGGCAAAGAGCATGTCAAGGCTTGAACAAAGACCAATACATGCGTGGGAAGTAAATGAGAGGGTGAAAAACTTAAAAGACGGCGAAATGTTGAGAATTGCGGCACCACCTAGGGAACAGGCCAAAGGAGTGAACAGGTGCGCACAAGGCTCTCAGCCAGCAGATGGCAGGCCCGCAGGGAAATGGACAGGACATGACCGTGAATGGTGGTTTGAGGGTTGGCCAAAGAGCTGGTTAGAACCTGAACAAAGTTCTAACCAGCTATTGGAGGATTAGCCAAAGAGCTGGTTAGAATCTGAATAAAGTTCTAACCAGCTCGAGGGAAGGGAAGAAATGGAGATGGCCAAAAACCCAAAAGATGGAGAAGGAATCAGAACCACTTGTTCCTTGCGAAGGTAGGGAACAGCCCCCCCAGCCCCTAGTCACTGAGGAGGGGATCGCACAAGCCCCTCAGCCCCTGAAAGCTCAGCCCCTTGAGGTGATTGAATCAGACCCTGAGCCTCTGGTAAAAAAGGTGGTGGTTCATCGAGCTACCCAGACCTCAGTAATGGAGGATAAGGTGATTTATTAAACCCACATCCCCCAC